ATAAAAAGAGAGTTTCTTCGCAGTTAACAATAATTTCACATGATACGCCTTAACAAGCAATATAAACAAACTCCACAGCCGTAGACAACGTTCTGAATTAAGAATGATTTTAAGCCCAACTCTGGGCCAGATTGCATTTGGAGATAGGAACATGAAGACCGATACATACTAGTCATAATTACCAGACACGAAAGGAGAATTCTTGCCGTCTATAAGCTGATACTAATTTTCCTGCAAGGCTTTGTTTATTTTAAACAGGTGAAATACTCTACAGGGACTAGTGCGATGTGCAATGGAGCCGTTCTTCCCAACGTATTTCAAGCTTAGGTTTCTTGGTAAGTCTACTTAAAAGAAGCTTGTCATGCAATTTAGGCAAAAAGACCGTTTACAGTTGTTGAGTTAGTACCTTAACGCTCGAGAGAATGTGAGGCTAAGGTTGCCCTTGTTTTGGTAAAACCCTGCTCTGTTTTCTTATGGAAATTCCGCTGGAAATACCAGTTAGCGTAAACACAACGTGGTGATTTATATTATAAAGTAGGAAGGGGTGCATCAAAATAAGGTCAACTCCAGCTGCATTTAACTGTAAAATGGGCTATTCAGGGATCAGAGTCACGACTGGGGCCCATTTCTTCAAAGTCCTGTCAACTTTTAAGGCCCGAAGGTTGGAAAAGAAAATCAAAATCAAAAACTAAAGAATAAAGGCGTTTGAACTAGCTAACAAATCAGTCCATTGAATTCAAAACCAGGCTTCTATTAAAAAAAGGAAAAATGAAGGTTGTGTGTTTGTAGATTACTTCAGAAAAGTGCTGCATGCGGAAGCTATGGCTAAGCTCTAGTAGGATCATAATTAAGAGGTAAAGAAGGCTTATATGTCACAGACATTTTTAAACTATTTTTCTTCTTTAACAGGTATCAGGAAACTACAGGATCAGAGTGCAATTCTGACTGCGCCGACACTCGAGCTGCTGGATCAGAGTAGTGCAATGGACATTAATTACAACATCAATCTTGAACGCTGAACTTTTTGTGACCTGTTTTAGAAAAAAAAATAATTAAATGTATGTTAGCGGGTTAAATTTTAAAGAAATATATTTGAGTTTCACGAAATTGAAAAAAAATTAAGGGTGGTTATGAAGATCTCCTTTCTGATTAACTGCGTAGAATTTGTTTGGCGTGCCGGATCTAGGTAGATCTGTCAGTAGTAATTAAGAAGTCAAATGTACCTGAGAATGCATTAGAATAGATATAGATTTCTGATTTTATGTAGCAGGAATCTACGACTTAGTAAAACGTAAAAGCAAGAGCAAGAAAATAAGAACAGAAAATCTTCTGTGCTTAGTTTAATGTGAGTTGTACAGAGTTCACCCGAAATCATGTTCTAGGCCGCTTTCTTAGTTTTACCTGCTAATTGGAACCATTTGCTTGGAGCTTCTGATTCAACCTAATCGCTTAATTGCACACGCTGATCTATATAACCTAACGCTTAACATAACCAGCTGTAACATCTAATAATTATTTTCAGAAGTTCCAGGTAACATAAAAAAAAAATCTTTTTTTGGTTTGTTTATGGACGTGTTAAACATGCCTTTGCGGTTTCGTAGGCAAAGCTAAAAGTAAGAAACGAGAAATCGGAAATGGGAGGGGCGTATCGAATCCTCTCCAATCCTAAAAGTCCTGAATTTATCTAATAGGAACTCTCACGGCTTTCAAACCTTTATGAAAACAGTGTTTTTTTGTAGAAAACTTATCAGTTACTCAGTCAACCTTAGGAAAAATATTTAATCGAACTTTTGTTGCCGGTACGTAGTTGGTAGGTGTACTTAAGCTTTCTGGCCAAACAGACTGCTATCAACGAGGAGATGAAACTTGTTATTTAGATAACGCTCTTTTGATCTCCTCTACTTTTCTTTAAAGGCAGTTTATTTTATTGTTTTCTGTGGAATACCAACGAATAGAGAGGGACATTTCAAAGCTGACGTTAACATTTGTCTCCGTTTGGTCTCGTGTAAATATTTCCTTTTTCCTTTTGCGTAGCTGTTAGACATGTATATATATGTAATAAAAAATATGTATATATGAAAAATATAAATGTATAATAAAAATCCGCTCGATTGAAACACTCGTAAAGAAAATTACATGTACAACTATAGCTTTGTTATAACCTAACTGTAATTATGAAAAAAGTTTAGGTCATCTTCTGATCTGCATGTTGCGTGTTACTGTAACATTAGAATAAGAATTGCTCGGTCATTTACTAGTTGTTTCCTGGTTTTTCAATAAATTTTTTCATTGATTGCTCATTGATTGTCTCAGTAACTGAAGAGTGAGGGCACCCTTATTAAGTGATCCGTATTTCAGAAGTAACAACATCTTTTATCAGGGGCACCCAACGTCAATTTTTGGAAAATATCCGTTTGGACGACGATTTGAGATCTAGAATTTTCGAAACATTCGTTGTAAAATTTCTTGCTTGCCTGCCTCTCCTAGAATTTCGAACATCTAAAAAATGTTGTAATTGCCCATTTTTAACGGATTTTTACCCTGAAAAGGTAACCTGGAATTTGCGGGAGCCCTTTTCTGGCTGAAACTTTTGAAAAGGTACGTTTTGATCCCTATAATTTTCACATCACTAGAATTTCAGCTAGGAAAACCGAATCCATGAAAAATTTTTAGGGGATAAAAATATGCCTATATCTACTGTTTAAATACTAAATTACGTTCAACGATGCTACGTTTAACTGGTTTTGAAGTATATTTTCGTTGGTGCCCCTGTTTCATTCTGGCCATTTTAAGGGTTGTTCGCTAGGGAACCTGGCCTTTGAGTGGAACCGATGTTAGCGGCCGTGGTGGTTGGTCGTCTATGTTGTAGTTAACTGTTATCTCAGGTAATTTTTGTTTTTCCTTTGTTTTTGGACAGGTAATGTATGCTAATGACCTTGAAACAAAAGAAAAATAAAAATTACCTGAGATAAAAATTAACTAAAACATCTACATCATTCGCAGGTAAAATCGTCCTTACTTTTTTAACGTATGTACACGATCAAAACGTCTGCAACCCCGACGTTGTCTGTGGGAATAGAAAGAACACGACATATAATTAAGACGTCAGCTGCGAGTTTCAACGACATGTTTCCTTTCTTCTCTGACGAGTTACCCTTTGAAATACTCGATCGTTTGTACATCTAAACACGGAATATATAAAAAGAAAATTATTTTTGAATCTAATGGAACTTAAGGTGTCGCATCTAGTGAGTAATGCATTACTATAAGGTGTCCAGATCTTAAGAGAAAGTAGAAATATAGGAAGAAATATACGCTATTGACCAAACGAGAGGTTATGTACCCGCTATGTATGAGATCCCATTAACTTGAGAAAAATAATTCTGCTTGTGTCTTGGAAGTTAGAAAAACTGATCTTTCTATCGTCTATGCTTGTTAATTCGTTAATAGGTTTTCCGTAATTTTAAGTCACTCTAGCTAATTTGCCCAAGTGAGAGATTTCAGGGTTTGGATGATCACTCACCATAGTCACCCCATTTTACAATATTATGGAGTTTGCTGTAGACGATGCTCATGGGGTTCGGGCGGCTTTCCCAATTACATGCCTGGAAAGTAAGCGCTAGCCATCCAGTGTCATTATTGCAAGAGATATGAGGGCCTGCGATGTAAAATGACCTCTTTGAATCTCCTCGGAGTGAGAAAAATGTCGGAGGATTGCTGGTCAAGTCTTCCCATGGAGAAAAAGTTACTCGATCTGCCGAAAACCAGTTTTCCTTGTCACTGTTTGTAGCATTGAACACAATGGAAAGAACTTCGTTGCCGTTTTTGTACAAGGCCACGCGCGCCTGTAAAAAAGGACATGTCAAATATCTTAATGAAATATTAAAAGGATGGGAAATGGGCATATCATAGGCTCTTATCCCCGGTTACCGGCAAACAGGCTCGTCTCAAAGTCAGTCAACGAAGACTAGTAGGCTAGTTTTTACAAATGATTTGCAATATAGTGTTAAACTTCCTAACTTAGTTTCTATTTTACCTTGTTTTTATTAACGACTTAACTTCATTTGTAAAAGAGAACACGCATTTTATCTTCTGATGCAAGATGAAGCTGATAATCGTGATTTATATAAACATCACTTCCTCTAAGGTTATCCTAGCCTCCCACGCTGGCGTTTTTAGGGGAGGATGAAAAACGAGCTCCCCTAAAAACGCCTGCGTGGCAGGCTAAGGTTATCCACGACAATCTTGAATTCTAAATTCTTCGCTGTGGATTTTGGATTCAAGGTACTAGACTCCTCATTTTTTGTCAGTGGCATTTGTATTTCGGGTACCGATATTTAGTGGGGTTCCGCAGCTTCCTTAAATTACGGATTCTACAAACAAAAATATCCCGGTTTTCGGATTCCACTCGAAGATTACCTCACATGGGACAAATAAAAAATATTGCAAAGGTTATGTGTTTTAATGCGGTGAGTTTACGCAACAGGACGGCTGAAAGAGGGGGGAGGCAAAATGCTTGTGTGTGACAAACGTGACAGGGCTATTACTTGCACGTTTTGACGTAATCTTCACTAAATATCAATGTTTTTTAGTCTTTTACGAAAAGATCTGTTTAAAGGAAGGTGACGTTTGAGGCCAATTTTTTTTCAAACTAAATCATTGTCACGCTTGTCGCACAAGGTTTGCCGCCTTCTTTGCTCTTCTGTCCTGTTGCGTAAGTTCACTATTAGCATGAAGGAACCGCAAACGAATATGCCGCAGAACGTAGGATCCAAAGCAGACCTGATCAGCAAAAATATACCAAGTAACACACTGAAATCTGCAAGGCTGAATTAACTTTGCGAGACATAAACAACACCGGTAGAAACCAAAACAGAGCGAAACAGCGTCAGTGGACGACTTAGTACAACACCGCTCCAGTTTGGTTCTATCAGTGTCGTGTTTATGTCGTGCAAAGTTAATTTTCATGTTGTACGATCAGCCTTGGAGATTTCAATGTGTCTTACCTCCTTTGGTTTAGTGGTTTGCCAACTGGACACCAGACGGTTCTTGTATGGTATTGGGAAAGAACGGCTGATGCCCAAAACGTTTGTTACATCTTCGTTCAAAGAATCAGCTGATGTCCAGAGCTCATAAATGTAACCTGCAGGACCTGGTTGGCCACCAACAACCTTGAACACCATAGTCCAACCTTCATGGAAAAAAATGTTCTTCATGTGTTATATAACATAACATATGTGTTATATAACAGATCAGATCATGTGATATATAACAGAACATATCATGTGTTATATAACATAATATATCATGTGCATATAACAGATCAGATCATGTGTTACATAACAGATCAGATCATGTGTTATATAACAGATCAGATCGTGTGTTATATAACAGATCAGATAGTGAGTTATATAACAGATCAGATAATGAGTTATATAACAGATCAGATCATGTGTTATATACCAGATCAGATCATGCGTTATATAACAGATCAGATCGTGTGTCATATAAAAGATCAGATCATGTGTTATATAACACATCAGATCATGTGTTATATAAAAAATCAGATCATGTGTTATACAACATAACATATCATGTGTTATATAACATAACATATCAGGTGTTATATAACATAACATATCATGTGTTGTATAACAGATCAGATCAGGTGTTATATAACAGACCAGATCATGCGTTATATAACAGATCAGATCAGATCAAGTGTTATATAACATAACATATCATGTGTTATATAACAGATCAGATCATGTGCTATATAACAGATCAGATCATGTGTTATATAACAGATCAGATCGTGTGCTATATAACAGATCAGGTCATGTGTTATATATACAGATCAGATCATGTGTTATATAACATAACATATCATGTGTTATATAACAGATCAGGTGTTATATAACAGATCAGATCATGCGGTATATAACAGATCAGATCGTGTGTTATATAACAGATCAGAACATGTGTTATATAACATAATATATCATGCGTTATATAACAGATAAGATCATGTGTTATATAACAGATAAGATCATGTGTTATATAACAGATCAGATCATGTGTTGTATAACAGATCAGATCGTGTGTTGTATAACAGATCAGATCGTGTGTTATATTACAGATCATATCGTGTGTTACAGATCATATCATGTGTTATATAACATAACATATCATGTGTTATATAACATAACATATCATGTGTTATATATCAGATCATGTGTTATATAACAGATCAGATCATGTGTTATATAACAGATCATATCATGTGTTATATAACAGATCAGATCATGTGTTATATAACATAACATATCATGTGTTATATAACAGATCAGATCATGTGTTATATAACATAACATATCATGTGTTATATAACAGATCAGATCATGTGTTATATAACAGATCAGATCATGTGTTATATAACAGATCATATCATGTGTTATATAACAGATCATATCGTGTGTTATATAACAGATCATATCAGATGATGTGTTATATAACAGATCATATCATGTGTTATATAACAGATCAGATCATATGTTATATAACAGATCAGATCGAGTGTCATATAACAGATCAGATCATGTGTCATATAACATAACATATTTAAGCAATAGACCACATCGTGTGTTTTCTCATGTGTTATATAACAGATCAGACGGGTTTAACATAACCGATCCGATCATGTGTCATATAACCCACGCGGGATGTTGGGAGAACACGAGAAAAGCTTGTAAATCACAAGCCGAAGGCGAGTGATTTACAAGCTTTTCGAGTGTTCTCCCAACATCCCAAGTGGGTTATCACGCCGGTAAACCCATAGAAAGTGTGGTCTATTGCTTTTATAAAATAACTTTTAGTAGAATGGAGTCTTTTAGGTAAAAAATATGGTTTTAATACCTTGATCAAGTCATGTCTTCTCTCTAAAGTCATCATAAGCCAATCATGACTCACGATTTAATAGCGCTGAACTTTCTCCAAACTCAGTTCAATCAAACAACAAACAGCAGCACTTGAAAACACGAGTTTATGCACTCATTACATGATAACTTATGAAAGCTGTTTTACATCAAAAGTCAACATTTATTTAAGCGAACGTATAATGAAAAAATACGTTCATGGTTTGTTTACTACTGAAGTAGAAATTAATTGAACATCAGACTGTGCGCCGCTGTATTTTGTTGAGTCGATCCGTAAGAATTTCGTGTTTACAGACGGAACTGGCAGCTATTGTAATGGAGGACTTCATTCACATAGTACAAGCCGCAGTGGTTTAAGATCTGTTTTCTGGACTTTATTATGATTAAGAAATGCTGCGGTAACGACGTGGCTGCATTTGCGAAGTTGTCGCATGTAACTTTTATATGCACGGACAGCAACCGATGGAAATATGTCACTGGTGGAGAAAGGTTTCTTTGCCGTAGCCACAAATTGTCGTTAATACTTGTCGATTTGTAAAGTCAGGTGGTTTGAGGTAGGTTATGGCATCGATATCACCGAATAATTTGTGCAAATGTTGGAAAAAACCAGCCCGAAACTCTGACATCTTTCATCATCGTTGGCAGCTCGTTTACAACCTACAGCGGCCGATTTTGTACCATACCTTGATCAGAGATCTCTTTTTGGAACAATTTCTTTCATTAAGGAATTTAATTTTGACATAAAATAAATCAAGAATGCTAAAACAACCCGTTTCGTTGCTGGTTGGCACATGGTCAAGTTTTCCTGGAGACTTTCTACACCAGAAATTCACACAGTTGTTGTCTTTCTCTGCGATTTGGCATCGTCGTGAAATGTAAACTGCTTTCCAGCTTTCTACTTTATTACTTCTAAAGCTATGGCAGAAATAAAATGTGGAAACCAACGCTTTTGATATTAAGAAGGGCTGGGTAAGTAACTTGTTCTTTTTTTTAGCCTTTCTAAAATCATTGTTTGCAGATCAATTCTCGGTTTTCACTGTCACGCAATCAAAAATAAAATTGCAAACCATTCAATACAGAAAGTCCCGAATCTAGGAAATAAAAGAAGATAAATAAGCAAAAGGCCTCGCCAAGAATCAGGTCTGTGCGATATTTCATATGCGAGATATTAGGAAAAACGTTTTACCCAAATTTACAAAGCTTTGTATGGCGACGCCATGTTTGTGTCCTTTGCGGGGCACAAATATGGCCGAGAATAGCCGGTTTTGTTTATGGCTCGTGGTCCGGATGCCTTTTTCTATGGGTTTACCGGTATAATAAACCATAGGTTTTTGACCAATCAGATCACGCGTACTATCTCAGTTATTTTATAACATGTGTTATATAACAGATCAGATCGTGTGTTATATAACACATCAGATAATGTGTTATATAACATAACAGATCAGATCAGGTGTTAAATAACAGATCAGATCATGTGTTTTATAACATAACAGATCATGTGTCATATAACATAACATATCATGTGTTTTATAACAGATCAGATCGTGTGTTATATAACAGAACAGATCATGTGTTATATAACATAACAGATCAGGTGTTATATAACAGATCAGATCATGTGTTATATAACATAACATATCAAATCATTTGTTATATAACGGATCAGATCATGTGTTATATAACATAACATATCATGTGTTATATAACATAACGTGTCATGTGTTATATAACAGATCAGATCATGTGTTATACAACATAACATATCATGTGCTATATAACAGATCAGATCATGTGTTATATAACATAACATGTCATAACAGATCAGATCATGTGTTATATAACAGAACATATCATGTGTTATATAACAGAACATATCATGTGTTTTATAATAGATCAGATCATGTTTTGTATAACATAACATATCATGTGTTATATAACATAGCACTGCACTTATTTATTAAGCAGATCATAAACTTCTCAGTTGAAGAAACCCTCTTTATTTGAACTATGTGGTAGATTCTTTTTTTCGTGGCTGTGGAAACGTGTTGAATTTATTTAGGCTCTCGCCCATACAAGGAAGATTATCAGGTATCAAGAATAAGTCATTAAGGATGTCAAGGGCATTTACCCAGCCCTCTTGCAAAGTTTTCCAGTGTTTCAACATTGAAGATGTTCAGAGTCGTATCATCGAATCAACGTCATGCGAAAATAGCCAGGCCACTAAGCGCAGTTTAGATTTTTGGACGACGTAAAAAAAACGGTCTCTCTAATCACCTACTTGCCTCTTGAAGGCAACCTCATGTGAGGGACTTAATGTTTCAATTCAGATTGTTGAAATGTTTTCCACAGCAAAGAAAGTTTGCTAAAAACGCACAGCATATAAGAGCTGGGACAGCAGTGGAGTAAGGGGGCAGCGGCACGAGGGAAAGAGGGCGTTCCCCATCACATACTAAAGCTTGTTCAGTTACCCCCGTTAACTTTGTGAGCCTGAATTACTCTCAACAGCAATTTATTCTATGTTCCGGAAAAGTCATTCTCAGGCTTTTCAAAGATATTCACAAGTCGATTTCTTGGAGTGCAAAGAAGAGACAACTTACAGGTAATATTATTATTAGGCCAAGATGGTTCGTTTCTCACTGTGCCCTAAAATCACACTTAGAAAGGAAAAGACGAGGAAAAATAGCGAGAGCAAGGAAAATAATATAAGCTTAAAATGACGTATTAACACTTCACATTTGCACTGTTCAGCTGTTCTTGAATCATAGTTTATCAATTTCAGATGTCTCCTCTTAAGAAGTAAACTATTTGAATTGAGACATTTTCAACAGCAGCGACAGTTTGGATAGGGAATCCCCCTAGTGCCTAGAGCAGGCTAAGAAGACTTCTGAGACTTCCTGCTTAATATTCTATAATTTAAAAAAAAAGAGAAACAAATAGTTATTGTAATTGCGAAATGATTTTCCACAAATAACAAAAGAAAAGGGTTGCGAATTCCGCATTCCGGATTCCAGATCCCACGCGTTCCACAAACCCTACAAAAACATGGCCGACAGTAAATAAGCTCACGTTCACCGCCTTCTCTCTCTTCTTCGTTTGGTTAAAACCACAGCCACATAGAAAACAGTGATTGAAAGTATGCAGTCTTTAGGAAAGGACAATTCTCGAGTGGCATATACCCGATTTCTCGCTTTCTATTCTGACAATCCTTCTGACTTCACGATGGCGAAACGCCTGCGAAATGGCAAAGTAAGGCAAATTTCGCCACTCACCCCTCGACCGAAACTGAATGGCCGCCAAAACTTTTAACACGATTCAGTAGCTGAAGGATTGAACTACACAATGATATGCAGGAGAGTCTGTAAGTGTGAGCCACTTTTGAGATTTAATCCACTGAATTTGGCTAAAATCGTATGTTTCGCTAAGTGGGTCAAAGGGGCCAAGTGTGTTAAGGGAGTGCCCCCCATCCCAGTCCCCCATTGTTAGTCTTACTTACCTCCCCGTGTATTTTCCTGATCGCAGTAGACGTCGAACGTCTCACGTTCGTTGTTGTTAATCGCGACAGGATAAATACCATTCTCATCAAATCCATTCTCTAAGAGATGGGCGCAGTTGTTGTACCCTGATGGGAAAGATCGATAACAAGCTTGGTTAATTCTCTGCCGATCTCGCTATCTGGGCGTGTTCCTGGGAAGGTCTTACTCAAATGAGACAGGTTCGGGTGCTGGTCACTGTCTTGGTTAGGCTGTGACCCGTTTCCCGCTCGCTAAAAAAGGGACTAATTTCATCCCATTATACTACTATCAAGGAACAAGAAAACTCTAAAACTAGCAGTAATCGAGGATAAGTAAGCGCGTTCAAATGTTTACCATTGGATTTGAGGTTGCAGACTATGTCGGGGTCAAGAAAAATTATTTTGGAGGCCAATGCCCTTCTTTTATCTCAGGATCTGGAATAACCTGAGATCAGCCCCAATTTTAGCTGTTCTCATACATTCTCTCTAACGGCTGCCGTTACGCCTTGCCCGCCGGAATGTTATTTGGAGAGGGAGCCTGATCTCAGGCAAGAGTTTTCTCTTGTCTCAGGTTAGATCTGGGAGAACGGGCTACGCCCATCCTGCTCCCACTTACTTGAACAACTGAATCTGCCACTGCTTACCTGAATCACATATTTTCCCCTGATAATACGCTGGACATGCGCACAGGAAGTCGTGCTTTCCTTCGACAGGGAAACAAGTGCCGTTGTTCTTGCACGGGTTACGGGCACAAGGAGCCTGGGTAGAGCAAAAATCGCAACAATGATATTTCTGTTTAAAACTGACTCCAAACTTAAAGGCTAAATTTTAAAATTTTTGAGCTCTTGATTATTCTTATGTCGTGGAATTATACGAGACTAAAATTTGATTCGAGCTTTTTGATAGCTGGTTTGTATCTTTAAGAATATCGTCTGCTAAGTAACCTCTTTGTAAAAAATGGATTTAGCTAAGACGTATCTCTTAGGTATTTGTTAGGAATATGAAATGAAAATCTAGTCACGGCTTTCTGATAAATTGACAAAACCATTTGTTTGTTGGCACTTCAATTAGAGTGGGAATTGATCATGAAGTGTTTTTTTTTTTTAATTATATGGGAAAAGGACAGATGACTGATTAGTTGTTTACCTACGCTGATTAAATCAGCTTATTGTTGCTGTTGTACCCCCTTGATACCGCCTGGAACGACAAGAAGAGATTGTATTCGCAGGCAACTTGCTTTAACTATAAAGTACCGAAACTAAATTTAATTAGAGCATTGTCAAAAGCGGTGGAAATGTTATTTTATTTTTTTTAAATTAAAATTTGTTGATAAATAAATGTTAAAAGTTTATAACAAAATTGTCTGTTTTGTTCCATGATGTATACTATAATTTGGTACGTAAAGACGTTTCAGTTCAATTCAGTTGATTTAAACGTTCCCGAACAATGTTGATGCATGCGGAAAAGTATACTGAATATATGTCAAACATATGGTACCTTTATAGAGAAATACTTGATTTCACCTGAAAAAAGTCATTTTTTTTTATTCATAAAGATGTCTCTAGAGTAGTTAAACTGGTTCTGATTAAGAAACAACGGATGAACAAATATATTTTGGACTTTATCAGACTGTGCAATAAAAACTACAGATTGTTTTAGGGTGCATTGCTTTAGCTGTTGTTTCATGAAAACATTGACAGTCTTTGTTGTAACTTGTGCGGGTTCGCCAAAAAATAATGGCTTTAACTCGTAAATAATAAATGAAACCGGAAAACAAAGCAAGTGTGATAGTATTGTTAAGATCCCTCTATACTTTAAAGATTCTGTCCTCATCAAGAACTATTGCGACTAACTTGTTCCGCTTTTATTTCAAGATGTTCGGGATACCAAAGAAATTCGCGAAATTTAAGAGCCAGAAAAACAGTTGCGGTCTGGAAATTAACGACGCAAAATTTACTAACCTACCGCTTCCCCGCCCAAGAATTCATTAAAAAATATTAATGAAATTCAAATATAAAATACTATAAAACTAAAACTTCTATATTTCGTAGATAAATGCAAAAAGGCTGTGCTAAGTCTCAAACGCATAAGTTTTTGTAAAGGTTTCGCTTTGTAACAGTCTTTAAGTACGTCTTTACAATTATATACTGAATCAAATTGGCTGTAGCCCCCTTTCGGAGAAACCTACTTTTTTTCATTCAGATGATTTTTGAAAAATTGCAAAAAGTTTCTTTATATCCAAGTTTTTTTTTTCTCCAAATACGCGTGAAGTTTTAGCCTCGTGAAATTTGTCTCTACAGAATTACATGCCAAGGAGAATTAACACCTACAACGTACTGAAAAGGAGTGAAAACCTCGATAGCTGAAAATGATGTTACAGCTTGACTTACCGTGAAACTATAGTGATGAAATTCTGTACTTTCAATGAACAAATCCAGTGAAGTAAATTTATCCGCGTCCAAGAGATGACAAATTGATTTATTATCTACCTTCAGAGTTGGACCGAAATTCAGTGATCGGCATTGCACAAGTTCAGCGCACGCTTCCACACAGTCATCAGCACTGTCCACGATAATAGATTCGATCGGTGTGGAATTAAGTTTATGATTCGGAAAGGGGAAAAAGTTGCAGTAAAGAAAAACTCCATTTTCTACATCAGTAGAATCTTTTAAAGCTGTGGATGTAGCATTCTCTATCAGGAAAAGCGAAAGAAATAGATAGAAAAGGCACTGAACACCTAACTGTAGTGAGAGGTAATCCATTTCTTACGAAACTTTCCACTCTGTTAAAAGGCTTCTGAACATCAAAGTTTTCAAGGGTTTCATCTTCGGAACTTTTGTGATTGGACAAAAACTTGTAAAGTGCTTAGTAACATCTCGATACCGCCTTAGCAACAACGTTGCCTAGCAACATTTTCCTGAGTCCACAATCGTTAGCGTTGCTAAGAACCGCTGGCTTGATGGAGTGTACTTTAACTGGCAGGTGACTTTTATCGTTGTTTCACCCCCCCCCCCCCCCCCCACACCAAAAAATTTGGCATAACAATTGTCTTCGATTTCTGTGGGAACGATTGTAATACCTAGGAGAAACTGGAAACAATGGTTATACAAACTTTGGGGGCTTTGGGGTCTACGTGAAAATGGTGAATGCAAAGACGTCCTTTAGCCAATCAGAAATAATACTTGTCAGAATTGTAGTACGTGATGTTTTAACGATAAGGTTATGACACGCTATTCGTACTACGTGACAATACCTGCGTGGGTTAGTAGTACCTATTGAAAATAGCTTCGGCAAGGAAAATGCGGCTTGAAGGATTTTCCCACTTTTAATAACATATTTAAAATAATCAAGCATTTAGAAATTTGTGTTAGTAATACGGACAAATTTAATTTGTTTCAACGAATCTTTTTTGCGGCGGTTTATACAATGTGTTAACTAACCTCGCTTCCAGGTTCGACCTCGTTACCAGGGAAGAAAGAAAACCCTTGGGGAGGAGGTTGGTCCAGGTTTTTGTCATCGGTCCCCCAACGGAGGCAAACCTGGGCTCGGTTACATAAAACCTGCACTTAAGTGCTCACTTACGTTGGTCAATAACGAATCCGTTAGGGGTACACTTACGGGTGTTGCATGGAACGCACTTAGCACTCTCTTAAGTTTCTGTTTTACGTGGTAACTTACGCACAAACTCAATTAAAGGAACACGTAACTTTGTGATAGTACTTTAATTATTAATTTGAGTGTAAAAGAAGTGTCAAGTCGTTTAGAATAGGTCACGTATCCGTACTGTTTTTATCAAAGTTAACGAGATCTTTTACTGAAAAGTGAAAAAAAGTTTTTTCTTTACGTAATTCCGTTCTAATGGGCTTTGTTAACCTCTGATGTATACTTTAAAGCCGTCGTTAAGAAAAAAAATTTCCATTCAACGTTGATATTGAGGCAAAATAATGATTGCATGCAAACTTAATTTAAATGAGAGTCTTAAAAGTAACTTAGCTCCCGTATATTTACGTGCACCCTCAATTTCTGTTGCATAAATAGCACTTAAGAGAATTATCACTAAAGAAAATCGTAAGTGCAGCCAACTGAGTGAATTCGCCAAGTGGACAACTTAAGTAATTTAATGCAACTGACTTAAGTTACGAGTACACGTACAATATTACACCAGTAATTGTCACGGACGTTTTAGTGGCCGACCATTTAACTCTTGAGGGGGGGGGGGGTGATTTTGAAAAAAAATTTCCTGCAAGCGCTTGTCGGAAGAAAAAAATTGCATGCAGCACAAATGTAATAAAGAGCTTAAGGGAAAAAAAGGGAAAAAAATATCCTGCCCACCATATTGCTAGAAAAAAAAAATCTTGATGACCAGAAATCACCCACCCCCACCCTCAAGAGTTAAATGGTCGGCCCCTTATGCAACCGGGCCCAGCCGTTTCGAATACTTTTAAGCCTCGTTGAATGAATAGGGAAAGGCAGTTTTTACTAAAAGAAAGTTTTATATCAGCAGAAGAAAGTGTTTTATCACTTTTTTAAACAAAAAGTTCAACCAAGAAACTTCGACATAAAAATACTTTTTTGGAGGTTAACAAAGAGCATAAGAACTGAATTACGTAAAGAAAAGACTTGTTTCACTTCTCAGTAAAAGAACTCGTTAACTTTAGTAAAAACAGTAAAGATGCGAGACCTTCATAGGTCCCTTAAATTTATGTGCTATTTTTCCCGTAAAAAAAGTTTTTATGTAACACCCGCAATTTCCGTTGCATAATTCTCATTTAAGTGAATTTATAACACTTACGAAAATCGAAACTGCAGTCACTTAAGTGAATTCCCTTGAGTTACGAGTACACGTAAGTATACCCGTAATTGTTCCGGGTTTTTATGCGGCAACTGGGCTCGAGGAACGAAGTTATACTTTGGAAGTACTGTAACGTTCGTAACTATACTATGGTTACAGTAAGGTCTTAAGTATTTTAAGAACTAATCCTACGTCTTTTAATTTTCATATCTCATAAACTAAAACAACTTCAATCATTATCTATCTTGTATTTTTTGACAAAGGTCATTAAAATTCGATGTAGTTGGCAAATCGTTTTATTTCAAAAGTCCGCTCTCAGAAATATTGTCGCTAGCCGTGATCGCGTAATCCATAGTGTCGAAAAATTTAATTATAAGAGACTGCAGACTGTGAAGACGGTTTGCGGATGATCCATGGAGACTTAATTTTGGCTGGTAATACAAAAGAGGTCCTACGGGGAAGATCTGTTATTGAAGCTTGTTCCAAAACTAACGCAGTTAATAATAACTGCATTGTTGTAATCCGTTATTGCGCAAGCAGGTTTCATAGCAACCCAAAAGAACGAATTTTCCTGTTTGCTGCGATTTCGAAACTCATTAAATAAATACAGTAGGATTTCAAAGGAAGCATCAGCTTTGAGGAATTGTCAATTAAGCGAAAACGCGATTGGTTTGAAAATTGTTTATTCAACAGCAACGTAACCTGGGGGCAATATATTTTATTTATTGGGAAAAAGGTTTCTTACGGCTATGTTCGAAGACTTTTAGACTCCTATTTTTACAAGATTTTTAGCCTTTCATGCAGCTTGATATGGTTGAAACCTCGCATTACCTTACCCTATTTTTGCTGTTGTTTCGAGGAGGTGTGCTTGCGTCCACGAACTACAAAGGTTATTTCGATTTTGATGGTGGGACGTTTGCATATGGTAATGCAGTGGCGTTTTATGGCCAAATGCTCAACTCTACGCCAATCGATTCCAAGGAAATCGTAGACGATACAGAATGCTTTCGAGCCTGTGTTAAAGACTCTCGCTGTCGGTCAACGAACTTGAAATTAGTTGAAGAACAAAGCGGTAAATTTCTGTGCCAACTTTTGGATACTGATAAATTTACTTCTCCAGAAGTTTTCAACGGGAGCTCGGACTTTCATCACTACAGCTTCACGGTAAGCATGACTAGAAGTATAGATGCTGAATTTTTTTGAATAATTGATTACTTTACAAGCTATACTGTCAACGTTTGACAGAGTGTCTTCACTAATTTAATAGAGCAGACATTTTGAAACTAACTTGACTGCGCTTTATTTTGCTCAACAAACGAAAAAAAAATGCCCAACTCGTGTTTGATGAAATAAATTTCCAGAAAATGGGTTTAAGGGATATTTTTAGTGATTTGAAGCTGCTAAACATTGTTGAGGGCCAAGATGATAACAAACGAGCAACAAAAAGTCGCAGTGGTATTCCCACCCTACCTGCGAGCAGTTATCAATCATTTAGTTCTAACAGACTAAAGATAACGTGGTTGATGAGGAGAGGGAAAACCGGAGTTTTCCCGGAGAAAACTTCTCAAGGCAAGACCGGCAACCAACATAAAACTTAAATATTTATAAAACTAACATTCTGCATCGCCATGGGATTGGGCAACAATCCGGCAGGAGATTTTTCTCAATTCTTCCCCTATTAATTGCTGAAGATAGAGAACAAGCTTAACGCTTCCGTAGAGTAATGAAACAGGACTGCCTGGAAAGAAATGTCAATTTTATCCCAAAAAAGTGAGCGTATTAGTGTTATTACCATCTAGCGTCGTAGTGTAAAAGAAATATTTCGGGAGTAAAGAGACTTTTGTTGGAGCCCTAATTGGAAGAGCTGTGTGCATGCAATAGCAATTTACAAAAGCATCGATAAAAAACTCTCGTTTTTTGAAAGTACGAGATTTTATTAGAACTTTTGGAAGTACTTAGAAACTATTATCGTTTATTTTAATTCTCTTGTTAGTTCAGTTTGAGTTGGTTAAATCTTGTAAAAATCGTTGCTTTATAGTTTCTAATTGAAGTATATTTTCGTCAACATGACAGAAATTAAACGTCTTCTCTCTCCTCAGGCCCCATGCGAGCTTAACCCTTGTATGAACGGAGCTACCTGCCAGCCAATCAAAAACAAGTACGACTTTAAATGCATATGTGCACCTGGCTATCACGGAAAGCTCTGTAATGCAAGTAAGTACATAATAATAATAATAATTCCTTTATTTACCCTCGCCAGTATTTATAGCACTTATGCTAGTGGGGCCGAGCAAATAACTGAAGCAAACAATTCAAATTGAACTTAACAGGGTAAAGAATCTCAACTGACCGGAGGCAAACCAATTGGCTATTTACCAGCACGGCCGAGGATTTGAATTCGGGACTACCGTGAACAAATCCAGCTAGCGGTCAGGGTGAGAATTGAACTTGGAGCCTCCGAATTGCAAGTCCGCTGTGCTACTCAACAGGGGTGGATCTAGGGGGAGGGTGCAGGGGGCGCGCACCTCCCCCCCCCTGAAATGACCAGCGGCTTTCTAATTAACACTGTGCAGTCTGTTTAACAGTTATACAAAATCTGCTTTATCATTTGATATGTATTCTCAGCAGTTCACATTATGTTATTGCCTAGTCGAAAGCCTTCTTCTTCGTATTCGCTATTAAAATTTGTTTACGTCACCAGTCAATTACGCCATTCCTTAGTAGTGCACCCCCTCCTACGAAAAATCCTGAATCCGCCTCTGTCAAACTCAAATACAAAAAAGCAAACCCGCAGGATTAGAGCCAAAGTAACATGTCTGAAAAGCGGTTTCAATTAACAAGTAAATATTGAAAAGAAACAAGCCTAATTTATCTGGTTTAGGTTGCCAGAAAGATGGTCAAATTTTTATCCATGGTTTAAGCTTAATGTAATTTAAAAATCATCCATTTGTAAGGATGTGCTCCTTGAAGTTAGAATCGTTTGCTAAACATTTAGTCAGAGACCCACTCACTGTCAACCAAAAAATGACAGTCCAAAAACGGCTATAGGAAAGAAAACCTTTGAGGAACCGATCCTTGGCTAACATGATTGTTAAACTCCGGCTTCTTTATAGTTACTGATTAGCTTTGTAGTTCTGCGCCTTTGTAGCAGCCCCACAGGCGAGCCCACAGCAAAAAACTAACATTGTCACACCATACGCGCATGTGCTGCTGTGAAAGGTATGGTTTCCAAGCAGTTTGCTCTAGGATAGGGTATATAAATCAGAGCGTTTGGGTCTAGAATAGGGTATCATTTTTTTCAGGAAACTGATCAGTTGGTTGAAGATTTTATCTAGACTAGGGATTGTGGTATAAGGTTTTGTTTTGGCTAGACTGTGCCAGTGACCTCAGTAGTTTTTGGAACACAGCTACTCTAGGATAGGGGGGATTTGGGGAGTTTACTCTAGTATAGGGTAGCAAAATTCAGCTGAACTAGCTCTGGTATAGGTTAAGGGTTCCAGAGTCTCAGCGGCACATCCCCACCCAGAAATTCCTAAAGTACCCCCCCGGGAGAGGAGCGTTACTCAATGGTCACAGCAATGCAAATAAGGGCGAGATGTCGAGTACTTTTATGGTGAAAACCAACCCCCATGTTGATGCGTTTAACATTGAAGTTTGTCTCTCATCAGCTTATCGAAGTTGTGTTGAATTGTTAAATGCTGGATATAACAAGTCTGGAATTAACGTGATCAAGCCATCCCAGTCCCAGTCAGACACCCTTAATGTCTCCTGTGACCAGACCAGCAGAGGTGGAGGTGAGAATACGCATGCCCAAACTTGTTTGACCGATGATTGAATGATTGTGACGAGGAGGCAATCAGTCACAATGAGCGAGGGTATATATAAGACTTTCATATGGATAGCTTGGACGGACTGACTCACATCACAGCGACTCTTAATATCATTTAGACCTATTTTCTTTGAAGAAAAAAAAAACATTAACGGAGACAGATAACCTCTATTTTAAACCTGACAGTTTAATTGAACATGTTTCGAGGGTGCGATGGAGCTTAACAACTAATGTTTACTACGAGATTGTTTCGCACTTTCAATAGGTTGGACTATGGTGTTCAAGGTTGTTAGTGGTGTAGGAGATAATATTTACCAACTGTGGTCATCAGCATCCCCTTTGAACGAGGAGAAAACAGCGATTTTGAACACCAGTCCTTCAATTCCAATACACTATAAGAACCGCCTGGTACCAAACTGGCAAACAGCTGACCCAAAAGAGGTAAGGTAGCGGGGGCTCGCCCCCGGGTAGGAGGGTACCTAGCGGGGACAAAACAGTAATTTTGAACACCAGTCCTTCGATTCCATAACACTATAAGAGCCGCCTGGTAACAAATTGGCAAACACCTGAACCAAAGGAGGTCACAGTGTAGACTGAGGAGGCTCGAATTATTCTCAGTAGTTCCCCAATGATTCGTTCTGTAGACACGTTTCGATTAATGCTGTTACTCAAGAACCCGCGAAAGGGAGCGAGAAGAAAATTCTTTGATTTTCATTTGTTTTTATTAGTTTTAGTGGCTCACATTTTGCAATTCAATTTTCTTTCATTCATGAATAAAGTGAGTAGCCCGTACTAAATTCTTGGTTAATACACTTAAGGTCAACCTCAAACAAATTTTTTTTCCCTTTTAGGTACGCGTGGCACTGTATGAAAATCAAAACGAAGTTTTGTCCATCGTGTTTAATGCTACAAACAGCGACAACGAAAACTGGTTTTCCGCAAATCGGGTGATATCCTCTCCATGGACAGACCTAACCACCAGTTTTCATCAGTTTTTCAGTATTCCTGGGGATTTAGCTCTTAAACGATATTTTTATATCGCTGGACCTTACCTCACTTGTGCTGGTGATTCGGGATGGCTTCTGATTGGAGGGGACGGCTGTTCCTGGGAGAATCGATTTCCTGCAGGAACCATCATGTACAGCAAACTTACAACTTCCATTAATATGAGTGACTACGGTAAGTTATACACTTTAATGTGTCACGTTGATGCAAATTTGAAGGCAAAACTTGCCCGATTTTGATTTTGAAAAAAATTGGATAAACTCACCAGTTTAAAGCTCTGTGCCGGAAGTTAGAACCACCTTCTGTGACGAAATATATGGGGAGCACCACATTAAAACCACCTTAGTCAGGGCAGTACTCAGTGAAACACCATGCTTGTGTACTGATGGTTTTAATCATGCTTATTCTTGCCGCAGCAAACACTGGTGTCGCAGATGTCTTGATCGTGTACATTCGTTAATTACAAGGTAAGAGGACCACATGTTATTCATGTTATCTATAGTCCGCAGAATATTTTGGGTTTGGAAAATATTTTGATACTCAAACGAAGATAAGTCTACTAGAATATTTTCCTCTTTCTGACGCGTTTTCGTTCGGAAACCCCTTTTAAATACTTAGCTTGGGACAAGCCACTCAGTATTGATCGAGTGACGCGGTCCAGACTAATATAGGTCCTGGAGTGGAGAGTTTTCCGAAAAAAGTCGTCGACACTTGTTTGTGCACTAAAGCCTATTTTCCATGAATCGAAGGCTTTTCTGTGCGAAACCCGTTCGTGTAAACTTTGCAATCTTTCCTGAGTTGCAACACTTAGCGTGGAGAAAGAAATACAATGGGAAGCAATAAAAGATGTTTTCGACTCCAGAGATGGTTAAACTCTTGTCCTATGAGATTGAAAGGGCGTAGCCTGCGAACAGCAGACGCATTTCCGGTCGATCGGAGGAAGGGAAGCGACGACCGGAAATGTGTCTGCAGTTCGCAGGCCATTATTAATAAAGGGCGTAGCGCAACTTCTAAAGGACACAGAAGGCTCCCTTTAAGAGCAAGACGTATTTGCAACGACTCAAAGTAAATTTTCTATTGGGCCTAGCTAGCTGTTAAATATTTGAAAGCTTGTGGAAATGTTGGGGAAATAAGTGGAACTGTCTTGTTTATTTACAGGTGCCAAGCAGCGGGGAGTCTCTTACATTGTAGTTTGAAGCAGTAACAAATGATTTATTTGCAACATAAGTCACATGATACTTTAATAGCTTAGGGTCTTTAGCCTTATACAAGAATACCTTTACAAAATGTAGTTGGGAAACACTCCCACGGCTATAAACAGCAAATTATTTACATGTTACGTCTATTATCGACCAATCAATGATAATTTATATCTCGGCTTATTCTGTCACGAGAAATTTTGCCTCGAATCTGTAGCTCGATGTAGCTCTACTTAAAAGCGCGTCGCTTCGTAGCCACCGAGTAGCACCTGTCGTGACCTGTTCCAGATATTCGGATATGTAGAGCGAGGAGAAGTATCTACCACTGTCTAAACTCCCGGAACAGCTTACGCCCGCCTCGCTGCGTTCAACTTCACATATATTATAAATAATTGTAAACGATTTGAGCCCAGGAGTCATTAATTTCATGATTAGGTTGAGCATGATCGTCAGGGTGAACGTAGTCCTGAATAGGACTGTTGTTGACAGTGACTGACGTTTCGACGGCGGTAGTCATCTTCAGAGTCACTTTGACTTTGACTCTGAAGATGACTACCTATTCAGCATTACGTTGACCCGGAAGATCATGCCCATCGTCCTTATGAAATTATAAATGATAAAAATAGCTTAATCATCACGAGAAGTTGGAAAGAGTATAAGACACGCGGTTGTTAACATTTGTTGTAAAAAAACTGCTTAAGATTTTCCTAAGACCAATTTAGAGAAAATAAAAAATCCTGTTAACAAATGCTCAGCAGTAGCCATTATCGGAGAACTATTTAGTTCACCCTTAGTTGTAGTCTGTATTCCGTCAGCGTTCAACGCCCGGCCCGCCATCCCAGTTACACAATACACTTAATTTTCGACCCCCCACTCCATCCTAAACATTATATGGGCCACCCTTCCCTAAGTTTCGCGCGGTTCTGCGATACAAGTGTTTCCTATTACTTCCATCTCAGTGGGTCCCAGTCCTCACTCCTTCCTATTCACTTCCGCTACAGTCCGAATACCTGTTGATTAAGAGTGGCCGAAACTTATTCGATACGTGACAATCCACTTCCAAGATCGGAGCTGCGCAGCTTCGCTTCGTTTGAGAAATCGCGCAGAAATCACAGTTCTTCATATCCGGGATAACGTGCATGCAGCATTAGCGATACCACCAAAAATAGCCAATAATTTCCCAGCGGGAGATAATCAATTTAATTATACCTCAGCTGGGGATTTCTCGAACAGATTGTTAAATTTTGTTGCACCTACTCAACTCCCCCGGGGGACTGCCAAATAAAAGCGACGGAGATGCTCGTCGTCTCGCTTTAGGGTGTATATTCACTATATTTGCCCATTCAGGTATCGCTTAGTACTGTGCATAAAGAAATTTACAAAAAATGCCCCGACAATGACCAACCAGAAATCTCCTTTACGGGTCTGTTTAAGCTTGAGCCACTCCCACATTGGTCTCCTTTAGGGGTGTAATTTTAATTTTCTGACGAGAACCCCGTCCGTTTTATATGGGAGTCCCCCCCGCCCCTCCGGGCTTAACCCTTTGAGCTCTAAGAGTGATCAGCATCAAGATTCTCCTTGTAATAATAGTTCTTTACCCGGGTCCTTTATCGAACAGAGCGGTGACAAGAACTACAGTCTTGATCACGCAAGATACAACGAGTTGATAATTCAAAAACTCTTCACTACGTCAAGAGTTATCTGACTGCGATTTTAGTCGAAGCAGGCCAGCCTAACAGCGCCTTAAGACAAGGTAGTTATATACAAGGAAGGGTGAGTTAAGCAGAAGACTTTTTTCAAACAGGTTGTTTCCCGGCCGCGTCATTTAAGTACTGATATCTTATTGTGATTTTGAAAATTCGATGGAGAAAATTATTGATATATTTACGTCTTTATGCTTCTTTATTCTACATGAAAATTCTCCAGCTGTCAGGAACTAATGCAATTAACCTACGTACCCCTTTTACTCTCTTCCTCACGCTTAAACAATTCGTTATTTATATAAACCCCCAGAGCTACCTTCTCAAATGAGATTAATAGTTTTCGGGCACAATTTCAGGGATTTGTGGTCATGGGTTTTGTAACCTTCAAGTGTAACAGCTTGCTGGACTTGGACATGATATGATGTCCTCTCGAGTTAGAGGTTTTTAGGACGAGGAATTGAAAAGCCGACTGAATACTATGGTTTTTGCTTTCTTTCAATCTGGCAACTCTTTGGTACTGTTGCTTCTTTGCGGGATCATAATTATTGTGAAGTCCTCAAAGTTTAAAGGATCTTTCGACATTGATGGTGGGGAAGCGTTGTTTGCTAATCCAATAACTTTTCTTGGCCAAATGCTTAGCTCCGCTCCGCTCGTTTCAAAGGAAGTCATAGATGAAAGGGAATGCTTGTTAGAATGCGCCAAAGATTCTCAATGCCGGTCAACAAATTTCCAAACAGTTGCCGTATCAAGTGGCAAATTTATCTGTCAGATTTTGGATACCAATAAATTTTTGTCTCCAGAGTTAATAAGTAGAAGCATGGATTATCGTCACCACAGTTTTTCGGTAAGTAAGATGATTTGTCAAGTATATTTTTTATTTATGAATATTCTAAGGGTGCGTTTTTTTGGGAGAATCCAAAAACGGATTTGTGATCTCAGATCATGCGGATTCTTCACTACTAAAAAAACAGAAGATCCGAAAAAGGATTATTTACCATGACAACGGTATGTCCTCGTGCTCCTCGTGGGACAAGAAGAAAAAGCAACATAAGCTACGAATGAATATACGAAATGTATATATTTCGGTTTGAAACATAAACGTTTCTCGAATGGGATACACTCCTCAGGATAGTAAAATTATAAGAATTTTAAACTGAAGCCGATGTATGTTTTTTTTTTAAAATCACTTGGAAAATAAACCGGCGTAAGCAGACACTACATACATACAAAAAACATGACAAGTAAGGGTTTAAAAACACTCTACCAATAATTTGAATAGACGACAAACCGCTTGTCAAAAATACTTTTTTCAAATCCTTTCCCAAAAAAACTCTCAGATTGTGAATCTCAAAAATCCGAATTTGGATTTGATCCGAAAAATGTAAATGTAAATATCATAATATCCACTCCCCTCAGGGCTTTTCAGGGATAATTTACAACATTGGCTGAGGGACTTTGCCAGACTGCTTAAGGTGCAGTTTACAAGTAATGAAGGAATGAGTAATGATGCCTCCATACATGAGTGTGAAAGTGAGATAGACCACTACACCAGGCACTACGTGCCCTACTCTTTACGAAGAGTGTGTGGGTTCTTTAACGTCCCACAGATTTATTACATGTGCAAGGGCTTGTGAGACGGGGCCTACGGTTGATCGTCCTTATCCGAGAAGACTAGAAAGTCAAACCGTTTGCAGATGTTATTACAAAGGCAGCACTTTCTCCTCAGTTATTTAAAGACCCTGGGTGTTGGTACGACCTGAGTTTAAACCTACGGCCTCCCGCTCAGCAGACCGGCGCTAATCCATTGAGCTAACCGGGCGGCGCACACCCTTAGTCCCTAAGAATCCACCCTGAGTGTGGATTTTATGGATTCAAGATCTGTTTTTGGATTTGCCCCAAAAAACGCCAAATTCGTTTTTGGATTCGGAAATCTGGATTTGGATTTTCCCAAGAAAAAGCACCCTTAAGACACATGAAGTTGAACACAATTATATGACAGAGCTGCGATTGTGTGATAATGACTGTATTTAGCAAGTCAAGAAAAACTATAAGCGGTTATTCTTTTCCTTTAACTAATTGTCAAATTCAGTGCAAACTCTGTTTTTTAAGCAATCGTAAAGCGTTTAGACAAATCGTTAAAATGTTTAGACAAACCGTTAGAGCGTTTGGGCAAAACGTTAGAGCGTTAGAAAGACCGTTAATTATCCGTTAGTTTTGTAAAGGATAACAAATTATCACAAGTGTATGTTTTCCCCAAGAAGAAAGCCACCTGTCCCATGCATATGGGGGCCAGGTTGGCGACCAGGCGTGAAAATTTAGTTGACACTGAGTAAAAGCTGGTCGCAACGTCGAGCCCTGAGGGGAACACAGAGTAACACAGGGTAACACACGGGAACACAGGGGAACACAGCGGAATACAGGGGAACACACGGGAACACAGAGTAACACAGGGGAACGCAGGGGAACACAGCGGAACACAGGGAAACACAGGGGGAACAACGGGTTCACAGTGTAACACAGGGTAACACAGAGCATCAAAGGGGAACACAGGGTAACACACGAAACACAGGGGAACAAGGGGTAACACAGGGGAACACAGGGAAACAGGGGGTGACACAGGGGAACAAGGGGCAACACAGGATAACACAGGGTAACAGGGGGTAACACACGGTAACACAGAGGAACAAGGAGTAACACAGGGGAACAAGGGGTAACACAGGTTAACACAGAGAACCACTGGGGAACAAGGGATAACACAGGTTAACACAGGGTAACACTGGGAAACAAGGGGTAACACAGGGTAACACGGAGGAACAAGGGGTAACACAGGTTCACACAGGGTAACACTGGGGAACAAGAGGTAACACAGGGTAACACAGGAGAACAAGGGGTAACACAGGTTAACACAGGGGAACAAGGGGTAACACAGGTTAACACAGGGGAACAAGGGGTAACACAGGGAAACAAGGGGTAACACAGGTTAATACAGGTTAACACAGAGAACCACTGGGGAACAAGGGGTAACACAGGGTAACACAGGGGGAACAATGGGTAACACAGGGTAACACAGGGAAACAAGGGGTAACACAGGTTAACACAGAGAACCACTGGGGAACAAGGGGTAACACAGGGTAACACTGGGGAACAAGGGGTAACACAGGGTAACACAGGAGAACAAGGGGTAACACAGGTTAACACAGGGGAACAAGGGGTAACACAGGGAAACAAGGGGTAACACAGGCTAATACAGGTTAACACAGAGAACCACTGGGGAACAAGGGGTAACACAGGGTAACATAGGGGAACAAGGGGTAACACAGGGTAACACGCTTTTAGTCCTAAATTGAATACAATCTTGACGACATTTTCTCTCCTCAGGTCCCCTGTGAGCTTAACCCTTGCATGAACGGAGCTACCTGCCAGCCAATCAAAAGCCAGTACGACTTCAAATGCGCATGTCCACCAGGCTATTATGGAAAGCTTTGCAATGTGTGTAAGTAATCAGCATTGTTAACTGTTTTATCAAAGGACGTGGATAAGGCCGATCAGTTAAATGTTTCAACTGATTCCGGCCAATTCCAGCATGTCGCTGAGTCATGTAGAAAGAGGACACTTACTGTGGGACCCAGGTCCCATGTATATGATAGTAAGGAGACAAAAACTTGATTTTGTTGCTGTAATTTGCCTGCAGTACTGATATCAAGCCAGACACACTTTCTGGTTCTGATAACAAAATGAAAATTTTTGTCCAGCAAAAATAGCCAGCAAAAAGTGCAAATTACGCTAGCAGACCTTTTTTCGGCAAATAGTTGAACATTATGCTCGTAGTAAGTGGAAACCCCTTGGAACCACGCCCCACCCTCTTATTTGTGGACCAAACTGAGGCCCGAAGGGCCGAAAAAAGGGCTCCCACCTTATCTCAGGGTCTAGATGACCGCCCCCGCCCCTTATCTGAAGGTCTAGATCCGCCACTGTTTTTAACCCCTTAATGGTGACTAGTGCCATATCTCCGTTTGCCCTTTATACTTGCGTGTAAGTAACAATGACGGAGTATTTTTTTTAACCATTTATCTTTTTATCGCTTTTACTAATACTATTTTTTTCTCACCAGCTTATGAAAGCTGTGCTGAGTTGCTGAACGCGGGATTCAAAAAGTCAGGAATTCACCTGATTAAACCCTTCCAGACAGACATGTTAAATGTATCATGCGACCAGGCCAACAATGGAGGAGGTATCAGCGCGAATGTATTGAATTGTTTGACCGTCAAATCTACTCTATTTACCGTGTAGTCTCGCATCATTGGTCGTGTTCCAAAGAAGCCGAGAACTGTTACGAATAATGTCCGCAAAGGCTTTAGAGATTGTTTGGAAGGAAAGCAAAAACATGGCGGACGGCAGCGAACCACCTATTAAAGACCGGGCACTAAGGGTTATTCTAACTCAAGGAGATGATGCATCAGGGTCTCTTAAAGGATTCTGTAAAAGTAAAAATTAGTTACATATATGAAATTGTTATTGGAGTTTGGAGCTTGGAGCACTTGAAATGTGCCATGTTTGTTGACCTTCATGCCGCCCTTCCGAACGATCCCAAGATTATTTGTGGTCGCATATTGTACCCATTTTTTCACTCGTTTAGCAAATTATCTCTATTCCTTCTTAGCTCGGTTAAGTCTTCACCATACCATGAATTTGAACATCACATTTGTAACACAAGCTTGATCCAAAGATTCATAATGAATGCTTGAGGGTGAAAAGGCAGAAAAAATGAAGACTTATCCTATGCCGAGTGTTACAGCATTGATGAGAGAAGGAAAAAACACACTTAACTTTGGCAAAATGCATAAGATATTAACAGGGTTGTGACTAATTAGATAAACGGTTTGAATGTGAAGGGGAAAAGCATGTTTACAGGGTTTTTCCTTTTCCATCAGGGTGGACCATGGTGTTTAAGGCTATCAGTAATGTGTCGTCGGCTATTCTCCAGCCACTGTGGACATCAGCGGATACTTTAAATGAAGACAATACAGAAGTTTTGAGCCCCAGTTCGTTTCCCAGAGAACATTACAAGAACCGCTTCATACAAAACTGGCAAACAGCTGATCCAACGGAGGTGGGTGTGTTACCATTAGAATATGCACGCATTTACAGTGTCAGAAACATTTCCCCCATTTTTTCCGTTTAGCGTCATGCGACCGACACAAATTTGTGGCGTTTCCCAAAAAAGTGGCGGCTTTAACTAATTCTTTTACAGAACAATGAGCATTTTAGAGCATTTCGTAGCATAGAAATTTCCACGGTGTATCGTTTACGTTAATTTACTATGATCAGTCGTGGATCCAGACCTTCAGATAACGGAGGGGGCCTCTCATCCAGACCCTGAGATAAGAGGGGGCCTGGTCTAAAAAAAATTTTTAAACGGCCCTTCGAGTCTCAGTTTGGTTAAAAATAAGGGGGGAAGGGGCGGGCTCACTGGGCCCCTCCCCTGGACCCGCCGCTGATGATATTGAACATCAAATCTTCATACATATTGATTTTGTGTCCATGACTCGTTGTTTCCCAACCCAACCTCGTCCCCAGGGTCTCTTCGTTTTCCAATATGTCGGTGAAAAGAGAGAAGACTAACGCATTCAATAGGGGATGGCCTTATATATTTTTTGTACGCTAATAGTGTTTTAATAGCGTTCACTAGTACTTCTGACCATAGTTCGAGACGTGTTTTACGTCTGTTCTTTAACGTACGTCGTTTTATCAGTTTCAGTAGGGGAATTCGTTGCCGCGTTTCCTTTGGTCAGCTTTTCTTGTCGTTGATGTTTATTCGCACTTCTTGTTGATTGACGCTGTACTGAGGCAGGTGATGTTATGCGTTCCCTTTCAGGTGCGTGTGTCCATATTTGAAAGTCAGAACGAAGTCCTCTCCATCGTTTTCAATGCCACAAACAGCGACAATACAAACTGGTTTTCCGCCAGTCGAGTGATTTCTTCCCCTTGGACAGACTTCGTTACCAATCCACCCGCTCTTTTCAGCCTCAACGTTCCTTCAGACCGGCCCTTCTACATTGCTACACCTTTAAACACGTGTGGCAATGATGGAGGGTGGCTTGTTGTAAGCAGTGGACCATGCGCCTGGGAAAAACGATTTCCTGCACCGAGCATTTTGTACAGCAAACTTAAAACGTCTACAAACTGGAATGTTCCCGGTAAGCTTAAACGTCGAGCAATTTTAACACTAATACACTAGAATCCCGGTAACTCGAACCCTCGATAACTCGAACTCCCGATAACTTGAGCTTTTTTCTATTTCCCTTAAAGATTCGAATTATCGGGAGTCGACTGTATAAGAAGTCATCGGTGTAACGAAAGACATTCTTCGGCCAAGTAAAAGTAAAATATATCATTAAGGAAAAGATCCTCGAGATTCAATGTCTTTGCACCGAGGTCCCTAAATTTTATGCGAGTTTCAAATCTATCAAAAATCTACCTACCTTTTATAACTTGTAACGTTGATTACCGCATTTCCTTTTTCTCGCCTTAGAAAACGTCGGCTGTGCAGACGTCTTGATAGTATACATTCGTTGACTTCAAGGTGAGGCTGACAAAATATCACATTCAGCAGTGTACCGAGAGTACTCAAATCAGCAGGGATAAATTAGAGAGCTTAACACGCACGTCCACGTCACTGGAACTTGGATTCCGGATTCCAATCGTTAGCGGAATTCCGGATTTTAATTCTTTTTTAGAACAAACAACTCTCAGAAAATCTTGTGCTTTAGTTTTAAAATGTAATGAAAATAATTGTCTATACCTATCTAACTTATTATTCGCAGGTGACCAGATGAGGACCTTGAATTCACCGCTTTTTGAAATGACCTCTCCTGGTGTTGCAGGAAGACATGCATAAGGAAAAAGAATTTAACAAAAACAACAACAATAAAGAAAAAAGTATCCGTGTACATGGTATTATAAAAATCACATCTTTACTTTAATTTGTGTCATGTTTGTATTACTTTAGAATACTTCATTCAACTACTATGTAACACGCTCACTTTGATTTTAACACAAGAAGCAGGGGCGGATCTAGGGGGAGGGTGCAGGGGGTGCGCACCCCCCCCCCTCTGAGATGACCTGCGGTTTTCTAATACAACTGGTTTTCTGCAAAAAAAAAAACTGTGTGGTTTATTGGTGTTGAAGAAGAGCAAGAGACGAGTGCACCCCCTCCTAAACAAAATCCTGGATCCGCCCCTGAGAAAATATAGACGCATTAAAATCATGATGATTTTGAGCTATGCGACAAATGAACAATTGATCTGAGATTATATTCTTATTCCTTCCACAAAAAAAACTATATAATAAACCACTTTAAAGGTGTGTGTGTTGTTTTTATCCCTCTTTTTGAAGTATTCCCAAGCGCTACCACTCTCCCACGCCTAATCTAAATTTTCAGTATCAAAGCATGTTAGTCATGTTAGGTCTAATGTTAAGAAGCTAAGACTATTGTAGCACATTCTGTGAGCAATACCCAATCAAAAGGAATTTCCTTTACGGATTATATGGAAATTACCCGGCAAGACGAGGCTCCACTTTTTGTACCCCCACCGGGAGCAGGCTATAATTGGCTGACAAATCTCTGCGAGTATTAGAGTAATCGAAAACCATATATCAGTTTATTTGGACGCGCTTTGCTTATGTTGACCCCCTTTACAAGGCTACAGAAATTTTTGGTTGGTATCTGATTGGAATGTGTCGGGCACGTGACGAGAGGATCAAATTGGAGTTGATCTATTTGTGAGCTGTAAAGCTGGGAAGCTTATTCAGTTGCCCAGGGAAACGATACCCAAACATTTCATAGTCACTTTCATAAATCTTTGCTAATTCCAAAATTATGAGCTTGGGAATCTGCGAAAAGTAAACAAACAGCTCTGTTGAGGTTCGAGACGGGCGAAATGGCGGGAAAGAAACGCGGTCGTCAATTCCCGCCGTTTTTAATAGATATGGAGCGTCTTCTGCCAGGTCTTCGTAATGGCCGATAAAGTCGTATTGAATAGCACATGGATGACACAGCTTATCAAATGGTCTCCAATGTTCATCTAGGTGCCGTGTTTTCACGACATAATTCGTGAATTCCGAGAATGTCACGCCTCTTCCAGTTGCGAGCGCCTCCTCTGTCGCGTTAGGTCGAAATTTTTTGATAATCTCCCTACCGATCGCCTGGTGAAACACCACGTTTTCTCGCAAAAATTTGTCTTTGTAAGCTGACACAAACCTTTCAAGCGGCTCGCGAACGAAGAGAAATGTGAAATATGTTTTAAGCATCTGTTCTACTTCTTCAAGAGGATATGCATTGAGGTGATCAAATTTGATCTCACTAGCATGGTGAAAAGTCCTATTTCCCTCATTCAAAGCAGACAAGACCGTTTTCCATTGGGTGCTTGCAACTTTTGGAGCGAAGCAATAAATGGTTCTTGTTTTATGGAATACAAGGTGATAGCGGAGATCTTGTCCATATAAGGAGTCACTTCTCTTACGTCTTTTACAGTAATCTTTAACCAGTTCTTTCCTCGTTTGCAGTCGCATTTCCATTGTGCCGTTCATGGACGATATATCTTTCCTCCAACCGGGCTTCAGTTTTTCAGGCAGTTCTGGAGGAAAAACGTGAATGTCAAATATGTAAATAATCGCTTAGAAATCACCGTAAAGCACAGTTAGACTCCTGGAAAGAGCAGATAACTGATAGTTTGAAACTATCGCTCTTTACACGATAGACCGGCACGATCTTAGAATGGGGTGACAAAGGCTATATTGATTTATGTCTACACTTGGCAGATGAGAACGAACCAATGGGAACACACTCTCTTTTCAAGTACTCAGCGTCAAAATTCGGACCCGGTACAACAGGGTTTGGTTTGGACGTTTGCATTAAATAAGGTCCCCACTACTTTCTTCAAGACCTGCGATTTGGCCTAATAAAATGAAAGGCCGGAATTGGCGATCTTAATTAGAGGAATAAAGGCAGCTGATTTGCGATGTAATCATCAGCGGGGTTTTATAGGGAAGAAGAGATTAAAGAGCCTAGTGCGCATGTGCGCGTGTTTCTTGTAGGTTCCGAGGCATCGTCGCTATCTTTTGCGTCTGACGGATCCTAACTTTTGGGGCAAATGCGTACGATGAATACAGTACCCAGTTTCTAAAAACAGAAATATGCAGCTATAAAAAACGACTGAAAAACAAAATCGTCTCAGTTCAGTCTGATTCATTCAGAGACTTTTTACATTTTAAGTCATGCAAGTCAGACCAATTAGAAAGTTTTCCGAACGGCGGTTTCTGAAGAAACCGGATCAGGCGTAAGTATGCAGACGAACACAGTTCTCCCATTGGACCTTTAAACTCCAAAAGGCACAAAATGTGCTTTAATAAAGTGCGCAGTAAGTTTGCTACCTTGAAGTACTTCGAGAATTGAAGTTTTCAGCGCCAGCTGATTCTTCATGACCCAGGGAATCGCTCTGATGAAGAGATAGCTCTTGAAAAGTCAGTTTTTGGCTCAGTTGAAATAAAAAACAACTTATTGTTTTGGTTTATTCTCCCGACAAGGCGTTCAAAATCGGTCAGAAGTTGCGAATGTGACCATAAACTCGGGCCTCGCTCTTATTCCACAGAGATTCTGACAACACAAAAAATTAACTTACCTCTTTCGTAGCTTTGGAGAAAATAAATACTCACACCGATCAAAATGAAAAAAAGCAAAACCATTGAATGAAAAACATTCATGATGCAGGTACACGTTTAAGGTAGATCTTTATTATATTATTAGTCTTTGATCTTCGTTTTCTTTGATGTCTTTGGCAGCATTGTTAGCTAAGAAATTTTGTCACCATGACGACAATATAATTAACGCAATAAACAGGAGTGCAACCAGAATTTTTCCTTAACTTCTTTCGAGGATTTTAATTTTCAAGGCAGTTATTTAATACAAATGAACGGGACCAGACCGCCGATAAGAAAGTTAGAATTTACATTGTTACTTAATATATTAAAAGCAAACAAAAATACAACCGCAGTCAAGTGCCTAGTTTTCTATTTGCATAAGAAAGAAGCCTGTTCCAGGCTCTCAGATAGTGGGGAAGACGCAAAAGTGAAAGGAACTTGTGTTCGCGATTTCTCAATCCCAGCGGACCCGACTTTCTCGGCTAACAAGAAAGTGACCAGGGGCCCGTTTCTCCAAAGTCCCGATAACTTTTCGGGCCCGACATCAAATATTCAAATCGAAATAAAAAGAATAAGAGCCGAGCGTGGGGCCTGAGTAGCAAAATACTCCATTTTGTTTCACTGACCGATAGTTTTATCATGTTAGATTCAAGACTATTGAAACTTCTATCTCGCATGCAAACAACAACAGCTTTACGGGCCCGTTAATTTTCGGGACTTTCGAGAAACGGGCCCCAGGGCCCATTCGTTTGAAGGCCGATTAGCGCTAACAAGGGGCTAAATTTTTATAGCATTCAAGGATAATTTTCCCTATTCTTTTTAGATCATCCAATCACCAAAATACACACCAAAGGAATTAAACTGAATTTGCTTTCAAGCTTTTATATCTGAATTAAAATTTCGCACTAACCCTGGGTTATCTTAACCCCGCTTTGAACAACCCATCTCTGAGGGGTAACAAGATGAAAATGAAACGATTATATAATAGACCATTTTACAACTGTTGTGGCCTGGTGAGTTTAGTATTCCAGCTTTTGAGTGAACGTGAGGCAGAGGTTGACCTTGTTTTGCCGGCTACAAATCTCTTTCTTTTTCATATGGAAATATAATTATGCTTAACAAAAACCAGTCAGCATAAGAACGATATGATTTACATAATAAAGCAGAAAGAGTTGTACGAAAACAAGGCCAACTCCAACCTCGTTTCCACCTGTAACTGTAAAATGGTCTGTCATCGCATGTTAAGTCTTAGTTATTAAGCCAAGTTATCAAAAAAAACACTTTTAGGTTGTCACTGATTTGCTGGCAGCAAATTTTATTTCATAACTTGGTTGTGCGATATTTTAAGCAAGGCACCCTATATAAATAACAACGCTGGCATGAGCAAAGGGAAAGCTGTGAATATATAATTGGATAACTTTTAAAAACATAAGCTAAAATCACGCCACAGAAAAGTGTCAAAAGTATAAGGCCTTATTGGTCCCTGGGATGCGTCCTGAACCGATAAGAAAATTTAAATTTTTTTCAGAAATAGGCCAGGCTTATACTATTCTTGCATTTTTCATTGCAGTATGAGTAGCTGTCTAATTAAAAACACGAAAATTTTTAAAGCTTATTTTCCTCTTAAAACCGCTGGCCACCATGACTCCTCCGCGTCCATTGACATCAGAATGACTCGTGAAGCCAGCAACTTCCACGTCATTAACAAGAACTTTGACGTCTCTTCCACTTACTTTCACGCGGACATCGTACCATCTTCCGCTCTTAAGAATTCCATATGAGCATGATAAGGATTTAATCGTATAATATTCTTTTACGTTGTTGACTTTAAAGTGTCCAGCCTCCACACAACTGCTTCGATGGTAAGGCCTGGAAAAGAAACAAAAGTTGTAATTGGCCACTACTGAGAGAATGGGAGCATCGTTTTAGTACGAAAAGTTGTGGGGTTATTTGGATGAAAAATAAAGGCCATTAGTAAAATCCAGCTAGTGGTCTATTATCAATGCTGCATTCTGATTGGTTGAGCTACTACTAGGCTATATGTTATAGCCCCCTAGTAGCGAAAAGCGCAGGCTTTTTGGCGGCAAAAAAGGATTAAAGTCTAGCTTTAACAAGCTAAAATTTTTTTATTCTCGATATTTTTGACCAACCAGTTGGCCTCTAGTTATTCTCGAGGAATAATTGTTAAATAACCGTTTGTTACTTAAGTTCAGGGCACCTCTTTTGCGGAAGGATTTCAAATTCAACTCTCTTTTCAACGCCAAAAAAAAAATCTTCAATGTCCGTAGCAGGAGGTTTAACTCCACCGTTAGTTATCCCCCCCTCTCAGCGTCTGCGTAGAGGTTACTGATAGGTGAGTGATACAGTTAATGATGATAGTATATAAAACAGCAATTCCCCGAGGGGCTGGCCCCAATTGTTCAAATGCTGGTTAGCGCTATCCACTAGAAAAATCATTATCTAGTGGATAGGTATAAAGGAAACCAATTGTGCTATCCAGTGGATATCGATTGAGCCGGTAAAAAAAAGCCTCATCAGCTCCTTTAGCACAGCTTAAGGAACAAAATCAGTGAATTAAGGCTGGAATATTTCAACCAGCTTTCGCCCTCCTTTTTGCTCTTGTTTGATTCCAGCTGACCTACCTGAAAGACACGAAATCGAAGCTGTCAGCGTTTTTAACATTGAATATGATTCCATACTTTCCTCCCATCAGGCTTCCCTTAGCTTGGATTTTAACACTTACGACGTAGCTGTCTGCAACAATAACCTTAGGAAACAGGGCACGACAAATAACCGAGTGTTCAGGGTCTTCCACCCCACTGTGCGCCATCAATGTAAAAACATCTCCACCAAGCACCTCAGCAACTCTCGTGCTTTGACAATGCTTAGAGACGAACGGAAGTTGTGGAAGTCTCCAGGTAAACAAATTCTTGAAACGGATGGCCATCCGACGGCCGCCAGTAACAAGAACACCGCTGCCCTTATTGATCGCAGAGTAATGCGACTTAAATGTCGTTGTGGGTATGTCATTCATGATGACAGTGACCATGTTGCCGCGAATCTCCAAACGAACGTTGAACCATTTTCCTCCTTTTACAGCGCATGAGCAGGGTCCTGTTTTAGAACCCTCTCGCATCTGATACCCCGCTAAGAGGTATCCTGTCTGGTAACAGTGGTCTTTCCAGAAAGGCCTAAAAAGTAAAATATCTCATTAGTGTGAAAAAATAGAAGTATATTAAAATAAAATCGCTGATTTTTTAACTAAGCGTCTTATGCGTCATTAACTTATCAAACGGCTTTGTGGGGGATATGGGAGCGGTGGACGAAACCCCCTAAGTGTAACCAATTAAATCTTCTGCGCAATACTTTCCCGTGGTACTGTTTATTAAGCCGTACATGGTGGTTCAAACTTTTGAGTCTATGGAGGAAATCCTAAAGTGTGACCATTCAAGTGAGAGCTACTGAGCTGGACTTTCCTGTGGTACTGTTTATTAAGTTGTACATGGTGGTTCAAACTTTTGAGTCTCTGGATGAAACCTTTTATTAGGCCCTTTCAAATGAAAGCTACTGAGTAGTACTTTCCTGTGGTACTGTTTATTATGCTGTACAAGGTGATTTTAACTCTAAGTCAGAGGATGAAATCCTAAAGTGTGACTCTAAATTTTAAGTCTGTCAAAGAAATCCTATAGTGTGACCATTCAAATGAGAGCTACTGAGCAGTACTTTGCTGTGATGCTGTTTATTATGATGTGCAAGCTGGTTCTTTTGATCCTAACGTGTAGCTGTTATAACTGAGGAAGCATGAAGCGAGCCAAGGAATGAAAATGAGTTCAACATGGGTGGCACATCCTAAGTGAGGTTTGAGGAGTCAAACGTTTTTGACGATTGCTTTCTGGAGCTTAAGTGGTTAGGTATAGCATTTATTACCTGAAATAAATGAAGTCTGCGTTATTAATGTCACGTGCGTTGAATATGATTCCCACGTAAGCAAGTCTATCCCCACTCCAGTCTACCTCGCTGAATAAATCCACCGAAATCTGGTAACTAGTCTCATTCTCCTTAAGACTGTCTTGACCAATAGCGTCTTTAGCTCGAACGCGGCAAAAACCTTGGAACCAATGATCATTCTGGCTAATAATTGAATAATACTCCTTATGATCTTGCAACGAAGCGCAACTCTTGTCAGTAAATGGCAGTGGCGGCAAATCAGTGATGCTGAAGTCCTTGAATCGTATCACGTTGCCATGGTTATTGGCTACTGCCACACCACCAGCAGCCTTTAGAGGAAGATGAGCTTTAAAAGAAGTTATATACGTATCGTCCAGAAAGACAGTGACTTCGGAGTCTCGTATTTCAAGAGCGGTACGCGTCCATCGTTCTTTGGCGGGAGGACCAAAAGGACATGAACCTGACTGGGATCCAAACCAGTTTACCTGACCATTTCGTGCTGTGCCCGTTTGAAAGCACGAGTTGTCCCTTGAACCAAACCTAAGGAGATTTTAAAAACAATGATATAAATCAGTTATTTCATAAGCAAAGGGAACAAGCGATCGTGTACGTCTGAAAATTATGCACCAGTTCATTGAAGGTTAAATAAATTTACAGGCGCTAACTGTCCTGCGTCATTAGTCTATGTTCGCCACTTGAACATGTCCCATAATGCACCTCATTTGCCCTTCAAAATTTTGGATAAGCATTGTTTTTAATTTCTTTTTGGATGGCTGTAATACCAGGAGAAATGAAGAACAATGCTTATGCAAAAATGGGGGGGGTTGGGGCAAATAAGGTGCATTATGGGAAATGTGCAAGTGGCGAATATAGACTAATGACGCAGGAAAGTTAGCGCCAGTAAATTTATTTCACCTTCAATGAACGAATTGATGATATTTCTACTTCTTTTCACTTCTTTACTTGCTTGAAGAACACTAAAATTTCTAATTTATTACTTGCGTACAAAAAAGCCTATACTCAAATCAATGACAGCTCTTCCATGCCTTTCCTTAATCTTCTCTTGGCATATTTTTTTATTGCTCTACTCCTTCACTATCTGCTACGCGCTACTGAAATCTTCTGGGAAGCCTGTTTATTTCAAAGTTTCCCAACGAGGTACCGTTGGGATCTTTTCCAAGTTAAACATGTTTTAATCTGTGAGCCATTGGAGGAGTTTTCGAACGAGTTTTGTAACACTAAAATAGAGTTAACTATAGAGCGTTTTCATACACGTGGCCAACATCTATGTAAATTTATTTTAACAAAAGAAAGCATTCAAATAAGAAAGAGTTCAACTCCCACAGGATTTGTTTCCAAAACCAAACATGGCCACCGTTTTATTGTTTTGGGACACCAAAATTGCTGCCGTAACGTCATGTGAAAAAGGTCTACCCAATCAAAATACGCAGAGGCTCAAAGGAGCCAATCACATTTCGTTTAACTAAGAGCGTTATATCCTGCTCCTGCAATTTCATGCTTTGAGGTGGAGTCCCTTCTGATTGGCTAAAAAACGGCGCAAGATTATTCGGCCAATGAAAGAGCTTCGAATAACAAAAATAACACATCGGTAGCTGCTGAACTGCTAGGGTGCTTACCATTTGACAGAAAATTTCGAAAATTCCGGATGAAATGTAAATGGTAAGGTCACTTTTCGGAAATTCCAACCGAAAATTGAGGAGTACGTTTTGAGGTAGTCCTTTCATTCCGGTTCGTACAAACCAAACGGAATGTTGCTTACCATTAACCAATTTCTCGGTTCCTTCTCGGTTCCAGACTCACGCTACACAAATTCGCCCTTTTTTGGATTCAAAACGTAACGGATGTAGCAGTTCTTCGGTAAACTGGTATATCGCTTACCATTATGCTTTCGACTCCCCGAACGGATTTTTCTGTCAAATGGTAAGCACCCCTAGTCTCCCTAGTCTCGCAGCCGTTTTTGTTTCGTCACGTAACGCTCCTTAGTTAATTTGTCGGGAAGGAGCGTTGCGTGACGAGACAAAAACTGCTACGAGGGAGACAACTGAACTGGACACAAAACAAATGAAGAAAAAGAACCTCAGCATCATTCTATCATAAGTCTTTTACCTGAAGGAGACAAAATCGAAATTGTTCTCATCCTTAGCGTTGAACAAAACACCAAGATAAACATCATCAGAGAAACCTTTAAGTTCAGGCACGTATAGGTCAGCGGAGATCTTGTAAGCGTCAATTTGGTCATGCGCTGATACGTCCGCAGAATCCAACAGGGTGCGGCAAAAGCCGTCGTCAGGCCAGCGGCCATAACTCGCGTTTACCGTGTAGATTTGGTCATCGTTCTCAACGTTCACACAAGATGGCATTTCCCCTGTTTAAAAGTATAGAAAATTTACACACTTTAAGAGACCGTATAAACTTAACCGGTTGATCGAAAAAGTAGCTGCATTTAATTAGCTCCTCTATTTTTCAATTTATCCCGGTCTACACACCAGTCCAGTCCACATTCATCCGTCCATCAGTCCACATTTTATTTTAATTAAGAAATTTTGGATACATTCTGGTTTTAAGCTTATCTAAAGGCACACACTCGTTTCCTTAGATTGAGACCTAAACGTTCGAAGATCTTATTCACGCCTCCATTCGTTCAGAACATTCATTCATTCATTCGTTCGTTCGTTCATTCATTTCTTTGTTCATTCTCCTATTCACACTCCATCATTGGTTTACTTTTAAAGCATTTACCTCCGTTAGTTGTATCATTCTTTCCAGAGCAATCCGCTGTTTCAGTTCTAGCCTTGATAACTTTTGGAGTTTCGCTGTAAATTAAGTCTGACCAGCCACTGGGACCGTAATCATTTCCAGCAGAAACACTGATTATGTACTGTGACTCAGGGCTTAGAGACCTAATGACGAAGCTGGGATTGGTTCCAGGCATTCGAATCACTCGAATCAACCGTTCAGTCGTAACTCCCACGTCTAAAGGGAAGAGATATGAAGAGTATTTATATGATAAAGAATTTTAAATTTGGTATAGAGGTTAGATATTCAACAGTGCGTTGAAATGTGAAGTTACATCCGCTTGTCCTTTGTTAGACTGCGAGCAGTCTATCTCTTTCTTCAGATTTAGTAAGGGGAGTGCACACGCGCAAGAGCGTTTAGCGGCGAAGCCGGGAGACGCAAGAAACGAGTCGGTCATGGCGTGGTCATTTGCGTGTCTCGGGCGTTTTGCTCGACGGACCAAGAAAAAAGAGAGACTGCTCGTAGTCTAGTCCTTTGTTGATCATAGATAACGCATAAATAGTAAGGCAAATGGCAGTTTTGAGAGATATGACGCAAAGAGCACGAAGGGTGGAAAAGAACAAACGAAAAGTCATTTTTATGAATAAATACCTTCCGTTACTTCGGCAACTCTGACTTCGTAATACAATCCATGACCCTCTCTGATTGGTGAATCCCACGTTACCTCAATCTCTGTTTCAGAGAGAGCCTTGGCCTTTACATTCCGGGGCGTATCCGGGAAGGTTGCCTGCATAACGAAAACAACAAAGTAACACAAGACGGTTTTTTATATTATCTGAGCAAGCACTGTTTCAAATAATGGAATTTGTATACACGACAACCTTTAATTTAAATCGGAAACGTTCCTTGACTATCTGACGCTACAACCAGTTACAAAAATGGTGAGACACTCCAACGAAAAAACCACCGTTCTTACTTTAAATCGCTGCTAGTCACAGGTCTATGAGATATAATACTGACCTCCATTTCTCCCTCCCATTCAAAGTTGTTCCTCCACGTTTTGAGCATGATCTTGTTTTGCTAGCAACTTTGATAAGACGTGGAGGGAGATCACAAGCACAAGATCATGATCAGGCCATTTCAGCCAAAATAAGTACAGTGTCTCAAGTACTTTTGCAACTAGTTGTAGCGTAAATTAATAAATTCAATAGTCAAAACTCGTAACAATGGTTAAAAGCTCTAAAGCAAGGGTTTTTTTCAGAATCTAAGACGCTCACCTCTACAGCTGGAGATGTTGGGGCTGATGAAGTGTTTCCTACCTCTTCAGGTGAGGTAGTTGTACCTCCCTTTTTAGGTGAGATGGCTGTTCCTTCCTCTCCAGGTGATGTGGTTGCGCTGACTTCTTCCGGCGATGTGGTCGCTCCTTCATCCACTTCAGGTGATGTGGTTGATTGTTCTTCTCCAGGTGATGGGGTTGTTCCTTCCTCTTCAGGTGATGTGGTTGCGCTGACTTCTTCCGGCGATGTGGTCGCTCCTTCATCCACTTCAGGTGATGTGGTTGATTGTTCTTCTCCAGGTGATGGGGTTGTTCCTTCCTTCCTCCTGGTTGACGACTTCTTCCGGCGTTGCGCTCCTTTTTCAGCTGATGTGGTTGATTGTTCTTCTCCAGGTGATTGGGTTGTTCCTTCCTCTTTAGGTGATGTGGTTTCACTGACTTCTTCAGGTGATGTGGTTGGTCCGTTCTCTTTAGGTGATGTGGTCACACTGACGTCTTCAGATGATGTGGTTGCTTCTACTTCAGATGATGTGATTATTCCTTCCTCAGATGATAATGTTTTTGCACTGACTTCTTCAGGTGATAAGGTTGTTCCTTCCTCTTCAGGTGATGTGGTTTCTTCTTCTTCAGATGATGTTTTTATTACCCTGATCTCTTCAGGTGATGTGGTTGTTCCTTCTTCAGATGATGATGCTGTTGCACTGACTTCTTCAGGTGATATGGTTGTTCCTTCCTCTTCAGTTGATGAAGTTGTTCCCTCTTCAAATGAAAATGTTGTTACACTGACGTCTCTAAGTGATGTGGTTGCTTCATCAGATGATGATGTGGTTGTTCCTTCCTCTTCAGGTGATGTCGTTGTTCCTTCTTCAGATGATGATGTTGTTGCACTGACTTCTTCAGATGAGGTAGTTTCACTGTCTTTTTCAGATGATGTGGTTGCATTGACTTCTTCCGATGATGTTGTTGTTCCTTCCTCTTCAGGTGATGTGGTTGCTTCTTCTTCAGGTGATGTGATTGTTCCTTCCTCTTCAGATGATGTGGTCACACTGACCTCTTTAGATGATGTTGTTGTTCCTTCCTCTTCAGATGATGTGGTTATTCCTTCCTCTTCAGGCGGTGTGGTTACCCCTTCTTCAGGTGACGTGGTTGAACTGACTTCTTCAGGTGATGTGGTTGTTCGTTCATCTCCAGATGCTGTGGCTGATCTTTCAGAAGAGGCGGTTGTTCCGTCCTCTTTAAGTGACGTGGTTGTACTTTCTTCTTCTCCTTTATCCTCGCCAGGTTGTGTGGTTGTTCCGTCCTTTTCAGGTGACTTGGTAGTTCCTACTTCCTTGGTTGGCAATGTTGTTTGATCCTGGATAACTGATGTTGTTATTTGCTGACTATTTGATGGAGATGCGAATTCTGGTTTTGTTGAGATGGTTGTTCCTTCATTGTATGAAGGAGATGTCGGTGTTTCCTGAGTAGTGGTGGTAAAAGGTGTCGCTGTGGTCATAAGGTCTGACTTTCGCGGTAGGAATTTACCAGCTAAAAAACAAATCAAGCACAAAAAGAATCACAACAGAGCACAAAATTTCAGTTTGTTTGAAATTATCTTTTCTGCCTTACAGATCACGAGGTTTGGATAGACAAACGGCACGGTTCCCTGACAACCGAGGGTGTGGTTTAGTCAAATGGTAAGTATAAAAAATGGCAGCATTTGCCTTTAAAATTCGTGTACAAAAAAGAACCCCCAAGTGCAAAGCAAAGGCTACAAAGGCCAGGGACTCAAACAACAGTTTTCAAATTAAGGTGTAGATACGTGCCTTGGCTTTTGAAAGTGTTCTAGTACCGTAGTCTCTAAGTGCGAACCACATCGGGCGTGGACAGGACTCTTAACTTTTTGCTTCATTCGCGAATCACACTTCACTTTTAGGTAATTTGATCTTTCGAGTCACTGAATATAGAAAAGCTGAAAATATAACGCGAAGAAATATAGCAGGGATGCACAATTATTTGGTTGTGACCTTGTCTGCAAAAATCTCACAAATTCAAACATACGTATTCTCTTGACGAACACATGCGGTGGAAAGGATTGGTCATTCTTCAGTCGTTTAGGGAATTCTGCGAGAAGCTTTAAATCCTTGCAGGTATAGCACGCATTTTTTCCATTCTCCCACCACTCAACTGCCTCACATCCATCGCCACAAAAACTTCGACACTCCTCCGCCGTTGTACCTCGCGTGATTAGCTCTCTCCCAGGGTCTGTGCACCAGAAGCGCCTGTAATCCTTCCATTTCTTATCTAAAATGTGATGCCAAGAAATTAACTAACGTTAATTGGAAGTTGGCAAGGAAGTTAAGACACCGTAGAGAGACAGCCGAAGGCGAAACCTACGCTCAGTTGTGAGAGGAGTGTAAATTCTAGCTTTTGGGGTGTGGCGAAAAAATCCCTTACTGAGATGTAGCCGTTTAAAAAAATATAAGAGAAGCCTTGGATTTTGTGGGCTTTCAGACCTCTTGAAAGTGAAAGGAAGTTTTTTCAATCTTGGCCAAGTGACTCGGAGTGACTTCGACAAAGTAGATACGAGCACATTTCTTGAATGGCTGAATCTGCCTTTGCTTCTATATTCAAAATTTTAGTACGGGATATGTAATTATAGTTTCATTCAATCAAAAGCCTCTAATTCGGCCCACTAATTCACTCTAGTCAGTAAAGGAAATTTGCTTGCGATAACCCTCCGAGTGTGAGGACATTTCGGTTCGTGCCTTTCAACTGAAATGTGAACCACAGACACATTTTTACAGCTAACCACAATTTTGACGCATTTGATCCACCCATACATACAAAAATAACTCTTACGGAGGAGAAATGCCCCTAGGGTAAGAAACAAGAAAACTCACTATTAAAATATATCCAAATTACATGCATCTTTTCGTGCATTTCAAAGTGAGGATCCCAAAAACATTCACCTTTCGCATTTTCCCAGTCGATGTTGTTTTTTTTTTAGTTTTATCGTTCTTCTGAACTTTTGCAGGATAAAATTTCTCTATGCCACTAAATAGCGTGGCATTTATTTGAAATAACATTCCTGTTTTTATTCAGATGACCAAAGAGGATCAGACATACCAAGGAGATTAAGGTAAGTCTGTTAACATTAGAACAGGATTATCTTATTTATTGATGTTTTTCTTTTAATCATCACGCTTGTTACGTTCTCTATATCTTAAACCGAGCCAATCTAATCCGCTGCTCCGCTCCTGTATCTGCTATATCCGTTTGTGCCGCCGGTTAGCAGTACAGTGGGGAATTCCTGTACCCGACAAATCAGGTTTGCCATTATCCGTTTTTAAGGCCGGGTTACAAGGCAGTACAGTGCCCGGGGGTTTTTCGTTCCAATTTTGAAATGTGGGAAATTATCCCCCAAAAAAAAAAATGCTTTCCCGACAAATCAGGTTTGTCCCAGACATTCATTTTTTACACTGAAAAAGCAGTGTTGTCAAGAGGTTTTACATGACTGTCCTTCTGACCATGTTAACGTATTTCGTGTTTGCTGTCATTCCGTGACCGGCCATTGAAACGGCTTCTCCGTTGGAGTCACGCCACAGTTACGATAAATGACCCCTAGAAGTATTTCCTACAAAGGGATATATGCTCCGCCACATCGGCGAGGCGTGAGGTGAGGTATAGATTGAGATGCCGAGGAAAAAAAGTAGCTCCTTTTCCTACCATAGTCATTTCAAGGTATACGGAAGAGGTACTATTTTACGTCTTGTTAGCGTTTAACTGCATGTCAAAACTAGCCTGCGAAAACATCCGTTTCTCCTCGCTCTTGGCCACTGGGGACGTTTCGTTCCTCCTCGCGAAACGTCCGCAGCGGCGAAGAGCGAGGAGAAACGGATGTTTTCGCAGGCTATGTCAAAACGCGATAAAAGGAGAGGGTGATTAAGACTTCGGCCGGAGCATCCCTGTACAAAGTCAAAATTTTATAGTTACTTCCATCTTTATGCATTTTACTACTTAAAGCAAAAGTAATTAATTCGTGGTTGTTTAAGCTCTCTCGAACATGACGACTTTCGACTTTCGCAATTGGGTTATTACCTTATCTCATTGTCTGTCAGTCCAGTACAGGACCGTAAGACCTCTTTTGAAAAGGGACTTATAAAACCAAATTCTTTAAGCAAATGTTTATGATCCAATTGTAAGTTGACCAGCTTTTTTTAGTTACCATTTCCTTTCACTGTGAGTTTGAAGTCGGCTTGTATTAATAAAAGAGAATGAATGAAAAAGTGTATTTATGAGGTGCTGAAATGTAATATAAGTCTATTAGCTAATAATTCGATTTTTGCGGTTTTGGAAACAATGAAATGAATTTCCCAATCGATTGTGGACACATAGGGCTCTTCTTTGTCACGCGTTGAGGCGCCTTGGTTAGTATTACCAAATAATATGCAATGTAAAACGACCTCAAGGCGGTTCGTTTTCAAGGATAGAAATCAAAGAAATCACAGATCTTGAACTGGAAAGTAAGGTGTACGATAAAAATATTGTTTATGAAGCGACTTACTTTTTTTCTTCTTTGACTTCTTCGAAAAACTGATGGCGGTGAAACACATCACGAGCAACAAAACAAGCTTGAGCGTTCTCCACATGCTTGACGACTATGTTGCTCTTTTTTGGGCCTTGTGCACCCAAAGTGAGAACCTAGATGTCAAAATGGTGTATAGAGATAATGAATGGTTTATAATGAGACATTACTAAGAAAAAACACCGTCTTTACCTGAGTTTATCTTGGCTGTCACAAAGCTTCTGGTTGGCACACAACTTGAGAAAGAGCTGAAACGTTTTGGAATTCAATACCCTAGGATACTATCGCTTTTCCGCCGCATATTTCTGATGCCGGTGTGGTTCCATCTGTCCGTCTGATGAAGCGAGATCCTGAGTAAACGTTTGTGTTGTGCTGTTGATTGATGACACTGCTTGAAGCTCTATGTTTATTTGTTTAAACATGCAATAGAGTCATGACTATTAAAACATGTGGAAATATATTAAGATACAAGAGACAATAACAAGAATAACAACAACAACAAAATATTTCTGGAGGTCTCCAAAGTAAAGAGCAAAGAACTCACGTGCCAAAGAAATTATGCTTAGGCTAACCGGATATGCTAAGTTTTACCCACAGCTGTCGGGGCGGAAAAAAAGGGAGAAGTTTCAGAGAACATAATAAATATTTCGTCGCTTGTCGCAAGGCCAAAGAACTTGACAAGGTTATCAGACAAGAACAATTTGTGTTTTTATTGGAGTTATGTCATCGATTGTGTATCATGAAAGCTTTCAATGTCATTCACGAAAAATCTTCCAAGTGTAGACGTCAGAATGTAAAGGAGTTCCCCATTCAGGCGGAGGTCGAGATAAGAATGAGATAAAAATTTTGAAAGTCAGAGAATTATTCCTCCAAAAATCGACAGCGAGCCGGAATCAGTTTCCACCACAGGAGTGAGAAAAGCAATTGACCGACAATTTGTTAAATCAATGATTCTACGTACCCGAAAAGTGTAAAACGCACATATAAAGCCTTCTTTGTCATAAAAAAGCTGATACAGCTATTATTACCTTGACTAGCCAGAGCAAACCTTATTCATTCCTTTTCCAGAGTGAATTCTCTGTTCCATCATTTGTTGTACAGTGGTAGACGGCGTTTATGCGTTTCCTCCAGGCTCGTGGATTCCTCTTCAAACCAACAAATAAAAGAAGAGTTGTGACTAATAAGCTTTTTTCCCTTTACACTGATAAACAATATGTTGTTTGTACCTTCATTTTGCTGAAGGCTGCTGGTAGTGTTACGTAGGTTGCCACACAAGATTTCCCGCCAAAAACGAGCTACTTATGAGTGCATTTCAGATTGGCTCACATGGATAGGGCGAGAGTTGGGCGAGAGTGTAGTGTCACCGTTTTGGTGCACCCGTGATATGGCCGCGGGAAAACAACAAAAACATCTGGAGTTCACTTTTTTTACAAAAGCTCTTTCTTTTCACTCGAGAACTATCATACGTGCGGATAAACATATCTTCTAACACTTGAAATTTTTATACTGCTGAAAATCAAGAGGAGAGACTTTTTTTCAACGAGACAGCATTCCAATTTTGGTGTAACTCACTGTGACAACTCGGAAGTTCAAATTGCTGTATTTTCGAAATGAAACATGCTACGGAAATGGAAACTTGTACAAACATTCACATTTTTGTATCTTCAACCTAGTGTATATAAGAATTCGTAAAACCTCGCTATTTTGACTTTACAATTTGATGACGTCACTGTAACCATCTATAAGTAAAATTTTTCTCATCGACGGGTTCACAGATTTTCTTACCCGTGGGATGAAAATTTCAACAGAATACAGTCAAACCTCGTTAATAGTAATACGGACTATATGAGGGAGTCATAGAAAGTGTCCGTATTAACGGGGTGTCCATATTGAGCTGGGCCGAGTTGTTCAAAGCTGGGTTGAGATAACCCAGGGTTAGTTCGAAATTTGAATTCAGATATGAAAGCTTAAAAAGCAAATTCAGTTTCATTCTTTTTGTCAACAATTTGATGATTGACTACTCTAAAAAAAATAGAGAAAATTGTCCGAGAAAACGCTTTTGTTGGAAAGAAAAAGAGACGCGGTTTAAAATTTAACCCTGGGTTAGCGCTAATCGGTCTTCGAACAACTGGGTCCCGGTTGAATGTAGAGAAAAAAGCAAACTGTTCGTAGAAAGCGGGGTTTGACTCACTGTATAATTAACGTGAACTTGCCAGTTAGGTCAAGTTAACTCAAAACTATTATTTTCAGTTTGCAATACAAAATGTCTTTGGATAAAAGGAAGAATTGCCGCCTTATGGGGTACATCTTACATGTTTCAAGACTACGGTTGAGAGAACACAATAGCCGACGCGCGGGTCGACGCGCGACGCGCGACGCGCGACTCGTCGAACTCCGTCCCAGGGCACCCACTGCATACATGTAGAATTTTGCGTGGTTACTCAGACATGTAGCAACTTTTCCAGAAGAGGAACCCTTCGTATCCATTTTAACTTGGAAAATCCTCTCGTATTTTCTTTTTGGTTGTGCGCTTCAACACTTTTGTTTCCTTCATGGGGAGATGAAGTCGCTCTAGAAACGGTTTTTTAGAGGAAATGTTTGAGTTCTAGTGAGTCTCAACCATATTTATCGAACGTGTTTACCTTGGACACGAGTTGTTAGGGACGTCGAACATTTGCATGCGAAGTTAAATCCTGCCGAAAAACGCCGAAGATGAGGTTCAAAACTCACATGCTAAAAGAATCGAAACGTATCCTTTTGTAGAAAAAATACCAAACAATGTTAGTTGCAGCTACCTTATAATCAAGGTAATTCTAATCTATTTCAGTCTAGCTTGAAATCAGCTTAACATTGCTTGCTTTATGCATCTCTGAACTAGTTTCAGTAAATTTGCCTTTATCCTGATGAGGTAAGTATTTAATTTTTTCTGCTGCACACTACTGGAAGTCCATATATTAATTGCAGATTCAAGTTTATATACACTTTTAAAGGACCTTGATTTACTTGTGCATACCACACTGTATCCCAACCAAGAATATTTCGTATTTTAACAGCTGTTTATTTCATATAGAGGTCTGTGTTCTTCGTTGCTAGCACTCTGGTAGACTTAATCCAATAATTAGTGTTGACTTCTCTTTAAAAAATTAATCCCACCCCTTATGCACCATGTCAGAGACTGCCCACAATTTAGGCACGTGGGAGGGGCATGCCAGTTGGGACCTATCAAGGTCTATTAGGTTCTTTCTGGTTCCCCAAGATAAGTAAATTATATGTTTGAATAGCCCTCTAAATATTATCAAGTGGCACGCACAATTGTAACCATGTGCAACCATCATTAACTTTAATCATGGTCTCCTTCACTACCCTGCAAGTGGAGGCCTTTCGATCTTCCTGACTTATCTAGGAAGACCGAAGGGCCTCTACTCGCAGTGTAGGTCCTCACGCACAGTTGAACCAACAAAACCATAAATTCTTGAAATATTTCAGGAATGTTTATTGTGTTTATATGACCAATTACTGCAAAGATCAGGACACGTAAGGTAGTGTCAAGACCACAAACAAACAACAAATGCTTTGACTGTCTCTTCTCTTATGTCTGAAACCTGTAAGTCAATGGCTATTGTGTTGAAGAGTGTGACTGTATTTTTGTCTTGATTCCTTGACTGATTCCAATACAGACAAAGACCTAGTAAGTTGTGTTGGTTGGACCACAGCGGATGAACTGTTTTCTAGTGGGTAGGTTGTTGACCAGCTAGGGGGTGCATTTATTTGATTAAGAAATCCAGAGTTTGAATTTCAAATTTTGGTTTGCAGTGATGACCATAGTGTGTTGAAGTGGAATCTATTGTCTGATGAGACAACACAGGTACAATAAATAATTTAGTTATAAGAATGATCAATAACATTGTCCTTTGGGCTCTCACTTACTTAGTTTTAATATGATTTGTTTGTCATGATTTATTGTGAAATTGATGGTGGCCCATAAGTTCACAGCCACACTAAGCTGCTGTTGCAGTGATAGTTCAGTGTTCCTTTACTGTGTGAAATTTTGGCTCTTTATCTGATGTACTAGTATCTGGTTAGGGCTCAAATTACAGACACCTTAATTCACACCTGCATATTAAATAATTCAGCCTAGTAAAGCTTTGCAAAATACAGCTTAATATTTTCCTGTATAGGGTTTGTGGTCTATTCATAACTTATTCACACTATAACACTTTAAGCTTCTTCTTTGGGAGATGGATGCTGTCTACAGCTGCTGCATAGTCACATACCCAGCCTTGTTTTCAGTCATCCTTGGTTATTTTGGATGTGATGTCATCTGTCAAGCTTGTCAGGAGAATTTGCGCAGGGTGCGGCTCCATGAAACATGGTTACCTTTAGCCCAGGATAAAGCAAGGTTTTAAGCAAGGCTTTCTTGTCTCAAGACACGCAACTCAAGCTTTTAAAACACTGTTGAGCCTTAACTCTGAAACAATAATGATAACACAAAATGTTACTCTAAGCAATACGTAAGAAGGTAAAATACAAATGGGAACAAAATTTTAATCCTGGATTATTCGTAATCGGCCTCCAGGGAACCGGGCTCAGGACTATCACCCTCAGTTTTAAGCCTCCTCTGCTCACTTGGATAGCACAAACTGGCCTGGGGATGAGGCTGTCACATGCCTTTCTTTGAATAAATTATCTCTGCTTTAACTTAAATTTTAATACACAGGTGATCAAGTTGCCTGCAGAAATCTACCCAACTGACATTCACTGGTTTCCAAGAAGTGCTGGAGGCAAGAAACAAAGTCAGTCTGAACTATTTGTTTTGACCTCTACTGATGGTAAGTCCTTGGTCATTAATTTGATTAATTAACTTTAAGTTGAGTTTGTCATTGAACTGATTTTATTGCAAGCATCAGGGACTGACTGTTTCATTAATTATTAATCAAACAGTCAGTCCATCAATTAATTGTGAATAAACAATTGATTGGTCAGGGCTCAAAAAAGCCCATCTTGTCAACCGGGACAAGTAGTTTTTCTTGCTGAGCAAGTAACTTGTAAAGCTCACCACTTGCCTGATGAGTAAGGGCTCAGGTAAGTCGTCCCTAACAAAATCATTAGCCAAGACAAGCAAGCAAGAAGTGGCCCAGGCAAGAAAAACTGTTACGTGAGAGATACTTGCCCAAAAGATGAGCTAGAATTCAAGTTTTTTTTCTAGCACTGGTGATTAATTATTGTAAGCACCAAGACATGATTCTTTTTATTTATCAGGTGAACTGTCAGTACATTAAATAAGCACCTCCTTATTACAGTCAAACCAGGTCAAGCGTACCCCCCAAGAATCCATTAATGAATTGATTATTCAAAAGTTGAATCTGTTGCTAGTTGTAGATTTCAGATTGATCTCTGCATTCTTGTATGTATAATGAGCCGTGAATTCACACGCGAGGCAGTTATGAAATTTCTACCAGCTCCATTTTCCTGAAATTGACGTAAATGTCTTCTAAGAAGCTTAATCCATTCAAAGATTTCCAATCTGACCAAATACAGAGAAGTTCTCGTAAAACATTCACTGCTCATTACGCATGCAGAAATGCCGCTTTGAATTTGACACCAGTTACGGGAACGACTAACGGATTCATTTTTCAAATAATCAATTTACTGATAGAATCTTGGGGGGTATGCTTGACTTGGTTTGACTGTAACAAGTAAGCATATAAGCTGTTATCTAATAAGTGCAACCCTTTTAATTAACGTTTTGTAAATGCTGTGTACATTGCTCTCTCAGTGAAGGTGTATTATATATTATTTTATTGCAGGTAAATTTCACCTTATTTCACGCAATGGTCGGATTGAGAAGTCTGTTGAGGCTCACAGAGGTGCTGTACTGTCTGGAAGATGGAGCTTTGATGGATCAGCTATGGTTACAGGTTTGAAATGCTGCTTTAGTTGGATTGTATGACTGTAAAATGACCTCTTGAATTTTAAAACTAGTCTTCCTCCTTAACAAAATCTGAAACTTGAAAACTATAAGTATACATGGCAAATTTTATTACTGTCAAACTCAGAAAAATGTGAATAGCTGAAAAATTTCTGGAATGTTGATTGTGTAATGACCAATCACAATGAAGTTCAGGACATGTGACTGGACTAACTACTGTTGGCTGATTGCGGTTTAGGTTTCTCACACCTTATTGGCTTTCTCTTCGCAACACAATAACATTCCATGAATATTTCCAGTGTTCACGGTTTTGTGAGTTTCACAGTATGAAGTATACAACACTCCTACATTTATACAACTATACTTGATAAAGGCTTCAATATGTTGCATGAATTTAGTTAATGGCTAAATGTTCCATGGGTCTCTTTAAACATGGGACAGAGATTCGAGCTCTTTGCCCCAATAAGTTTCGATTTCTTTCTGACACAATAAACATTTCATTTTTGAATTTTCTTTTTCTTTTTTTCAACTCCTCATGTTACTATAAAACTAATTTGCCTGTAGTGAAAACAATATTTGTTTTTGGAGCATTATTCTAATACCATCTAAACTTAAGTCAAGTTTTGGTAATTTTTTTTTCTACCAGTTGGGGAAGATGGTCAAGTGAAGATCTGGTCAAGAAGTGGGATGCTCAGATCAACACTAGTTCAAGCAGGTGGGAATTTCAATTCTTCACAGAACCCTGTTTTTCATAAGGAGAGTCTTACTATGTTATTAAACATTAATGATGCTTGCAAGCTAGTAACCTATCAGACATGCAAATTACAAAAGTGTCAGAGTTTGTTCTTTATGAGGGGAGCAAGGGAAGGGAAGTGGTGACAGCACTCATCCCCTACCAATATGGCCCGTGCTTGAATCCTGGCATTGAGGCCATTTGTGGGTTGAATTTCTTGTTGGTTCTCTCCCTTGCTCATGAGGTTTTTCTCCGAGTTCCCGGTTTTCTCCTTTCTTTAAACACTGCCAAATTCCAATTCGATCTGGAATGCATGGACATGTTTCGATGAGTTCTTTAGAACTCCTAAGTGCTCCATGGGTAAACAAGTTACAAAATTACAAAAAAAAGTACAAAATAAATAGCCTTTGCAGGGTTGTCAAAAGTAGCTGGCTGCCGACAAAAATCGCCACCTTTGTACTTGGTTAGTATTGCCCTGCTACTCTGCTTTGCATTTCTTTACGGATGGTGTTTTTTCAAATAAAATATCCCTGGACTGGACGCTAATTACTTTGACAACTCAGCCGTCTATTTCAAAACTTTCTGACAACCGTGGCCTTTGGCAACTTACACATCTGATAAAAACAAGGTAACATCACTAGCTCGCAAGCAGCCATACTATCGGAATAGTAAAAGACAGTACTGTTTATTTCCTCCAGATGCATGTTATTATTGACCAAAGGGTTTGATTTGTGGGTCTGGGGGTTTGACTATAGTTCCTACAACTTACTTATGTTTAATCTTAACAACTTGGACTGTATATCTACATCTTCACCTAGACAAATTTACCCAGCAATTATTTGACTAGTAACAGGTTGTGTGTTGTTTTTAGGTACCCCAGTGTATTCTGTAGCATGGAGCCCAGACTCAGATCACATTCTACACTCAAGCGGAAAACAGTTAGTCATTAAACCATTACAAGCCGCTGCTAAGCCAGTACAGGTACATTGATCAGACAAGCTAGACTACCATGCATGACAATGACAAGTAAATCTGTGACCATACCTACCATTTTTTTTGAGTCAAAGGGATGAGATTTTTATCCTGAGTCAACCAGGATGTGTCAAAGATTTCAGAAGACAATCTGAAGATTTCCAAAGCTCTCAGTGTAGATTTCAGGGAAACTACTTTCATTCATATTGATCGTCTTTTTCATTGATTGATTTCTTTAAGTTTATTTACTGTGTAATGTGATGTATTTTTTGAAAATGTGCCAGTTAAGGCCCTAATAGACCTGTTTGGGAACGAGTGGAAATATACCGTAGTAGTAACTATAAGTAGTGACTTACAGTTAACATAGATGTGCTATGGTGTTCTTTTTTTGTTGCTACAGTGGAAGGCCCACGATGGGGTTGTGTTGAAAGTTGACTGGAATCCTATCAACAATCTTATCATCTCTGGTGGAGAGGACTGCAAATATAAGGTGCACATATAATAAATTATTGTTCCATTACCTCTTTCTATTCCGTCTGGTTTTTATAACAGCATTGCCGCATAACCCAGGGTCCGAAATTAACTCTTTACTATGGGCGCCAACTGGTGAGGAAGTATAAATTTTTGGTCACCAGAGGGCAAATTATTTTTGCCAAAAATTCCCCTTGGTGGCTTGGAAACGTTCAACTCGTATTGATCGTAGCTGTTGTGGAGGTATATTTACAGGAAGATTCGTTTCACGTTTAAATTTAAAAAATATCAGCAGGACAAAGAGTAAGACACCTGTTGGCAAAGAGCTTTGAGGTTTCAATTCTGAATCATTTTCTCCGAGCATGAAAGTCTACAATAACAAAAAAAAACAGCTTTACAATTTGCCAGCTGGCGACCAGCTATGAACTTCTGGTCGCCAGAATTGAATTTTTGGTCGCATTGGCGACCAGGAAGGCGCAATTTCGGACCCTGTAACCTGATGTAGGAATACTCACTAAGGGTGTGGCTCTGCATGCTTTATTTAACTGTTAACTTGACACTATCGTCTCATTTATTTGCAGACCAATGTCCTTTAATTTTGGGAGGATCATTCTACCTTAAAATTAATTTTTTGTGATGTGATCAATATGATCGCTAGCCTGAGAAAACAGCTGACATTTGGTGACACTACCACTAGTTTCCCCACCAAGTGACGTCTAAGAAAGGAGCGCAGAAATCCCATACTGATGACGTGTCACTACACTGATCTGGGTAGTGCTCCTGATTGGTTGAATCAAATTTCCCACGCAGCACGACCAATCAGAGGCACTACTCAGATCTGGGTAGTGATGTGTCATCAGTATGGAATTTCTGTGTTGGTTTCTCAGACGTCACTTGGCAGGGAAACCAGTGGGACCATCGCCAAATGTTGTCTGTTTTCTCAGGCTATGTGATAGCAATATATACATGTAACTAAACGGACCCAATTGGTGTACTCTATGAGCCATTGTAAAATATGAAACCTGTCCATCCATACAGCCAGCATGGGAAAGAATCTTGTGATGAGCCACAAGATGTTGAGTAAAGCCAGGAGTGGTGGGAGAAAGAGGAGCAGGCCTCTGATCCATTAATAGCTCCCATGCACGATTTTAATGTATATCGCCAGTCTTGATATCTATTATACCATAACAACTATCACTATCATAACTCAAAGACTCAGGTTAATAATTTTTGCCATATAAATTAATAAAGGATTTTATTTTTTGCACAATCAACACAGGTGTGGGATAGTTATGGTCGAGTGTTATACTCCAGTATGTTACATGAGTATCCTATCACGAGCATCTCCTGGGCTCCTGATGGTGAGAAACTGTTTCTTTTGTGTTTCATTGTAGACTAAACCCCTTCAAAAATCAGCACATCAAGGTACTGTTCAGTTACCATGTTACTGTCTTTTTTTCTCTGCCAGATTAAGTAACATAGAATCTCACCTTTACCTTACTGTTAACGCGGCCCATACTTTTTGGATTAGCCAGGGTTGTGGTGGAAATGGTGTTGATTTTGAGAGTTAGGGCTGGGGGTGCTGATGATGATGAGGAGGAGGATGAGGATGATGATGACAGAGAAGACAATGGTGATGCCTTTGGTGACAAGTTTGCTATGTATCCACAGTAGATAGATAAATGTACTGTACGTGATAATCATCTATACTTGCTCCGCAGGTGAGCTGTTTGCTGTTGGTTCTTTCAATACTTTGAGACTCTGTGACAAAACTGGGGTAAGATTTTCACCTTTTGATGTATATTAATATAGTCACAAGAGATAAAATTAATTTATTACTTTCAAGTACTGGTAGTAGTAAGTCTTACATTGTGAACCTTCCTTCCTTCCCTTTTGACTAAGATACGTTTTTTAACCCTTAGTTGAGTCTGTGGACAGAATACCATTGTGTGACCATAAAATAAAACTTAAGCAGTACTATTTGTTTTTCAGTATTATTGGAGAAATGACAATTGGAAATTTTTTGCATTTTAATATTTTGACAATCTCTTCAAAGTTTTAGATAAATTCTTTCTTGCAGTGGTCCTACACTCTGGAAAAACCCAACACTGGCTCACTGTTCAACATTGCATGGTCAAGCGATGGAACACAGCTTGCCGGGGCTTGTGGGAATGGTCAGGTGATCTTTGCTCATGTGATTGAGAGGCGGCTTGAGTGGAAGAACTTTGAAGTTACAGTCACAGATCGAAAGAGTATAGTGGTGAGAGATGTCACCAATGATGTCAAAGAATCCTTAGGTAAGCCTTCCTTGTCATGCCGTAAACTTGCTGCTCATAAGCACCTCCTCCCCTCTCCCAGTTATAAGCTTATCTACCTGCAAACAAAAGACGAAATTGATTTTGATTTAAGTAATGATCTGGGTAAGGTGGATAGCAATTTCTTTTGTTATGTGGCAACTGTGCTTTCCCCACATAGGAATGTTCTCATTTTTACACAGAGAATGCATAAACCTACATGAAGGCCGTTTACGCAATAAAATGCATTTACACTCCACGTCGAAAGGGTGGTTTTTTTTAGTTAAAAGATTTTGACCAATCAAAGGAGTTGAAAACAACAGCCAAGAAAAGTTTACAATTTTTCATGTTCCCCACATAGGATTTCTTTGTTATTGAAACCGAGACCAGATTTTGTTATATGGAGGATGGTTGGAAAGTAAGGATGAATATATGTACCGCTTTATAAAGTTTGGTTAACTTTCCCGCTTTAAGCCAATCAGAAGTACGTACAGACAATAGAAAAGTTAGCATCTTTTTTGCATTCCAACATGTTTGTTGCCGTTGTTTCTATCGTTCTTAACTGGACGGTTTCTTAATTAAAGACATTAAATGCAGAAATATGCATTTTGATCAGCACTGGTATGGCTTGTTTGACCTCAGACATAAATCCTCCGAAAACCCCTAGTGAAGATGTATCGGCCCAGGGCTTATGAAAGCTAGTGTATGGTAGTCATACTGACGATAGATACCGTAGAACTGAGTTGTAGCGCCAATGTAATACACTAAAAGAACTGAGTGGAGTGTAGTAATTAGTCTGTAATCATATGTAGTGATTAAACAAAATCAGGTGTCTCATTTATTTGATAACAAATGATTAGCGTGAGTTGAATGACATGAAGCCGTTACCAATAGAATAATTAGAGAATTTTGTTATACTTGTAGTTGTGTTACATGTATGTCATCTCTTGTAAAATGAATTGATTGTGAAATGCTTTTTATCAGACTTCCGCGACCGCATCATCAAAACTTCACTTGCTTTCAATCATCTTGTGGTGGCAACTACATCACAGTGTTATATCTACAGGTAGGTCTAAATCACTGGTTACAATACTGCTCATAATATTTTATTGCAAAGCACAAAATAAAGCTCTTTGACATAGTTACTTAGTATGTAATGGAAGGAAAACTGCTTTTAACCCTGCAAACCCCAAGATCCATAGACAAATTTTCTCCACTGATTTCCATACATTTCCTTTAAGAATTATTTGAAAGAACTTAACAAAAGATCAAAGCATTTTCCTTCATGATCTATTGATGACATTAGGAGAAAATTGATGTTGGTCGGATGTTGGTCACTCTGGGGACTTAAAGGGTTAAACCAAAAATTTTTACCTGCTACCATGTGGTTTGTTTTAAACTTAATTCCATTACCAGGAAGTTGCTCTCTCTCTGGTCTGCTGTTGAAGCCTTTTCCTCTTGGTGATTTTTCTTGTCAGCTGGAAATTTATACCCTCATTATTGCTTTCCATATTGATGTTATTGGGATGCGGTCTTGTGTGGCCAGGGATCCCCTGTCAGTAACTCCATTCTTAGTCTCCTATACGCCATTTATTGAATTGTCACTCTACACTCCCCTTGCCTGGGGAGGAGTGTTGTGGGGAGGAGTGTTGTGTGACAACACAAAGATTGGTTGTGAATGAGACTACTCTGCTCTCAGTTCACCGATAATTACTGGCTCTGCCTTCCTCTTTGTATTGTGAACTTGATTAAGGTGGCTCGACTGGATTCTTTTAGGGGATACCTCCTAGGTTTGAGTGTTAACTACGTCGGCATCAGTAAACATATGGAAAAAAGGTTGCCACAACTGTACTATATAACGATGAAAATTTCTTATGATCTGGGTTTTATTGCAATCGGAGTCGCTATGGCAACGTAATGACGCCATTACGCTTTTTATTTATCTTTGTGTTTCTCTGTACCAGGAGTTTTATGAAGAAATCGCTTAAGGGAGTATGTACCTGCCATAATTGCCTCCATTATGGCAAAGTTTGAACAAATTCTATGAGAGCGTTTTCGAAATATTTTGAAATGCATTTTAAGAATCATAGAAACAGTGAAATATCATGCTAACCACACATTTCGCTGATATTTTAAGAAAATGATAAGCTTTGGTAACGCAGCTTCATCTCATAGTGGTTTGATTCCATTGAAAACTGCATACAGGAAAGGAGAGGAATTGGTCTGAGCGATCGCGAGTAAGAAGAATTTTATTAACTTGCATTCAGTTGCTTTTGATACAGTTTTTGGACGTAATTTGGTCCATGCCTAAAAATTTCGCCTTTTTCTAAAAACCGCTTGATAAATGTTTTTATAAATTTGACAATCCCGACATCAATTGTCAAGAAATATTCCCTGCAAGTTTCGAGAACATTGAAAACAGGAAAAGCTTTTAAATACGGCCTCAAATATAGCCAATTTCCCCCCCAGATTTTGTGTTTACAAGTGAGCGTCCTCATTATTCACTGACATTGTTTTCAAGTTTCATAGGCACGTGCACAACTAGCAAAAGACATAAATTTGCATCAAAAAGAACTCTCGATTACTTTCCGAAGAAATATCCGGAATATACTAATAATTGGCTTGTCGTCACAGATAGCAGTGAGAGCCGAAACGGTGAACGTCACGGCTCATCGTGCACATTTAGCAAAAAGATCTCCGGGATATGCTAATTACCGAGTAAAGAGATCAGTGATACATTATAACATCAGAGCAACTCTTTGTGAGAGTTTCTGTGATGTTATAACCCGAGTAAGATAATTAAGTATTGCATCCTACACGATGAGCCGTGAAGTTCACCGTTTCGGCTGTCACTGCTATCTGTGACGACAAGCCAATTATTAGTATATTACTAATACTCCCTTAAGCGATTTCTTCATAAAACTCCTGGTACAGAGAAACACAAAGATAAATAAAAAACGTAATGCCGTCATTACATTGCCATGGCGACTCCGACTGCAATAAAACCCAGATCATAAGAAATTTTCATCTTTATATAATACAGTTGTGGTAACGTTTTTTCCATATCTTTACTCATGCCGACGTAGTTAATTCTCAAACTTGGGAGGTATCAACCCCAAAAATTCCAGTCGAGCCACCTTAAACACTTTGGTTGTCCATTAAACAGCTCACTGGTCTAAACTGGTTGTCTGACTGTGTAAAGATTTCTTTCAGTGTCAAGAACTGGAATACACCAATGATATTTGACCTCAAGAATGGAAGCGTTACTCTCATTGTTCAAACAGAGAAGTGAGTTCTCAATTGAAGTGGGGTTCCCATCTTATTTTTCTCCCCATGGAACTGACAGCACTCTTTTTACCTTGCATTATTCTCAATTTTTCAGGCACTTTCTTTTGGTGGATGATGCAGGTCTCCAAGTATACTCCTACGAGGTTTGTGCCTTGGTACCTTCTTTTCTCGTAGCGACCTACACAAATGTTCTTTGGGCCCTGCCTCTTCCCCAGTCGCTTGTAATCAGTTTGTTGGTGATATTTGATTGCCTAGAGAGCTATAGTAAAAACAGCGACAACAGTAAGAACACTAAGAACAGTGACAACAGTGGAAAAAGTGACAACAATGAGAACAGTGACAACAGTGACAAAAGCGACAACAGTGACAACGGTGACAACAGTGACAAGGGTGACACAGTGACAACAGTGACAACGGTGACAACGGTGAAAACAGTGACAACAGCGACAACAGTGACAACAGTAACAACAGTGACAGCGACAACAGTGACAACGGTCACAACGGTGACAACAGCGACAACAGTGACAACAATGACAAAAGTGACAACAGTGACCACAGTGACGACGGTGACAATGATGACAACAGCGACAACAGTGACAACGGTGACAACACTGACAACGGTGACAACAGTGACAACAATGACTGTGGTGACAACAGTGACAACAGCGACAACCGCGACAACTGGGACAACAGTGACAACAGAGACAACGGTGACAATGGTGACAACAGTGACAACTGTGACAACGGTGACAACAGCGACAACAGTGACAATGGTGACGACGGTGACAAAGATGACAACTGGGACAACAGAGACAACGGTGAAACTCTTTTCTCTGAGCTGTTATCACTCGAAACGTTTGATATTTATCAAACGTTCTCTTAGACCGTTAGATGATTGTAAGTCAGGAAAAGTCGTCAGGAAAATCAAAGCAAATCCGTTCGAACGCTTTTGTAGGTCGTTAGATTTTTTCGCCTACCCGTTCAAACCGTTAGCCAACCCGTTAAAGGCGTTAGAAAAGCCGTTAACAAGCCGTTCGTTAGCCGTTAGTCTTTACCCGTTAAACGGAAAACCGTTAGTGTACGTTTTCCTCGAGAAGGTCACAGTGACAACTGTGACAAAAGTGACAACAGGGACAACGATGACAACAGTGACAACGGTGACGACGGTGACAACGACGACAACAGCAACAACGGTGACAACAGTAACAACGGTGATAACCGTGACAACAGTGACAACTGTGACAACTGTGACAACAGTGACAACGGTGACGACGGTGACAACGATGACAACAGCAACAACGGTGACAACAGTAACAACGGTGACAACGGTGACAACAGTGACAACGGTGACAACTGTGACAACTGTGACAACAGTGACAACGGTGACAACTGTGACAACTGTGACAACAGTGACAACGGTGACAACAGTGACAACGGTGACAACAGTGACAACGGTGCCAACGGTGACAACGGTAATAACAGTGACAACAATGACAACAGTGACAGCAGTGACAACAGTCACAACGATGACAACTGTGACAACAGTGACAACTGTGACAACCGTGACAATGGTGACAATGGTGACAACAATGACAACGGTGATAACTATGACAACAGTGACAACGGTGACAACAGTGACAACGGTGACAACTGTGACAACAGTCACAACGGTGAAAACAGTGACAACGGTGACAACAGTGACAACTGTGAAAACAGTGATAACGGTGAAAACAGTGACAACGGTGACAACAGTGACAACAAAGACTACGGTAACAACGATGACAACAGCAAAAACAGTGACGACGGTGATAACGGTGACAACAGTGACAACGGTGACAACTGTGACAACAGCGACAACGGTGACAACAGTAACAACGGTGACAACAGTGACAACTGTGACAAAAGGTGACAACGGTGACAACAGTGACAACGGTGACAACAGTGACAACTGTGACAACTGGGACAACAGTGACAACAGAGACAACGGCGAAACTCTTTTCTCTGAGCTGTTATCACTCGAAACGTTTGATATTTATCAAACGTTCTCTTAGACCGTTAGATGATTGTAAGTCAGGAAAAGTCGTCAGGAAAATCAAAGCAAATCCGTTCGAACGCTTTTGTAGGTCGTTAGATTTTTTCGCCTACCCGTTCAAACCGTTAGCCAACCCGTTAAAGGCGTTAGAAAAGCCGTTAACAAGCCGTTCGTTAGCCATTAGTCTTTACCCGTTAAACGGAAAACCGTTAGTGTACGTTTTCCTCGACAAGGTCACAGTGACAACTGTGACAAAAGTGACAACAGTAACAACGATGACAACAGTGACAACAGTGACAACGGTGACGACGGTGACAACGATGACAACAGCAACAACGGTGATAACAGTAACAACGGTCATAACCGTGACAACAGTGACAACGGTGACAACTGTGACAACAGTGACAACGGTGACGACGGTGACAACGATGACAACAGCAACAACGGTGACAACAGTAACAACGGTGATAACGGTGACAACAGTGACAACGGTGACAACTGTGACAACTGTGACAACAGTGACAACGGTGACAACAGTGACAACGGTGACCACAGTGACAACGGTGCCAACGGTGACAACGGTAATAACAGTGACAACGATGACAACAGTGACAGCGGTGACAACAGTCACAACGATGACAACTGTGACAACCGTGACAATGGTGACAATGGTGACAACAATGACAACGGTGATAACTGTGACAACAGTGACAACGGTGACAACAGTGACAACGGTGACAACAGTCACAACGGTGAAAACAGTGACAACGGTGACAACAGTGACAACTGTGTCAACAGTGATAACGGTGAAAACAGTGACAACGGTGACAACAGTGACAACAAAGACTACGGTAACAACGATGACAACAGCAAAAACAGTGACGACGGTGATAACGGTGACAACAGTGACAACGGTGACAACTGTGACAACAGCGACAACGGTGACAACAGTAACAACGGTGACAACAGTGACAACGGTGACAACTGTGACAAAAGGTAACAACGGTGACAACAGTGACAACGGTGACAACGGTGACAACAGTGACAACTGTGACAACAGTGACAACGGTGATACCAGTGACAACGGTGACAACTGTGACAACAGTGACAACAGTGACAACGGTGACAACAATAACAACGGTGATAACTGTGACAACAGTGACAACGGTGACAACAGTGACAACAGTGACAACAGTAACAACGGTGACAACAGTGACAACCGTGACAACAGTGACAACTGTGACAACAGTGACAACGGTCATAACAGTGGCAACGGTGACAACAGTGACAACAAAGACAACGGTAACAACGATGACAACAGCAAAAATGGTGGCAACAGTGATAACGGTGACAATGGTGACAACAGTGACAACAGTGACAACAGTGACAACTGTGACAACTGTGACAACAGTGACAACGGTGATAACGGTGACAACAGTGACAACGGTGACAACTGTGACAACAGTGACAACAGTGACAACTGTGAGAACGGTGACAACAGTGACAACGGTGACAACAGTGACAATATGACAACTGTGACAAAAGTGACAAACGGTGACAACAGTGACAACTGTGACAACCGTGACAATGGTGACAACGGTGACAACAATGACAACGGTGATAACTGTGACAACAGTGAAAACTGTCACAACAGTGACAACTGTGACAACAGTGACAACGGTGATAACAGTGGCAACTGTGACAACCGTGACAACAAAGACAACGGTAACAACGATGACAACAGCAACAATGGTGACAACAGTGACAACGGTGACAACAGTGACAACGGTGACAACTGTGACAACGGTGACAACTTTGACAACAGTGACAACAGTGACAACGGTGACAACAGTGACAACGGTGACAACAGTGACAATATGACAACTGTGACAAAAGTGACAAACGGTGACAACAGTGAAAACGGTGAAACCGGTGACGAGAGTGACAACGGTGACAACTGTGACAACAGTGACAACGGTGACAACTGTGACAACCGTGACAACGGTGATAACGATGAGAACAGTGACAACGGTGCCAACTGTGACAACTGTGACAACAGTGACAACTGTGACAACGGTGACAACGGTGATAACGGTGACAACAGTGACAACGGTGACAACAGTGACAACAGTGACAACGGTGACAACAGTGACAACAGTGACAACAGTGACAACAGTGACAACAGTGACAACGGTGACAACTGTGACAACGGTGACAACTGTGACAACAGTGACAACAGTGACAACGGTGACAACGGTGACAACTGTGACAACAGTGACAACGGTGACAACAGTGACAACGGTGACAACGGTGACAACAGTGACAACGGTGACAACAGTCACAACGGTGAAAACAGTGACAACGGTGACAACAGTGACAACTGTGACAACAGTGATAACGGTGAAAACAGTGACAACGGTGACAACAGTGACAACAAAGACTACGGTAACAACGATGACAACAGCAAAAACAGTGACGACGGTGATAACGGTGACAATGGTGACAACAGTGACAACAGTGACAACAGTGACAACAGTGACAACAGTGACAACTGTGACAACAGTGACAACGGTGATAACGGTGACAACAGTGACAACGGTGACAACTGTGACAACAGTGACAACAGTGACAACTGTGAGAACGGTGACAACAGTGACAACGGTGACAACAGTGACAATATGACAACTGTGACAAAAGTGACAAACGGTGACAACAGTGACAACTGTGAAACCGTGACAATGGTGACAACGGTGACAACAATGACAACGGTGATAACTGTGACAACAGTGACAACTGTGACAACAGTGACAACTGTGACAACAGTGACAACGGTGACAACAGTGACAACCGTGACAACAGTGACAACGGTGACAACGGTGACAACGGTGACAACAGTGACAACAGTGACAACAGTGACAACGGTGACAACAGTGACAACGGTGACAACTGTGACAACGGTGACAACAGTGACAACAGTGACAACAGTGACAACAGTGACAACTGTGACAACAGTGACAACGGTGATAACGGTGACAACAGTGACAACAGTGCCAATGGTGACAACAGTGACAACAGTGACAACGGTGACAACAGTGACAATGGTGACAATGGTGACAGCAGTGACAAAAGTGACAACTGTTACAACAGTGACGCCAGTGACAACTTTGACAGCAGTGAAAACGGTGACAACTGTGACATCAGTGACAACTGTGACAACAGTGACAATGGTGACAACGGTGACAACAGTGACAACTGTGACAAGTGACAACGGTGACAACAGTGACAACTGTGACAACGGTGACATCAGTGACAACGGCGACAACTGTGACAGCAGTGACAACGGTGTCACCAACAACAACGGTGACAACAGTGACATCGATAACCAGGGTGAAAACGGCGAAGACGGCGACATTAACGACAACACTTACAACAGTGAGAACCTTGACAACTGTGACATCAGTGACAACAGTGACAACGGTGACAACGATGACAACAGCAACAACGGTGAGAACAGTGACTAAAGTGACACCAGTGACAACGGTGACGATGGTGAAAACGATGACAACAACAACAACGGTGACAACAGTGACAACGGTGATAACGGTGACAACAGTGACAACTGTGACAACAGCGACAACGATGAGAACCGTGACAACTGTGACAACAGTGACAACGGTGATAACAGTGGCAACGGTGACAACAGTGACAACAAAGACAACGGTAACAACGACAACACTTACAAAAGTGAGAACAGTGACAACTGTGACATCAGTGACAACAGTGACAAAAGTGACAACAGTGACAACGGTGACAACGATGACAACAGCAACAACGGTGAGAACAGTGACAACAGTGACAAAAGTGACAACAGTGACAACGGTGAGGATAGTGACAACGATGACAACAGCAACAACAGTGACAACTGTGACAACAGTGACAACGGTGACAACGATGACAACAGAAACAACGGTGAGAACAGTGACAACAGTGACAAAAGTGACAACAGTGACAACGGTGACGATAGTGACAACGATGACAACAGCAACAACAGTGACAACTGTGACAACAGTGACAACGGTGACAACGATGACAACCGTGACAACTGTGACAACTGCGACAACAGTGACAGTGGTGACAACAGTGACAACAGTGACAACTGTGACAACAGTGACAACGGTGATAACGGTGACAACAGTGACAACGGTGACAACGGTGACAACTGTGACAACAATGGCAACGGTGACAACTGTGAGAACGGTGACAACAGTGACAACGGTGACAACAGTGACAATATGACAACTGTGACAAAAGTGACAAACGGTGACAACAGTGAAAACGGTGAAACCGGTGACGAGAGTGACAACGGTGACAACTGTGACAACAGTGACAACGGTGACAACTGTGACAACCGCGACAACAATGACAATGGTGACATCAGTGACAACGGTGACAACTGTGACAACAGTGACAACGGTGACAACTGTGACGACAGTGCCAATGGTGACAGCAGTGACAAAAGTGACAACTGTGACAACAGTGACGCCAGTGACAACTTTGACAGCAGTGACAACGGTGACAACAGTGACAACGGTGACAACTGTGACAACAGTGACAATAGTGACAACGGTGACAACAGTGACAACAGTGACAACGGTGATAATGTTGACAACAGTTACAACAGTGACAACAGTGAGAACGGAGACAACGGTGACAACAGACGACACTGACACCAGTGAAAATGGTGACAACTGTGACAACAGTGACAACAGTGACAACGCTGAAAACAGTGACAAGGTTGACACCAATGACAACAATGACAACTGTGACAAACCGTGACAACAGTGACAACGGTGACAACAGTCACAATACTGACAACAGTGACAACAGTGACAACGGTGACAACGGTGACAACGGTGACAACAGTGACAACAGTGACAACGGTGACAACGGTGACAACAGTGACAACGGTGACAACAGTGACAACTGTGACAACGGTGACAACGGTGACAACAGTGACAACAGTGACAACGGTGACAACAGTGACAACGGTGACAACAGTGACAACGGTGACAACTGTGACAACAGTGACAACGGTGACAACGGTGACAACGGTGACAACGGTGACAACGGTGACAACAGTGAGAACCGTGACAACGGTGACAACAGTGACAACGGTGAAAACGGTGACAACAGTGACAACTGTGACAACAGTGACAACCGTGACAACCGTGACAATCCGTGACACCAGTGACAACGATTACAACAGTGACAAGGGTGACAACAGTGACAACGATGACAACGATGACAACAGTGACAATGGTGACAACAGTGACAACCGTGACAACGGTGACAACGGTGACAACGGTGACAACGGTGACAACAGTGACAACAGTGACAACAGTGACAACTGTCACAACAGTGACAACGGTGATAACGGTGACAACAGTGACAACAGTGACAATGGTGACAACAGTGACAACAGTGACAACGGTGACAACAGTGACAACGGTGACAATGGTGACAACAGTGACAAAAGTGACAACGGTTACAACGGTGACAACAGTGACAACAGTGACAACGGTGAAAACAGTGACAATGTTGACAACAGTGGCAAGAGTGACAACAGTGACAACAGTGACAACGGTGACAACAGGGACAACGGTGACAATGGTTACAATGGTGACAACAGTGACAACGGTGACAACAGTGACAACAGTGACAACGGTTACAACGGTGACAACAGTGACAATGTTGACAACGGTGACAACGGTGGCAACAGTGAGAACAGTGACAACGGTGACAACAGTGACAACAGTGACAACAGTGACAACGATGAGAACAGTGACAACAGTGACAACCGTGACAACGGTGACAATGGTGACAACAGTGATAACGGTGACAAAAGTGACAAAGGTGAGAGCGGTGACAAGTGACAACGGTGACAATGGTGACAACAGTGACAACAGTGACAACAAGTGACAAAAGTGACAACAGTGACAACGGTGACAACGGTGACAACGGTGACAACGGTGACAACAGTGACAACGGTGACAACAGTGACAACAGTGACAACAGTGACAACAGTGACAACGGTGACAACGGTGACAAGTGACAACGGTGACAACGGTGACAACAGTGACAACGGTGACAACAGTGACAACGGTGACAACGGTGACAACAGTGACAACAGTGACAACGGTGACAACAGTGACAACAGTGACAACAGTGACAACGGTGACAACAGTGACAACAGTGACAACAGTGACAACAGTGACAACGGTGACAAAAGTGACAACGGTGACAACAGTGACAACGGTGACAACGGTGACAACAGTGACAACGGTGACAACAGTGACAACGGTGACAACGGTGACAACAGTGACAACGGTGACAACGGTGACAACAGTGACAACGGTGACAACTGTGACAACGGTGACAACGGTGACAACGGTGACAACAGTGACAACGGTGACAACGGTGACAACAGTGACAACAGTGACAACGGTGACAACAGTGACAACGGTGACAACAGTGACAACGGTGACAACAGTGACAACAGTGACAACGGTGACAACAGTGACAACGGTGACAACAGTGACAACGGTGACAACGGTGACAACGGTGACAACAGTGACAACGGTGACAACTGTGACAACAGTGACAACGGTGACAACAGTGACAACAGTGACAACGGTGACAACGGTGACAACGGTGACAACGGTGACAACAGTGACAACGGTGACAACTGTGACAACAGTGACAATGGTGACAACAGTGACAACAGTGACAACGGTGACAACAGTGACAACGGTGACAACAGTGACAACAGTGACAACGGTGACAACAGTGACAACGGTGACAACGGTGACAACGGTGACAACAGTGACAACGGTGACAACGGTGACAACAGTGACAACGGTGACAACGGTGACAACAGTGACAATGGTGACAACGGTGACAACGGTGACAATGGTGACAACAGTGACAACGGTGACAACAGTGACAACAGTGACAACGGTGACAACGGTGACAACAGTGACAATGGTGACAACAGTGACAACGGTGACAACAGTGACAATGGTGACAACAGTGACAACTGTGAAAACAGTGACAATGGTGACAACAGTGACAACCGTGACAACGGTGACAACAGTGACAACAGTGACATTGGTGACCACAGTGACAACTGTGACAACAGTGATAACGGTGATAACGGTGACAACGGTGAAAACTGTGACAACAGTGACATTGGTGACAACAGTGACCACAGTGACAACGGTGACAACAGTGACAACGGTGATAACTGTGAAAACGGTGACAACGGTGACAACTGTGACAACGGTGATAACGGTGACAACAGTGACAACGGTGACAACTGTGACAACGGTGACAACGGTGACAACTGTGACAACTGTGACAACGGTGACAACGGTGACAACGGTGACAACGGTGACAACTGTGACAACGGTGACAACAGTGACAACGGTGACAACGGTGACAACGGTGACAACAGTGACAACAGTGACAACGGTGACAACTGTGACAACGGTGACAACAGTGACAACGGTGACAACAGTGACAACGGTGACAACTGTGACAACGGTGACAACGGTGACAACGGTGACAACGGTGACAACAGTGACAACGGTGACAACAGTGACAACGGTGACAACGGTGACAACGGTGACAACTGTGACAACGGTGACAACAGTGACAACGGTGATAACGGTGACAACAGTGACAACAGTGACAACTGTGACAACGGTGATAACAGTGACAACGGTGATAACGGTGACAACTGTGACAACTGTGACAACAGTGACAACGGTGACAACAGTGACAACGGTGACAACAGTGACAACGGTGACAACGGTGACAACGGTGACAACAGTGACAACGGTGACAACGGTGACAACAGTGACAACGGTGACAACGGTGACAACGGTGACAACAGTGACAACGGTGACAACAGTGACAACGGTGACAACTGTGACAACGGTGACAACAGTGACAACGGTGACAACGGTGACAACAGTGACAACGGTGACAACAGTGACAACGGTGACAACAGTGACAACGGTGACAACGGTGACAACGGTGACAACGGTGACAACGGTGACAACAGTGACAACGGTGACAACGGTGACAACGGTGACAACTGTGACAACAGTGACAACGGTGACAACAGTGACAACGGTGACAACTGTGACAACGGTGACAACGGTGACAACGGTGACAACGGTGACAACGGTGACAACAGTGACAACAGTGACAACAGTGACAACGGTGACAACAGTGACAACAGTGACAACGGTGACAACGGTGACAACAGTGACAACAGTGACAACAGTGACAACGGTGACAACGGTGACAACAGTGACAACTGTGACAACTGTGACAACAGTGACAACGGTGACAACAGTGACAACGGTGACAACGGTGACAACAGTGACAACGGTGACAACAGTGACAACGGTGACAACGGTGACAACGGTGACAACAGTGACAACAGTGACAACGGTGACAACGGTGACAACGGTGACAACAGTGACAACGGTGACAACAGTGACAACGGTGACAACGGTGACAACGGTGACAACGGTGACAACAGTGACAACAGTGACAACGGTGACAACAGTGACAACAGTGACAACGGTGACAACGGTGACAACGGTGACAACTGTGACAACGGTGACAACGGTGACAACAGTGACAACCGTGACAACGGTGACAACGGTGACAACGGTGACAACGGTGACAACGGTGACAACGGTGACAACGGTGACAACGGTGACAACTGTGACAACGGTGACAACGGTGACAACAGTGACAACGGTGACAACGGTGACAACGGTGACAACAGTGACAACGGTGACAACGGTGACAACGGTGACAACGGTGACAACGGTGACAACAGTGACAACAGTGACAACAGTGACAACGGTGACAACAGTGACAACGGTGACAACGGTGACAACAGTGACAACGGTGACAACAGTGACAACAGTGACAACGGTGACAACGGTGACAACAGTGACAACGGTGACAACAGTGACAACGGTGACAACGGTGACAACGGTGACAACAGTGACAACGGTGACAACGGTGACAACAGTGACAACGGTGACAACGGTGACAACGGTGACAACGGTGACAACAGTGACAACAGTGACAACGGTGACAACGGTGACAACGGTGACAACGGTGACAACGGTGACAACAGTGACAACGGTGACAACAGTGACAACGGTGACAACGGTGACAACGGTGACAACGGTGACAACAGTGACAACGGTGACAACAGTGACAACTGACAACAGTGACAACGGTGACAACAGTGACAACGGTGACAACGATGACAACGGTGACAACAGTGACAACGGTGACAACGGTGACAACGGTGACAACAGTGACAACGGTGACAACGGTGACAACGGTGATAACGGTGACAACTGTGACAACGGTGACAACTGTGACAACGGTGACAACTGTGACAACGGTGATAACAGTGACAACGGTGACAACGGTGACAACGGTGACAACTGTGACAACGGTGACAACGGTGACAACAGTGACAACGGTGAAAACTGTGACAACGGTGATAACGGTGACAACAGTGACAACTGTGACAACGGTGACAACTGTGACAACGGTGACAACAGTGACAACGGTGACAACGGTGACAACGGTGACAACGGTGACAACGGTGACAACTGTGACAACTGTGACAACGGTGACAACGGTGACAACAGTGACAACAGTGACAACAGTGACAACGGTGACAACTGTGACAACTGTGACAACAGTGACAACGGTGACAACGGTGACAACGGTGACAACTGTGACAACGGTGACAACGGTGACAACGGTGACAACGGTGACAACGGTGACAACGGTGACAACGGTGACAACTGTGACAACTGTGACAACAGTGACAACGGTGACAACAGTGACAACGGTGACAACGGTGACAACGGTGACAACGGTGACAACGGTGACAACGGTGACAACTGTGACAACGGTGACAACGGTGACAACGGTGACAACAGTGACAACGGTGACAACTGTGACAACAGTGACAACAGTGACAACAGTGACAACGGTGACAACTGTGACAACGGTGACAACTGTGACAACGGTGATAACGGTGACAACAGTGACAACGGTGACAACGGTGACAACGGTGACAACGGTGACAACAGTGACAACGGTGACAACTGTGACAACGGTGACAACGGTGACAACAGTGACAACGGTGACAACAGTGACAACGGTGACAACAGTGACAACGGTGACAACTGTGACAACAGTGACAACGGTGACAACAGTGACAACAGTGACAACGGTGACAACTGTGACAACGGTGACAACGGTGACAACAGTGACAACGGTGACAACAGTGACAACGGTGACAACAGTGACAACGGTGACAACTGTGACAACGGTGACAACAGTGACAACAGTGACAACGGTGACAACAGTGACAACGGTGACAACAGTGACAACGGTGACAACAGACAACAGTGACAACAGTGACAACGGTGACAACGGTGACAACAGTGACAACAGTGACAACAGTGACAACGGTGACAACGGTGACAACTGTGACAACAGTGACAACAGTGACAACGGTGACAACGGTGACAACAGTGACAACGGTGATAACGACTGTTATTCTCGTTATCATCGTTGTCACCATTTCTCACTGTTATCGTTGTCACCGTTGTCACTATTGTTACCATCGTTATCACTATTGTCACCGTTATCTCTGATTGTCGCCGCTGTCACCGTTATCACTTTTCACCGTTGTCTCTTTTTTCTTTGTTGTCATGTTGTAACGTTTTCATTGTTCTCACCGTTGTCACCGATTTGTCACCGTTGTCACTGTTATCACGTTGTCACTTTTCCTGTTGTCTCTTGTCACCGTTCTCTCCATTGTCACTGTTGTCCACTGTTGTCATCGTTATCGCGTTCACCGTTGTCGCCGTTGTCACCATTGTCACTATTGTCACGTTGTCCTGTTGTCACTATTCTTTTGTTTTCACCATTCTCATCGTTGTCACCATCGTTGTCACCGTTATCGCCGTTATCACCTATTGTCGTTGTACGCTGTGTTATCACCGTTGTCAACAATTGTCACCGTTGTTGTCATCTTTGTCACTATTTCATCGTTATTCTTTGTTGTCACTGTTTGTCTCGTTATGTTCTAACTGATGTCACCGTTGTCAACCTTGTCACTGTTATCACCGGTGTCTCCATTGTCACTCTTGTCACTCTTGTCATGGTTGTCACCGTTGTCACTGTTGTCATCGTTGTCACCGTTGTCACCGTAGTCACCGTTGTCACTGTTGTCACTGTTGTCACCATTGTCACCGTTCTAAGTTTTGTCACCATTGTCACCGTTGTCCCTCTTCTCACTCTTGTCACAGTTGTCACCGTTGTCGCTGTTGTCACTGTTGTCACCATTGTCACTGTTGTCACTGTTATCACTGTTGTCACTGTTGTCACCGTTTTCACTGTTGTCACCGTTGTCACCGTTGTCACCGTTGTAACTGTTGTCACTGTTCTCACTTTTGTCACCGTTGTCACCGTTGTCGCTGTTGTCACCATTGTCAGCGTTCTCCCTTTTGTCACTGTTGTCACCGTTGTCACTGTTGTCACTGTTGTCACCGTTGTCACCATTGTCACCGTTCTAAGTGTTGTCAACGTTTTCACCGTTGTCACTGTTGTCATCGTTGTCACTCTTCTCACTCTTGTCACACTTGTCACCGTTGTCACTTTTGTCACTGTTGTCACCGTTGTCACTGTTGTCACCGTTATCACTGTTTTCACCATTGTCACCGTTCTCCCTGTTGTCACTGTTATCACCGTTGTCACTGTTATCACCGTTGTCACTGTAGTCACCGTTGTCGATGTTGTCACTGTTGTCACCATTGTCACCGTTCTAAGTGTTGCTACCGTTATTACCGTTGTTGTCGTCGTCACAGTTGTCACCGTTGTCACCGTTGTCACCATTGTCACTGTTGTCACCTTTGTCATCGTTGTCACGGTTCCCACCGTTGTCACCGTTCTAACTGTTGTCATCGTTGTTACTTTTGGCACCGTTGTCACCGTTGTCCCTGTTGTCACTGTTATCACCGTTGTCACTGTAGTCACCGTTGTCGATGTTGTCACTGTTGTCACCGTTGTCGCCGTTGTTACTGTTGTGACCGTTGTGACCGTTGTCACTGTTGTCACCGCTGTTACACTTCTAACTCTTGTCACCGTTCTCACCATTGTCACCATTCTAAGTGTTGTCACCGTTGTCACTGTTGTCACCGTTGTCACTCTTCTCACTCTTGTCACCGTTGTCACTGTTCTCACCGTTGTCACCGTTTTCACTGTTGTCACCGTTTTCACCGTTGTCACCGTTGTCACTGTTGTCACTGTTGTCACTGTTGTCGTTGTTTGTCACTGTCCTCACCGTTGTCACCCGTTCTCACCGTTGTCACGGTTGTCACTGTTATTGTCATCGTTGTCACCGTTGTCACTCGTTGTCACCGTTTTCACTATTGTCACCGTTGTCACCGTTGTCCGTTGTTGTCACTGTTTTCACTGTTGTCACTGTTGTGACCGTTTTTACTGTTGTCACCGTTGTCACTGCTGTCACCGTTGTCACTGTTTGTTACTGTTGTCACTGCTGTTAGCGTTGTCACTGTTGTCACGTTGTCACTGTTGTCACCGTTGTCACTTTTGTCACTATTGTCACTTTTGTGACCGTTCTGTTGTCACCGTTGTCACTGTTGTCACCGTTGTCACGTTGTCACCGTTGTCACTGTTCTCACTGTTGTCACCGTTGTCACCGTTGTCACCGTTTCACTATTGTCACCATTGTCACCCGTTGTCACTATTGTCACTGTTGTCACCGTTGTCATCGTTTGTCACCGTTGTCACCGTTGTCCCGTTGTCACCGTTGTCACTATGTTGTCACGTTGTCCTGTTGTCATCGTTGTCATCATTGTCACTGTTGTCACTGTTGTCACCGTTGTCAGTGTTGTCACCGTTGTCACCGTTGTCACCGTTGTCTTCGTTGTTACTGTTGTCACCGTTGTCACCGTTTTCACCGTTGTCACCGTTGTCACTGTTGTCATCGTTGTCACCGTTGTTGTCACTTTTGTCTGTTTCACTGTTGTCACTGTTGTCGGGGTTGTCACCGTTGTCATCCTTGTCGTTGTCACCGTTGTCACTGTTGTCACTGTTGTCACTGTTGTCCACTCGTTGTCACTGTTGTCACCCGTTTTCATCCGTTGTCATTGTTTTCTCCCGTTGTCACTAATGTCACCGTTGTCATCGTTGTCACTGTTGTCATTTGTCACTGTTGTCACCGTTGTCACCGTTGTCACCCGTTGTCACTGTTGTCACCAATTGTCACCATTGTCACTGTTGTCACCGTTGTCACCGTTTTCACTGTTGTCACTGTTGTCACCGTTGTCACTGTTGTCACTGTTGTCACCGTTGTCCTGTCGTTGTCACCGTTGTCACTGTTGTCACTATTGTCACCGTTGTCAGTTGTTGTCACTGTTGCCACTAACTGTTGTCACCGTTGTCACTGTTGTCACCATTGTGACGTTGTCTCGTTGTCACCGTTCTCATCGTTGTCACTGTTGTCACGGATGTCACCGTTTTCACTGTTGTCACATTTGTCACTGTTGTCACCGTTGTCACCGTTCTAACTGTTGTCACCGTTGTTACTATTGGCACCGTTGTCACCGTTGTCCCTGTTCTCACTGTTATCACCGTTGTCACTGTAGTCACCGTTCTCGATGTTTTCACTGTTGTCACCATTGTCACCGTTCTAAGTGTTGTCACCGTTATCACCGTTGTCACCGTTGTTACTGTTGTCACCAATGTCACCGTTGTAACTGTTGTCACCGTTGTCACTGTTGTCACCGTTGTCGTTGTTGTCACTTTTGTTACTGTTGTCACCGTTGTCACCGTTGTCATTGTTGTCACTGTTGTCACCGTTTTCACAGTTTTTACTGTTGTCACATTTGTCACTGTTGTCACTGTTGTCACCGTTGTCACTGTTTGTCTCTGTTGTCACCATTGTCACCATTGTCACTATTGTCACGTTGTCACCGTTGTCATCTTTGTCACTGTTGTTGTCACCGTTGTCACTGTTGTCACCGTTGTCACTGTTGTCTCTATTGTCACCGTTGTCATCATTGTCACCGTGGCACCGTTGTTACTGTTTTCACCGTTGTCACCGTTGTCACTGTGTTTACCATTGTCACCGTTGTCATTGTTGTCTCTGTTGTCACCCGTTGTCACCGTTGTCACGTTTGTCATGCCGTTGTCACCATTGTCACGTTGTCACTGTTGTCACCGTTGTCACTCTTGTCACTTTTTGTCACCATTGTCACCGTTGTCACCGTTGTCACTGTTGTCATTGTTATCACCGTTGTCACTGTTGTCACTGTTGTCACCGTTGTCACCTGTTGTCACCGTTGTCACCTTTTGTCACTGTTGTCACCGTTGTCACCGTTGTCACTGTTGTCACAGTTGTCAACGTTGTTACTGTTTTTACTGTTGTCACCGTTGTCACTGTTGTCACCGTTGTCACTGTTGTCACCGTTGTCAGCGTTCTCAGTGTTGTCACCGTTGTCACTGATGTCACTGTTGTCACCGTTGTCACCGCTGTCACCGTTGTCACTGTTGTCACCGTTGTTACTGTTGTCACTGTTATCACCGTTGTCACTTTTGTCACCGTTGTCACCGTTGTCACCGTTGTCACTTTTGTCACTTTTGTCACCATTGTCACCGTTGTCACTGTTGTCACTGTTGTCACCGTTGTCACCGTTGTCAGTGTTGTCACCGTTGTAACTGTTGTGACCGTTGTCACCGTTGTCACTGTTGTCACTGTTGTCACTGTTGTCACGTTTTCACCATTGTCACTGTTGTCACTGTGTAAGCGTTGTCACTGTTGTCACCGTTGTAACTGTTGTCACCGTTGTCACCGTTGTCACCGTTGTCACCGTTGTCACCGTTGTCACCGTTGTCACCGTTGAAACTGTTGTCACCGTTGTCACCGTTGTCGCTGTTGTCACTGTTGTCACTGTTGTCACGTTTTCACCACTCTCACTGTTGTCACTGTTGTCACGGGTGTCACCGTTGTCACTGTTGTCACCGTTGTCACCGTTGTCACTGTTGTCACCATTGTCACCGTTGTGACCGTTGTCACTGTTGTCACCGTTGTTGTCCCGTTGTCACTATTGTCACCCGTTGTCACTTTTCACCGTTGTCACTGTTGTCACCGTTGTCACCGTTGTCACTGTTGTCACCGTTGTCACCGTTGTCACCGTTGTCACTGGTGTCACTGGTGTTACCGTTATCACTGTTGTCACCGTTGTCACCGTTGTCACGATTGTCACCGGTGTCACCGGTGTCACCGTTGTTACCGTTGTCACCGTTGTCACCGTTGTCACCGTTGTCACCGTTGTCACCGTTGTCACCGTTGTCACCGTTGTCAGTGTTGTCATCGTTGTCACTGTTGTCACGGTTGTAACGATTGTCACTGCTGTCACTGTTGTCACGGTTGTCACTGTTTTAACCGTTGTCACCGTTGTCACCGTTGTCACCGTTGTCACCGTTGTCACCGTTGTCACCGTTGTCACTGTTGTCACCGTTGTCACCGTTGTCACTGTTTTCACCGTTGTTACCGTTGTCACTGTTGTCAGTGTTGTCACCGTTGTCACCGTTGTCACTGTTGTCACCGTTGTCACCGTTGTCACTGTTATCACCGTTGTCACCGTTGTCAGTGTTGTCATCGTTGTCACTGTTGTCACGGTTCTCACGATTGTCACTGCTGTCACTGTTGTCACGGTTGTCACCGTTGTCACTGTTGTCACTGTTGTCACCGTTGTCACTGTTGTCATCGTTGTCACCGTTGTCACTGTTGTCACCGTTGTCACCGTTTTCACCGTTGTCACTGTTGTCACCGTTTTCACCGTTGTCACCGTTGTCACTGTTCTCACTGTTGTTACTGTTGTCACCATTGTCACCGTTGTCACTGTTGTCACTGTTGTCACTGTTGTCACCGTTGTCACTGTTGTCAGCGTTGTCACCGTTGTCACTGTTGTCACTGTTGTCCCCGTTGTCACCGTTGTCACTCTTGTCACCGTTGTCACTGTTGTCACTGTTGTTACTGTTGTCACCGTTGTAACTGTTGTCACCGTTGTCACTGTTGTCACCCTTGCCACTCTTGTCACTGTTGTCACCGTTGTCACTGTTGTCACTGTTGTCCCCGTTGTAACTGTTGTCACCGTTGTCACTGTTGTCACCGTTGTCACCGTTGTCACCGTTGTCACTGTTGTCACAGTTGTCACCGTTGTCACTGTTGTCATCGTTGTCACCGTTGTCACTGTTGTCACGGTTGTGACCGTTGTCACTGTTGTCACCGTTGTCACTGTTGTCACTGTTGTCACCGTTGTTACTGTTGTCACTGTTGTCACCGTTGTCACTGTTGTCACCGTTGTCACCGTTGTCACCGTTGTCACTGTTGTCACTGTTGTCACCGTTGTCACTGTTGTCACTGTTGTCACCGTTGTCACCGTTGTCACTGTTGTCACTATGTGACAACAGTGACAATGGTGACAACGGTGACAACAGTGACAATGGTGACAACAGTGACAACGGTGACAACGGTGACAATGGTGACAACAGTGACAACGGTGACAACGGTGACAACGGTGACAACGGTGACAACGGTGACAACAGTGACAACAGTGACAACGGTGACAATGGTGACAAAGTGACAAAAGTGACAACGGTGACAACAGGGACAACGGGGACAACAGCGACAACAGTGACAATGGTGACAACAATGACAACAGTGACAACAGTGACAACAGTGACAACAGTGACAATAGTGACAACGGTGACAACAGTGACAATGGTGACAACAGTGACAATGGTGACAGCAGCGACAACCGTGACAACAGTGACAACAGTGACAAAGGTGACAACAGTGACAACAGTGACACCAGTGAGAACGGTTAGAACAGTGACAACAGTGATAACAGTGACAACGGTGACAACAGCGACAACGGTCACAACAGTGACAACAATGACAACGGTGTCACCGGTGACAACGATGACGGTGGTGAGAACAGTGAAAACGGTGACAACGGTGACAACGGTGACAGCGGTGACAACGGTGACAACGGTGAAAACGGTGACAATGGTGACAACTGTGACAACGGTGACAACAGTGACAACAGTGACGCCTGTGACAACAGTGACAACGGTGAAAGGAGTGACAATGGTGACAACAGTGACAGTGGTCACAACGGTGACAACAGTGACAATGGTGACAACATTGACAACGGTGACAACAGTGACAATCGTGACAACAGTGACAACGGTGACACCAGTGACACCAGTGACAACGGTGACAACAGTGACAACGGTGACAACAGTGACAACAGTGACAACAGTGACAACAGTGACAACGGTGAAAACGGTGAAAACGGTGACAACAGTGACAACAGTGACAACGGTGAAAACGGTAACAACAGTGCCAACAGTGACAACGGTAAAAACGGTGACAACAGTGACAAGAGTGACAACGGTGACAACAGTGACAACAGTGACAACGGTGACAACGGTGACAACAGTGACAACGGTGACAACGGTGGCAACGGTGACAACAGTGACAACAGTGACAACGGTGAAAACGGTGACAACAGTGACAACAGTGACAACGGTGAAAACGGTGACAACAGTGACAACGGTGACAACGGTGACAACGGTGACAACAGTGACAACGGTGACAACGATGACGACAGTGACGATGGTGACAACGGTGACAACAGTGACAACGGTCACAGCCGTGACAACAGTGACAACGGTCACAACGATGACAACAGTGACAACGGTGACAACAGTGACAACAGTGACAATGGTGACAACGGTGAGAACGGTGACGACAGTGACAACAGTGACAAGGGTGACAACGGTGACAATGGTGACAACGGTGACAGAGGTGACAACGGTGACAGAGGTGACAACGGTGACAACAGTGATAACAGTGACAACGGTGAAAACGGTGACAAAAGTGACAACGGTGACAATGGTGACAACAGTGACAACAGTGACAACGGTGACAATAGTGACAACAGTGACAACGGTGACAACAGTGACAACAGTGACAGCAGTGACAATCGTGACAACCGTGACAACAGTGACAACAGTGACAACGATGACAACACTGACAACGGTGACAACGGTGACAACGGTGACAACAGTGACAACGGTGACAACGGTGACAACAGTGACAACGGTGACAACGGTGACAACAGTGACAACGGTGACAGCGGTGACAACAGTGACAACAGTAACAACGGTGAGACCGGTGACAACAGTGACAACGGTGAGAACAGTTACAACGGTGACAACAGTGACAACAGTGACAACGGTTACAACGGTGACAACAGTGAGAATGGTGAAAACGGTGACAACAGTGACAACAGTGACAACAGTGACAACGGTGACAACGGTGACAATGGTGACAAGAGTTACAACGGTGACAACAGTGACAACGGTGACAACGGAGACAACGGTGACAACAGTGACAACAGTGACAACGGTGACAATGGTGACAAAAGTGACAAAAGTGACAACGGTGACAACAGTGACAACGGGGACAACAGCGACAACAGTGACAATGGTGACAACGGTGAAAACAGTGACAAAAGTGACAACGGTGATAACCGTGACAACAGTAACAACGGTGACAACAGTGACAACGGTGACAACGGTGACAACAGTGACAACGGTGACAACGGTGACAACAGTGACAACGCTGACAACGGTGACAACAGTGACAACAGTGACAACGGTGACAACAGTGAGAACGGTGACAACGGTGACAACAGTGACAACGGTGAGAACAGGTACAACGGTGACAAGAGTGACAACAGTGACAACGGTGAGAACAGGTACAACGGTGACCAGAGTGACAACGGTGACAACGGTTACAACGGTGACAACGATGACAACGGTGACAACAGTGAGAACAGTGACAACGGTGACAACGGTGACAACGGTGACAGCGGTGACAACGGTGACAACGGTGACAACGGTGACAATGGTGACAACGGTGACAACGGTGACAACGGTGACAACAGAGACAACGGTGACGCCTGTGACAACAGTGACAACGGTGACAACAGTGACAATGGTGACAACAGTGACAGTGGTCACAACGGTGACAACAGTGACAATGGTGACAACATTGACAACGGTGACAACAGTGACAATCGTGACAACAGTGACAACGGTGACACCAGTGACACCAGTGACAACGGTGACAACGGTGACAACGGTGACAACGGTGACAACAGTGACAACAGTGACAACGGTGACAACGGTGACAACGGTGACAACAGTGAGAACAGTGACAACGGTGACAACGGTGACTACAGTAAGAACAGTGACAACGGTGACAACTGTTGTCACCGTTGTCACCGTTGTCACTGTTGTCACCGTTGTCACTGTTCTCACCGTTGTCACTGTTGTCACCGTTGTCACTATTGTCACTGTTGTCACCGTTGTCACCGTTGTCACTGTTGTCACTGTTGTCACTGTTGTCACCGTTGTCACCGTTGTCACTGTTGTCACTAGGAATAAAAGGCTTTAAAATGGTATCACTTGAAAGTAGAAATGATTCTTTTAAATCAAAACGGTTGTCACCGTTGTCACTGTTGTCAAAGTTGTCAAAGTTGTCACTGTTTTTACTGTTGTCACCGGTGTCACCGTTAACACTGTTGTCACCGTTGTCACTGTTGTCACTGTTGTCAGCGTTATCAGCGTTGTCACCGTTGTCACCGTTGTCACTATTGTCACTGTTGTCACCGTTGTCACTCTTGTTACTGTTGTCACCGTTGTCACTGTTGTCACCGTTTTCACCGTTGTCTTTGTTGTCACTGTTGTCACGGTTGTCACGGTTGTCACCGTTGTCACTGTTGTCACAGTTCTCAACGTTCTCACTGTTTTTACTGTTGTCACCTGTGTCACTTTTGTCACTGTTGTCACCGTTGTCACTGTTGTCACTGTTGTCACCGTTGTCACGGTTGTCACCGTTGTCACTGTTGTCACCGTTGTACCTGTTGTCACCGTTGTCACTGTTGTCACTGTTGTCACCGTTGTCACCGTTGTCACTGGTGTCACAGTTGTCACCGTTGTCATTGTTTTTACTGTTGTCACCGGTGTCACCGTTGTCACTGTTGTCACCGTTGTCACTGTTGTCACCGTTGTCACCGTTGTCACTGTTGTCACCGCTGTCACCGTTCTCACTGTTGTCACCGTTGTTACTGTTGTCACGGTTATCACCGTTGTCACTTTTGTCACTGTTTTTACCGTTGTCACCATTGTCACTGTTGTCGCTGTTGTCACCGTTGTCCCTGTTGTCACCGTTGTCACTTTTGTCACTTTTGTCATCATTGTCACCGTTGTCACTGTTGTCACCGTTGTCACCGTTGTCACTGTTGTCACCGTTGTCACCGTTGTCACTGTTGTCACCGTTGTCACCGTTGTCACTGTTGTCACCGTTGTCACTGTTGTCACCGTTGTCTCCGTTGTCACCGTTGTCACCGTTGTCACTGTTGTCACTGTTGTCACCGTTGTTACCTCTGTCACCGTTGTCACTGTTGTCACTGTTGTCACTGTTGTCACCGTTGTCACTGTTGTCACCGTTGTCTCCGTTTTCACCGTTGTCACCGTTGTCACTGTTGTCACTGTTGTCACCGTTGTCACCTCTGTCACCGTTGTCACCATTGTCACCGTTGTCACCCTTGTCACTGTTGTCACTGTCGTCACCGTTGTCACCGTTGTCACCGTTGTCACTGTTGTCACTGTTGTCACCGTTGTCACTCTTGTCACTGTTGTCACCGTTGTCACCGTTGTCACTGTTGTCACCGTTTTCACCGTTGTCTTTGTTGTCACTGTTGTCACGGTTGTCACGGTTGTCACCGTTGTCACTGTTGTCACAGTTATCAACGTTCTCACTGTTTTTACTGTTGTCACCTGTGTCACTTTTGTCAGTGTTGTCACCGTTGTCACTGTTGTCACTGTTGTCACCGTTGTCACGGTTGTCACCGTTGTCACTGTTGTCACCGTTGTCCCTGTTGTCACCGTTGTCACTGTTGTCACTGTTGTCACCGTTGTCACTGGTGTCACAGTTGTCAACGTTGTCATTGTTTTTACTGTTGTCACCGGTGTCACCGTTGTCACTGTTGTCACCGTTGTCACCGATGTCACTGTTGTCACCGCTGTCACCGTTCTCACTGTTGTCACCGTTGTTACTGTTGTCACGGTTATCACCGTTGTCACTTTTGTCACTGTTTATACCGTTGTCACCATTGTCACTGTTGTCGCTGTTGTCACCGTTGTCACTGTTGTCACCGTTGTCACCCTTGTCACTGTTGTCACTTTTGTCACCATTGTCACCATTGTCACTGTTCTCACTGTTGTCACCGTTGTCACCGTTGTCACTGTTGTCACCGTTGTCACCGTTGTCACTGTTGTCACCGTTGTCACCGTTGTAACTGTTGTCACCGTTGTCACTGTTGTCACCGTTGTCTCCGTTTTCACTGTTGTCACCGTTGTCACTGTTGTCACTGTTGTCACCGTTGTCACCTCTGTCACCGTTGTCACCGTTGTCACCGTATTCACCCTTGTCACTGTTGTCACTGTTGTCACCGTTGTCACCGTTGTCACCGTTGTCACCATTGTCACCGTTGTCACTGTTGTCATCGTTTTGACCGTTGTCACTGTTGTCACGGCTGTGACCGTTGTCACTGTTGTCACCGTTGTCACCGTTGTCATCGTTGTGACCGTTGTCACTGTTGTCAATGCTGTGACCGTTGTCACTGTTGTCACCGTTGTCACCATGGTTACTCTCGTCACCGTTGTCACCGTTGTTACTGTTGTCACCGTTGTCACCGTTGTCACTTGTCACTGTTGTCACGGTTGTCAACGGTGTCACCGTCGTCACGGTTGTCACTGTTGTTACCGTTGTCACTGTTGTCACCATTGTCACTGTTGTCACCGTTGTCACCACTGTCACTGTTGTCACTGTTGTCACCGGTGTCACCGTTGTAACGGTTGTCACTGTTGTCACCCTTGTCACTGTTGTCACCATTGTCACTGTTGTCATCGTTGTCACCACTGTCACTGTTGTCAACAACGGTGACAACAGTGAGAAGAGTGACAACGGTGACAACCGTGACAACAGTGACAACGGAGACAACGGTGACAACGGTAACAACGGTGACAACAGTGACAACAGTGACAATGGAGACAACGGTGACAACGGTGACAACAGTGACAACGGTGACAACAGTGACAACGGTGACACCGGTGACAACAGTAAAAACAGTGACAACGTTGACAACTGTGACAACAGTGACAACGGTGACAACGGTGACAACCGTGACAACAGTGACAACAAAGACAACGGTGAGAACAGTGACAACGGTGACAACGGTGACAACGGTGACAACGGTAACAATGGTGACAACAGTGACAACGGTGACAACGGTGACAACAGTGACAACGGTGACACCTGTGACAACAGTGACAACGGTGACAGCAGTGACAACAGTGACAAAAGTGACAGTGGTGACAACAGTGACAACAGTGACAATGGTGACAACAGTGACAACGGTGACAACAGTGACAATCGTGACAACGGTGACACCGGTGACAACCGTTACAACGGTGACAACAGTGACAACGGTGACACCAGTGACAACGGTGACAACGGTGACAACGGTGACAACGGTGACAACAGTGAGAACAGTGAGAACAGTGACAACGGTGACAACGGTGACAACGGTGACAACAGTGAGAACAGTGACAACGGTGACAACGGTGACAACGGTGACAGCGGTGACAACGGTGACAACAGTGACAACGGTGACAAAGGTGACAACAGTGACAACAATGACAGTGGTGACAACGGTGACAACAGTGACAATGGTGACAACAGTGACAACGGTGACAACAGTGACAACCGTGACAACGGTGACACCGGTGACAGCAGTGACAACAGTGACAGTGGTGACAACGGTGAGAACAGTGACAATGGTGACAACAGTGACAACGGTGACAACAGTGACAACCGTGACAACGGTGACACCGGTGACAACCGTGACAACGGTGACAACGGTGACAACAGTGACAACGGTGACAACGGTGACGAGAGTGACGATGGTGACAACGGTGACAACAGTGACAACGGTCAAAGCAGTGACAACGGTGACAACGGTCAAAACGATGACAACAGTGACAACGGTGACAACATTGACAACAGTGACAATGGTGACAACGGTGACAACGGTGACAACGTGGACAACGGTGACGACAGTGACAACAGTGACAAGGGTGACAATGGTGACAACGGTGACAGAGGTGACAACGGTGACAACAGTGACAACGGTGAAAACGGTGACAACAGTGACAACGGTGACAACGGTAACAACAGTGACAACAGTGACAACGGTGACAACAGTGACAACAGTGACAACGGTGACAACGGTGACAACAGTGACAACGCTGACAACGGTGACAACAGTGACAACAGTGACAACGGTGACAACAGTGACAACGGTGACACCGGTGACAACAGTAAAAACAGTGACAACGTTTACAACTGTGACAACAGTGACAACGGTGACAACGGTGACAACAGTGACAACAGTGACAACGGTGAAAACGGTGACAACAGTGACAACGGTGACAACAGTGACAAGAGTGACAACGGTGACAACAGTGACAACAGTGACAATGGTGACAACGGTGACAACGGTTTCAACGGTGAAAACGGTGACAACAGTGACAACGGTGACAACAGTGACAAGAGTGACAACGGTGACAACAGTGACAACGGTGACAACAGTGACAACAGTGACAACGGTGACAACGGTGACAACGGTGACAACAGTGACAACATTGACAACGGTGACAACAGTGACAACGGTGACAACGGTGACAACAGTAAAAACAGTGACAACGTTGACAACTGTGACAACAGTGACAACGGTGACAACCGTGACAACCGTGACAACAGTGACAACAGTGACAACGGTGAAAACGGTGACAACAGTGACAACGGTGACAACGGTGACAACGGTGACAACGGTGACAACGGTGACAACGGTGACAACAGTGACAACAGTGACAACGATGACAACAGTGACAAGAGTGACAACGGTGACAACAGTGACAACGGTGACAACAGTTACAACGGTGACAACAGTAACAACAGTGACAACAGTGACAACGGTGACAAAAGTGACAAGAGTGACAACGGTGACAACGGTGACAACGCTGACAACGGTGACAACAGTGACAACGGTGACAACAGTGACAACAGTGACAACAGTGACAACGGTGACAATGGTGACAACAGTGACAACGGTGACAACGGTGACAACAGTGACAACGGTGACAACGGTGACAACAGTGACAACGGTGAAAACGGTGACAACGGTGACAACAGTGACAACGGTGACAACGATGACAACAGTGACAACGGTGACAACAGTGACAACAGTGACAACGGTGACAACCGTGACAACAGTGACAGCAGTGACAATCGTGAGAACCGTGACAACAGTGACAACGATGACAACACTGACAACGGTGACAACGGTGACAACAGTGACAACGGTGACAACGGTGAAAACAGTGACAACGGTGACAACGGTGACAACAGTGACAACAGTGACAACGGTGACAACGGTGACAACAGTGACAACGGTGACAACGGTGACAACAGTGACAACGGTGACAACGGTGACAACGGTGACAACGGTGACAACGGTGACAACGGTGACAACAGTGACAACAGTGACAACGGTGACAACGGTGACAACGGTGACAACGGTGACAACGGTGACAACGGTGAAAACAGTGACAACCGTGACAACAGTGACAGCAGTGACAATCGTGACAACCGTGACAACAGTGACAACGATGACAACACTGGCAACGGTGACAACGGTGACAACGGTGACAACGGTGACAACGGTGAGAACGGTAACAACGGTGACACCGGTGACACCGGTGACAACCGTGACAACGGTGACAACAGTGACAACAGTGATAACGGTAACACCAGTGACACCAGTGACAACGGTGACAACGGTGACAACGGTGACAACAGTGACAACGGTGACAACGGTGACAACGGTGACAACGGTGACAACGGTGGCAACGGTGACAACGGTGACAACAGTAAGAACAGTGACAACGGTGACAACTGTTGTCACCGTTGTCACCGTTGTCACTGTTGTCACCGTTGTCACTGTTCTCACCGTTGTCACTGTTGTCACCGTTGTCACTTTTGTCACTGTTGTCACCGTTGTCACCGTTGTCACTGTTGTCACTGTTGTCACTGTTGTCACCGTTGTCACCGTTGTCACTGTTGTCACTAGGAATAAAAGGCTTTAAAATGGTATCACTTGAAAGTAGAAATGATTCTTTTAAATCAAAACGGTTGTCACTGTTGTCACTGTTGTCACCGATGTCACCGTTGTCACTGTTGTCAAAGTTGTCAAAGTTGTCACTGTTTTTACTGTTGTCACCGGTGTCACCGTTAACACTGTTGTCACCGTTGTGACTGTTGTCACCGTTGTCAGCGTTGTCAGCGTTGTCACCGTTGTCACCGTTGTCACTGTTGTCACCGTTGTCACTCTTGTCACTGTTGTCACCGTTGTCACTGTTGTCACCGTTTTCACCGTTGTCTTTGTTGTCACTGTTGTCACGGTTGTCACCGTGGTCACTGTTGTCACAGTTGTCAACGTTGTCACTGTTTTTACTGTTGTCACCGGTGTCACTTTTGTCACTGTTGTCACCGTTGTCACTGTTGTCACTGTTGTCACCGTTGTCACGGTTGTCACCGTTGTCACTGTTGTCACCGTTGTCACTGTTGTCACCGTTGTCACTGTTGTCACTGTTGTCACCGTTGTCACCGTTGTCACTGTTGTCACAGTTGTCACCGTTGTCATTGTTGTTACTGTTGTCAGCGGTGTCACCGTTGTCACTGTTGTCACCGTTGTCACCGTTGTCACCGATGTCACTGTTGTCACCGCTGTCACCGTTCTCACTGTTGTCACCGTTGTTACTGTTGTCACGGTTATCACCGTTGTCACTTTTGTCACTGTTTTTACCGTTGTCACCATTGTCACTGTTGTCGCTGTTGTCACCGTTGTCACTGTTGTCACCGTTGTAACCCTTTTCACTTTTGTCACTTTTGTCATCATTGTCACCGTTGTCACTGTTGTCACTGTTGTCACCGTTGTCACCGTTGTCACCGTTGTCACTGTTGTCACCGTTGTAACCGTTGTCACTGTTGTCACCGTTGTCACCGTTGTAACTGTTGTCACCGTTGTCACTGTTGTCACCGTTGTCTCCGTTTTCACCGTTGTCACCGTTGTCACTGTTGTCACTGTTGCACCGTTGTCACCTCTGTCACCGTTGTCACTGTTGTCACCGTTGTCACCGTTGTAACTGTTGTCACCGTTGTCACTGTTGTCACCGTTGTCTCCGTTTTCACCGTTGTCACCGTTGTCACTGTTGTCACTGTTGTCACCGTTGTCACCTTTGTCACCGTTGTCACCATTGTCACCGTTGTCACCCTTGTCACTGTTGTCACTGTCGTCACCGTTGTCACCGTTGTCACTGTTGTCACTGTTGTCACCGTTGTCACTCTTGTCACTGTTGTCACCGTTGTCACCGTTGTCACTGTTGTCACCGTTTTCACCGTTGTCTTTGTTGTCACTGTTGTCACGGTTGTCACGGTTGTCACCGTTGTCACTGTTGTCACAGTTGTCAACGTTGTCACTGTTTTTACTGTTGTCACCTGTGTCACTTTTGTCACTGTTTTCACCGTTGTCACTGTTGTCACTGTTGTCACCGTTGTCACGGTTGTCACCGTTGTCACTGTTGTCACCGTTGTAACTGTTGTCACCGTTGTCACTGTTGTCACTGTTGTCACCGTTGTCACCGTTGTCACTGTTGTCACAGTTGTCAACGTTGTCATTGTTTTTACTGTTGTCACCGGTGTCACCGTTGTCACTGTTGTCACCGTTGTCACTGTTGTCACCGTTGTCACCGATGTCACTGTTGTCACCGCTGTCACCGTTCTCACTGTTGTCACCGTTGTTACTGTTGTCACGGTTATCACCGTTGTCACTTTTGTCACCGTTTTTACCGTTGTCACCATTGTCACTGTTGTCGCTGTTGTCACCGTTGTCACTGTTGTCACCGTTGTCACCCTTGTCACTTTTGTCACTTTTGTCACCATTGTCACCGTTGTCACTGTTGTCACTGTTGTCACCGTTGTCACCGTTGTCACTGTTGTCACCGTTGTAACCGTTGTCACTGTTGTCACCGTTGTCACCGTTGTAACTGTTGTCACCGTTGTCACTGTTGTCACCGTTGTCTCCGTTTTCACCGTTGTCACCGTTATCACTGTTGTCACTTTTGTCACCGTTGTCACCTCTGTCACCGTTTTCACAATTGTCACCGTTGTCACCCTTGTCACTGTTGTCACTGTCGTCACCGTTGTCACCGTTGTCACCGTTGTCACCATTGTCACCGTTGTCACTGTTGTCACCGTTGTCACTGTTGTCATCGTTGTGACCGTTGTCACTGTTGTCACGGCTGTGACCGTTGTCACTGTTGTCACCGTTGTCACCGTTGTCGTCGTTGTGACCGTTGTCACTGTTGTCACTGCTGTGACTGTTGTCACTGTTGTCACCGTTGTCACCATCGTTACTCTCGTCACCGTTGTCACCGTTGTCACTGTTGTCACCGTTGTCACCGTTGTCACCGTTGTCACTGTTGTCACCGTTGTCACTGTTGTCACTGTTGTCACGGTTGTCAACGGTGTCACCGTCGTCACGGTTGTCACTGTTGTTACCGTTGTCACTGTTGTCACCATTGTCACTGTTGTCACCGTTGTCACCACTGTCAGTGTTGTCACTGTTGTCACCGGTGTCACCGTTGTAACGGTTGTCACTGTTGTCACCCTTGTCACTGTTGTCACCATTGTCACTGTTGTCATCGTTGTCACCACTGTCACTGTTGTCAACAACGGTGACAACAGTGAGAAGAGTGACAACGGTGACAACCGTGACAAAAGTGACAACGGTGACAACGGTGACAACGGTGACAACAGTGACAACAGTGACAACGGAGACAACGGTGACAACGGTGACACCGGTGACAACAGTGACAACATTGACAACGATGACAACAGTGACAACGGTGACACTGGTGACAACAGTAAAAACAGTGACAACGTTGACAACTGTGACAACAGTGACAACGGTGACAACGGTGACAACCGTGACAACAGTGACAACAGTGACAACGGTGAAAACGGTGACAACACTGACAACGGTGACAACAGTGACAAGAGTGACAACGGTGACAACAGTGACAACGGTGACAACGGTGACAACGGTGACAACGGTGACAACAGTGACAACAGTGACAACGGTGACAACAGTGACAACGGTGACACCGGTGACAACAGTTACAACAGTTTTTATTTAAAAGAATCATTTCTACTTTCAACTGATACCATTTTAAAGCTTTTTATTCCTAGTGACAACAGTGACAACGGTGACAACAGTGACAACGGTGACAACAGTGACAACGGTGACAACGGTGACAACGGTGACAACGGTGACAACGGTGACAACAGTGACAACGGTGACAACAGTGACAACGGTGACAACGGTGACAACGGTGACAACAGTGACAACAGTGACAACGGTGACAACGGTGACAACGGTGACAACAGTGACAACGGTGACAACGGTGACAACAGTGACAACGGTGACAACAGTGACAACGGTGACAACGGTGACAACGGTGACAACAGTGACAACGGTGACAACAGTGACAACGGTGACAACAGTGACAACAGTGACAACGGTGACAACGGTGACAACGGTGACAACAGTGACAACGGTGACAACGGTGACAACGGTGACAACGGTGACAACGGTGACAACAGTGACAACGGTGACAACGGTGACAACGGTGACAACAGTGACAACAGTGACAACGGTGACAACGGTGACAACGGTGACAACGGTGACAACGGTGACAACGGTGACAACAGTGACAACAGTGACAACGGTGACAACGGTGACAACAGTGACAACAGTGACAACAACGGTGACAACGGTGACAACAGTGACAACGGTGACAACGGTGACAACAGTGACAACAGTGACAACAGTGACAACGGTGACAACGGTGACAACGGTGACAACGGTGACAACAGTGACAACGGTGACAACGGTGACAACAGTGACAACAGTGACAACGGTGACAACAGTGACAACAGTGACAACGGTGACAACAGTGACAACGGTGACAACGGTGACAACAGTGACAACGGTGACAACGGTGACAACGGTGACAACGGTGACAACAGTGACAACGGTGACAACAGTGACAACGGTGACAACGGTGACAACGGTGACAACGGTGACAACGGTGACAACGGTGACAACAGTGACAACGGTGACAACGGTGACAACGGTGACAACGGTGACAACGGTGACAACGGTGACAACAGTGACAACGGTGACAACGGTGACAACGGTGACAACGGTGACAACGGTGACAACGGTGACAACGGTGACAACGGTGACAACGGTGACAACAGTGACAACGGTGACAACGGTGACAACGGTGACAACGGTGACAACGGTGACGGTGACAACGGTGACAACGGTGACAACGTGGTGACAACGGTGACAACGGTGACAACGGTGACAACGGTGACAACGGTGACAACGGTGACAACGGTGACAACGGTGACAACGGTGACAACGGTGACAACGGTGACAACGGTGACAACGGTGACAACGGTGACAACGGTGACAACGGTGACAACGGTGACAACGGTGACAACGGTGACAACGGTGACAACGGTGACAACAGTGACAACGGTGACAACGGTGACAATGGTGAAAACGGTGACAACGGTGACAACGGTGACAATGGTGACAACGGTGACAACGGTGACAACAGTGACAACAGTGACAACGGTGACAACGGTGACAACGGTGACAACGGTGACAACGGTGACAACGGTGACAACGGTGACAACAGTGACAACGGTGACAACAGTGACAACGGTGACAACGGTGACAACGGTGACAACGGTGACAACAGTGACAACGGTGACAACGGTGACAACGGTGACAACGGTGACAACGGTGACAACAGTGACAACGGTGACAACGGTGACAACGGTGACAACAGTGACAACGGTGACAACGGTGACAACAGTGACAACGGTGACAACAGTGACAACGGTGACAACGGTGACAACAGTGACAACGGTGACAACGGTGACAACGGTGACAACGGTGACAACAGTGACAACGGTGACAACGGTGACAACGGTGACAACGGTGACAACAGTGACAACGGTGACAACGGTGACAACGGTGACAACTGTGACAACGGTGACAACGGTGACAAGTGACAACGGTGACAACGGTGACAACAGTGACAACGGTGACAACGGTGACAACAGTGACAACGGTGACAACGGTGACAACGGTGACAACAGTGACAACGGTGACAACGGTGAGAACGCGGTGACAACGGTGACAACGGTGACAACGGTGACAACAGTGACAACAGTGACAACGGTGACAACACGTGACAACGGTGACAACGGTGACAACAGTGACAACGGTGACAACGGTGACAACAGTGACAACGGTGACAACGGTGACAACGGTGACAACGGTGACAACAGTGACAACGGTGACAACAGTGACAACGGTGACAACGGTGACAACGGTGACAACGGTGACAACAGTGACAACAGTGACAACAGTGACAACGGTGACAACGGTGACAACAGTGACAACAGTGACAACGGTGACAACGGTGACAACAGTGACAACGGTGACAACGGTGACAACAGTGACAACAGTGACAACGGTGACAACAGTGACAACAGTGACAACAGTGACAACGGTGACAACGGTGACAACGGTGACAACGGTGACAACAGTGACAACGGTGACAACGGTGACAACAGTGACAACGGTGACAACGGTGACAACGGTGACAACGGTGACAACAGTGACAACAGTGACAACGGTGACAACGGTGACAACAGTGACAACAGTGACAACGGTGACAACGGTGACAACGGTGACAACAGTGACAACGGTGACAACGGTGACAACGGTGACAACGGTGACAACAGTGACAACAGTGACAACGGTGACAACAGTGACAACAGTGACAACGGTGACAACGGTGACAACAGTGACAACAGTGACAACGGTGACAACGGTGACAACGGTGACAACGGTGACAACAGTGACAACGGTGACAACGGTGACAACGGTGACAACGGTGACAACGGTGACAACGGTGACAACGGTGACAACGGTGACAACGGTGACAACAGTGACAACAGTGACAACGGTGACAACGGTGACAACAGTGACAACAGTGACAACGGTGACAACGGTGACAACAGTGACAACGGTGACAACGGTGACAACAGTGACAACGGTGAGTGACAACGGTGACAACGGTGACAACGGTGACAACGGTGACAACGGTGACAACGGTGACAACAGTGACAACAGTGACAACGGTGACAACGGTGACAACGGTGACAACGGTGACAACGGTGACAACGGTGACAACGGTGACAACGGTGACAACGGTGACAACAGTGACAACGGTGACAACGGTGACAACGGTGACAACGGTGACAACGGTGACAACAGTGACAACAGTGACAACGGTGACAACGGTGACAACAGTGACAACGGTGACAATGGTGACAACGGTGACAACGGTGACCACGGTGACAACAGTGACAACAGTGACAACGGTGACAATGGTGACAACGGTGACAACAGTGACAAAAGTGACAACGGTGACAACGGTGACAACAAGTGACAACGGTGACAATGGTGACAACGGTGACAAAGGTGACAACGGTGACAACGGTGACAACAGTGACAACAGTGACAACGGTGACAACAGTGACAACGGTGACAACGGTGACAACGGTGACAACGGTGACAACGGTGACAACGGTGACAACGGTGACAACAGTGACAACGGTGACAACGGTGACAACGGTGACAACGGTGACAACGGTGACAACGGTGACAACGGTGACAACGGTGACAACGGTGACAACGGTGACAACGGTGACAACGGTGACAACGGTGACAACGGTGACACGGTGACAATAGTGACAACGGTGACAACAGTGGTGACAACGGTGACAGTGGTGACAACGGTGACAACGGTGACAACGGTGACAACGGTGACAACGGTGACGGTGACAACGGTGACAACAGTGACACAGTGACAACGGTGACAACGGTGACAACGGTGACAACGGTGACAACGGTGACAACGGTGACAACGGTGACAACGGTGACAACAGTGACAACGGTGACAACGGTGACAACGGTGAACGGTGACAACGGTGACAACGGTGACAACGGTGACAACGGTGACAACGGTGACAACGGTGACAACGGTGACAACAGTGACAACGGTGACAACGGTGACAACGGTGACAACGGTGACAACGGTGACAACGGTGACAACGGTGACAACGGTGACAACAGTGACAACGGTGACAACGGTGACAACGGTGACAACGGTGACAACGGTGACAACAGTGACAACGGTGACAACGGTGACAACGGTGACAATGGTGACAACAGTGACAACAGTGACAACGGTGACAACGGTGACAACAGTGACAACGGTGACAACGGTGACAACAGTGACAACGGTGACAGCAGTGACAGCAGTGACAACAGTGACAGTGGTGACAGTGGTGACAACGGTGACAACGGTGACAACAGTGACAATCGTGACAACGGTGACACCGGTGACAACCGTGACAACGGTGACAACAGTGACACCAGTGACACCGGTGACAACGGTGACAACGGTGACAACAGTGACAACAGTGACAACGGTGACAACGGTGACAGCAGTGACAACGGTGACACCGGTGACATCCGTGACAACGGTGACAACAGTGACAACGGTGACACCAGTGACAACAGTGACAACGGTGACAACGGTGACAACGGTGACAACAGTGACAACGGTGACAACAGTTACAACGGTGACAACAGTGACAACGGTGACAACAGTGACAACGGTCACAGCCGTGACAACAGTGACAACGGTCACAACGATGACAACAGTGACAACGGTGACAACAGTGACAACAGTGACAATGGTGACAACGGTGACAATGGTGACAACGGTGACGACAGTGACAACAGTGACAAGGGTGACAACGGTGACAATGGTGACAACGGTGACAAAGGTGACAACGGTGACAACAGTGACAACAGTGACAACGGTGAAAACGGTGACAACAGTGACAACAGTGACAACGGTGACAACAGTGACAACAGTGACAACGGTGACAACAGTGACAACGGTGACAACGGTGACAACAGTGACAACGGTGACAACAGTGACAACAGTGACAACGATGACAACAGTGACAACGGTGACAACGGTGACAACAGTGACAACGGTGACAACGGTGACAACAGTGACAACGGTGACAACGGTGACAACAGTGACAACGGTGACAACAGTGACAACAGTGACAACGGTGACAACAGTGACAACAGTGACAACGGTGACAACAGTGACAACGGTGACAACGGTGACAACAGTGACAACGGTGACAACGGTGACAACAGTGACAACGGTGACAGTGGTGACAACAGTGACAACAGTGACAACGGTGAGACCGGTGACAACAGTGACAACAGTGACAACGGTGACAACGGTGACAACAGTGACAACGGTGACAACGGTGACAACGGTGACAACGGTGACAACAGTGACAACAGTGACAACGGTGACAACGGTGACAACGGTGACAACAGTGACAATGGTGAAAACGGTGACAACAGTGACAACAGTGACAACAGTGACAACGGTGACAACGGTGACATTGGTGACAACAGTTACAACGGTGACAACAGTGACAACGGTGACAAAGGTGACAACAGTGACAACAGTGACAATGGTGACAACGGTGACAACAGTGACAACAGTGACAACAGTGAAAACGGTGACAACAGTGACAACGGTGACAACAGTGACAACAGTGACAACAGTGACAACGGTGAAAACGATGACAACAGAGACAATGGTGACAATAGTGACAACTGTGACAATAGTGATAACGGTGACAATGGTGAGGACAGCAACAAGAGTTATAACAGGAACAACGGTGACAACAGTGAAAACAGTGACAACAGCGACATAAGTGACAACAGTGACAACAGCAGCAACAGTGACAACGGTTACAACGGTGACAACAGTGATAACAGTGACAACAATGACAACAGCGACAACGATGACAACAGTGACAACAGTGACAGCGGTGATAACAGGGACAGTAGAGAGAGTGGCGACAATTTTGACAACAGTAACAACGGCGACAACATTGGAGTGACAACAGCGATAACAGTGACAACAGCAACAATGGTGAGAACAGGAGTGGAAGTAGTGGAATATTTGAGCATAAAAATGTCTATAGCATGGTTTTTTTATTCATGTTAAATCTTTATTCTAATGAAAGGGAGGGAAAATTTGTGGGGACGACAATTTGCCCTCTGGCGATCAAAAATTTATACTCGATCACCAGTTGGCACCCGTATTAAAAAGTTAATTTCAGACCTTGAAAGGCTGACTACATTGTAAGCAGAGTTTCCTATCCTGGTTATATAACTCCATCACATAAGATTTACAGAAAACTAGACTACGAAAGTCATGAGGAGAAGTAGATGAATATATCAAATCCAACTCCAATGCTTTGGTAAACCATCCTTACCCAAACCTGAGTTTGGTGATATTAATTAACAGAAAAAATACATGTAGGATATAAACCTAAGAGAAATAGGCTGCAAGAGATTTAGAGAAGATTGTGTGGTAAAGACAGCATTCAAATTAGATAGGTTGTTCTGTAAATGTATTTTAAAATAAATATACATGTATATACTTACCTCTGAAGGCTTGACATTCATCTTTGAGCAGACAAGCTTGTAAATGTTAGGATCTGGTTTACAGAGACCAAGTTTGCAAGACTCAAACTCTTCATCAAAATAGTGAAGTAAGTGAGGAAACGGAAGTGATTTAAACTTTTTTCCAGTATCATTGGCCCAGTTGTTTGTCAATATGCAGGTCTTGATACCTGGAAAATACATATTATCATTCCACATAGATATATTTAAAAAATAACAGACCACCAGATTCTAACTCCATTGGTAATTTATACCAATGTCCACTGGTAATACTGTAAACTGCCACTTATAAGCCTCTCGTAAGGGGTTTTCGGAGGCTTATAAACATAGGGGCTTACATCCAACAGGGCTTAAAATCGGATGAAAAAAAGCGGTTCAAACAAGCTATGGCAGTGCTGAGCAAAATATGTTTTGCTTTTACTGGTTTTTAATCAGGCGCTTATAAAGAAGGGAGGGGGGCTTAGGGCTTATAAGCGGCAGTTAATTTGTACTTAAAACTACGCCTTCAATAAGCTAATATCTCTAGTAAACGTGGTGGTTTACCATGCTTTCTCAGGGCATTTGAAGCATTCAGCATCTCTGGTATGACTTTTGCTGTGGAGAGGTATTCATCCATGATTTCTTGAAATTTAAACTCCTTGCAGAGATCTAGTCCTTGTTTGGATGCATGCTCTTTGTAAATTGCATCCATTTCAGAGCAAAACTTTTAAGAAAAGAGATGCAAAATTATTAAAAGATCATCAAATGCCATTGACATACCTCTCAAACTGAGATGCAGTTCATATACAAATAAACATGTACTTTGATTTTCCAGGAGGCATCCCTTGACATTAGTCAAGTATTAAGGAAAAAACACAAACAATCAATTTTTACAAGAATATATATATTTTATTTTTCATGTTATATCATTTAATGCATTCTGGAAATTTTTAAGTCTTAAGAGATTCGGCATGGGTTTTTTCAAAGGTTAATTTTTTGTCCAGGGATTTTCCTGGGTTTTGCTGGAAGCCACAGGGATTTTTGGGTGTTTTGATTTTTGCCCCCATTTGATCATCCCTGCCTATCACTTGAAATCGGGAGTACCCCCTCGATCATGACTTCCTTATCTGACCTTGTGTTGTCTTTGCTAAATCACATTATTTACATCAACTCACCTGAGAAAGAGACAGCTGACCAGTGTCAAGCCTTTTGGCATTGTTTATAAAACTTTTAATAACAAATTCACTGAAAAAAAAAAACAAACAAAAAAATGCAATTTATTGGAGTTTCAAATATTTCGAACCAACATTTTATGTAGTCATCCAAGCCACATAAAGATCTAGCTGTTTGCAAGGCAGAGGCAGTACCTTCTTTTCTCAGTTATTTGAAGACCCTTAGCGTTGGTCTGGTCCTGGGGATTGAACCCGCAACAACCTGCTCTGCAGTAATCTTGTACCGGATCTCCCTCTGTCACTGCGTATGAGATTAGCTCTGTATCAAGACTTGATGCAGAGCTAATCTCATACGCAGTGGTCTTAGCATGCAGCCGAGCTAGTCCTGATGGCACATGAATAGCATGCTAGCAATCAATTCAATTCTTTATGGACGAGATGCTGATCAACCTGGGAAGGGTGGGTAAGGAGTGGGCTGGTGGCGTGTGGGGTTGGGTACTCCCTTATAAGGGCTTAATGGGGACGTGTGGCCAGCCAGGGTATGTTTTTCGGGATTTTTGTCTTAAACAGGGTATCAAATTTATCATTTTTTGTCTTAATCAGGGTATCGATTTATCAATTTTTGTCTTAAACAGGATATCTTTTCTTGGACGATAAAAAGCAAAATTTTTACAAGCTCTAATGTTAATTAATATTGACTTCCGTTGACTTAAACAGGGCATCAAAAATCGGAATTCTGTCTTCAACAGGGTAGGAAAATCAGTGATATTTGTCTTAAACAGGGTCAGGGTATGAGGGGCCGCGCCGCACATCCCCACCCAGGGATATATCGAGTAGCCCCGGGAGTACAGAGTTGGGGTAAGGAATGCATAGAAAATGTTGAGACCATCGAAGGCCCTGGACTACATACAGCGCTTATCACTCATAGTGAAAAAGCCAGTCTGTGCTGCGAACATTTCCTTACATTGATGGGCGCGCCGGGCTTGCATTGAGAAGCTAAAAATATTTTAAAAAGGCTAAAAAAATAAGCTTATTCAAGGTTTTACATTGCTCACCTTGGAATTCCTTTCTCCCACGAATACTTCTGAAAAGCAAAGAGAGGACTTGTAACAATGACACCCCCGAGGTCAAATATTACAAGTTTGACCATTTTCAAAGACATTTTTCAGTCTTCCCGGCTGTTAAAGACCATGTAGCCCATATGTAGTTTTCACTGTTCCGATCACTTGCACACTGGCACCTTGGCTAAATGACATCATCTAAGAGACAATTTGATTGGATTAGACCCACCAACCAATCAGAACTTTTGTTGTATACGGCACGGAAGTGCTAAAATGGCGGACGAGCTGCCTGAAGATTTCGATGTTATCGTTTTGGGAACAGGTAACGTATTTATTTAACGCTGTAGATGATATGAGAGAGTTTGACGTTGACCTTTTTATTCCCGAGATCGTCTTGGCAGATGCTGGAATAAAATGCGAAGAGAAAATGGGTGAAATATTAAAATAATATTGGTACAAAATGCATTTATGTAAATCAATACTCCTTTTATGTGTCACAGTCTTATCTAGCTGTCTTTAAAGCGCTTTTGCTTTCTTTCCCGATGAAAGGTTTCCCTGAATCTGTTGTGGCAGCTGCACTATCAAGAATTGGTAAGAAAGTTCTCCATTTAGACAGGTCAGTTAATACGTAAATTCGTTAAAGTTTAATCGCTAGTTCAGTACATCTGTACATTTAAACGTTTATACTGATCTTCCAAGATTCTTGTTATAGGAATGATTATTACTCTGATCAATGGGTAACATTTACGTTCGAAAGTTTGCTGAAATGGATCGAGCTAAATCAGGTGGGTAATTATAATGCAACCGGTGAATGGGGATCTCTTTCTAATAATTAAAATTCCAACCCTGGCTGTTCTTGCTTTCGTTATTTCCCATTTTATGGTGTTCATACCCCTGGTCTAGCTGGTAAATGGTATTCTTTTCTATATCAAAATTCCCCAATGTTTTCATGAAAAATGATAGTTAAATGTCAGTTTCAAAAGTGGACCACCTAAACCAGAAGTGATGGAAAGTTGTTCGACCTGTAGCCTGCATCACATATATATTAGCGTGCAAAGAAATTTGTGGCGGATAGCCTGGGGCTAGTAGATTTTGCTATCGGACTGGTAATTTTTGTTCTTAACTTGCCCGACGGGCAAATTACAGAAGGATTGTAATCAATCCTGCTAATCAAAAAGGGTTTGGGGGCTAGTTGAAATGACCTTGTGGGCTAGTACATGCTAGCTACAACTTGCCTGAACGGCAGGCTGCAAAACTGACTTTCTTTGCACCCTGTATATATATATGTAATCTTTGGTTAGTAGTGTCTGCAAAGCAGTGTCAAGATCAGAGTTTAGTTTCATCTGTGGTGTAGGCTTTTCAAATTGTTGCACTTTAGGGCAAAGGCTAAGGTCCGTGCACTCTTGATCAAGGAAATGTTATTTGACAATGATGTAGCTCTGACCTTGTGCAGAGAGAAGGGTATTCAGCAGCTGATCAACCAGTTTGCACATGGCTATTGAGAGTTTGGGTTGATTACAGTCGAACCTCCCGTAAGCGACAACCCAAAATGCAAAGACTTAGTGGTCGCTGATGGGAGGTTGTCGTTTACAAGAATCGAACCACAGGGGGAGGGAGGGCATCTTCCTAAATGAGGTCTGGGCACATCCTTACTTTATGGAAGATATTTCTAAGTAACACCATGTGTAGTTCCATGTTGTTACTAAAGTTCTTTATGTATTCTAAGTCACATAGTGGGCACAGCGAACATATAGATCAGACAATGCATCAAGTGGTCACTTACAAGAGTTTAAAAATGATGGAAAATCATTAAACTTTCAGGCCCAAAAAGTGGTTGTGGTCACTTAGGGGAGGTGGTCATTTACTAGAGGTTCCAACTGTTACTGTAAGACTTTGACCGGGAAAGTTTTGGTGTTTTGGATAGGTGGTTGCTTATGGGAGGTGGAAGTCACAAATGGAATGGAGGGAGACTGGTGCATTAAGAAAACCACCATCATTGGTGAAGAACTTGTATCAAAAGCTAGCTCAGTGCTTGGTATCCATGTTACTGGGCTCTATTATTACCAATCTTGATCCCACTGGCCACCTTGTTGTTTCAGAAAGAAGCATAGGTGACAAGAAAAAGCAGAACCAGCTGTTAAGGGACAGAAGACTATATAAGAGGCAAAGGCAGCCTTGATTTCTTAGTGTGCAACCCTCCCTGAATCACGTTTCTAAACTTTGAGATTCACCTTGTGACAACCACCCGTTTTTATTTTCAGAATAAGGTTGATTCCAAGGAAGTCGCAAATGTACAAGAGGAGACTGGTGCCCAGCCCGATGAGGAACTAAAGCTGGAGGCTGGTATCCATTCAATTCCAATCCCCAGCCACTCAAGTGAAATTAGTAATGTAGTGGTCAAGTCATTCTTTAGGTTAGTGTTGATCTATAAAATAACGGGTGTTGGTGAGAAGTAACTTCCAGTAAACTTTTAGATTCTTCTTTCAAGTTGCCCTCTGCTCTGTTTGTTTGTAACCTAAAGGTAGAAACATTTGACTTGAGATCATGGGCCAACCCTAAACCTAACCCTAACTTTTTACCATGTACAAGTGAAATGGTATAAAAGGCTTAAATGACTTTTGATAAACTGTTAAATTCTTCTTTCACATTGCCCTGTGTAATTTCATTAAACAAAATGACAATTTAATATTTCATCAATAGTCCTTAGGGCCTTTTTGAATGCACCTCTTTTATTATTTATTTATTATTTATGTGCCCCGTGCATGCTAGTCTCATGCTTGTTCAGCCAGTTTTCTAATGAAAGATTATATTGAGAACCAAATTACATCATAGACCCCTTGGAGGTTTCTATTACTGTCCTTGAAACTTAGCCAAGGGCACAAAAGAAATCACTGAATAGGAGATATCCTTATCCCTGTCTTAAGTTTATTTTTTCAGACAGGGAAGAAGACAGTGGCAGATAGACAGTGTATTTTTGCATTTATTTCAGTCTTTTTTTTTTATGGTTTCAGTAAGAAACAGCCACAACAAGATCCAGTAGATCCAGAAGTCACAAACCAGGAAGTAAAAGGGACACATGTTCTTAAGCCCACAGTTGTTTCCTCTCAGCTTCAGGAACATAAAGAATCCAGTGAAACTGGCCAATCAGATGCAGCTATCAAAATTGAAACATCACAAGATGCTAGAGCCTCAACAGACTCAAATGCTGAAGAGAGCACTGCATCTTCAAGAGCCTTAGAGGGCGCAGAGGAAGGAAAATCATATGACCAGTCAGAAACAGTGAATGAGTCCATAGCAAGTGCTGAGAGTGGTGTTAATGAGGTGTCAGAGGTAGAAAATAAAGTCGCAATACCTCCTGAAGTAGGTTCAGAAGAATCACTGGAGATTCCTTTTGTACTACCACCAAGAGAAAGACGTCAAACAAAGCCTCCCATTAGTGTAAACATGAGTTATGATGATTTAAAGCCCTATTGGAGACGATTTAATATCGACATAGCTCCTAAAGTTCTCTTCTCCAGAGGGCCACTCGTGGAAGCTTTGATTTCAGCAAATATCAGTCATTATGCAGAATTTAAATCTGTCACCAGGATATTGACGTACATGGATGGAAAAGTTGAGGAAGTACCATGCTCTAGAGCTGACGTCTTCAGCAGCAGTGTGATATCCATTTTGGAGAAAAGAATGCTTATGAAATTCTTAACTTTCTGCCTTGACTTTGAACAACAAAAAGATCAGTATGAGGGTTATGAAGACCGACCCTATGCTGAATTTCTGCAGTCTCGTAGATTGACCCCCAACTTGCAGCACTTTATAATCCATGCCATAGCAATGGTCAAACCAGAAACACCAACTCTGCAAGGTCTCAAAGCAACACAAGGTTTTCTTCAGTCGCTGGGACGATATGGAAACACACCTTTTATTTGGCCACTCTATGGCGCTGGAGAAATGCCGCAAGCGTTTTGTAGAATGTGTGCAGTGTTCGGTGGATTATATTGCCTCAGAAGAGATGCATCAGGCATCGCAATCAACACTGCAAACAACGAATGCACGGGAGTAATCTCAAACAATCAGCTACTGAAATGTAAACAGCTCATACTCGGACATTCCTATGTGCCAAAACGTTTCAGAAAGGATTGTGAACAGTCTGTTTCTCGAGCAGTTTTTATAACTTGCAGTTCTCTCAAACCAGCTGAAGAGGAGTTCATCTCTGTTCTATCTGTGCCACCTTCAGTACCTGGAGGAGAGCCTCTGAGAGTTATAGAGCTGGGCCCAGCCACTATGGCTTGTCCCAAGGGCCTTTATGTTGTCCATTTAGTTTGCCAAGGGTCTTCTTCAGCAAAGGAAGACTTGGAAGCAACTGCAGAAAAACTGTTTTATTTTCCCTCTGAAGGTGAGATCAACATTATAGGATTTGTTAGCTACAGATGTGGGAAATGATGCAAAAAAAATATAATAGAAACTTAATTGTCATTCACAACACAACCAAATCGTGATGTGTTACTACCCAGATCTTGGTAATGCTTCTGATTGGTCATCTGATTGGTCAACCATGCCACAATAAATGGAAATGTTTTCCTTCTACCAATGAGAAATTTCTGCAATTTGATTGAAGCAGTGGTACTTAATTTGAAATACCTACATGTGAAAATCAAATCTTTTGTGGGTAGTAGGTATATTTGCATAAATGCAAAAGGCCAAGCGTTGTATAAATTTTGATTCAAATAACCTATTAAATATTTTGATTACATATTTTTAAACACTGTCTCCCAATGTCATTTTTATGGGGAAACCAGTGGTGGCATCACTTAAATGACAGGCTGACAATTTGCCAACATTCATTATGGTCATAACCTATTAAATTTTTGTTATTTTTAACAGGTGTTATGACTCCTGATTTTAACAAGCGACTCCTGATCCCACATGCTTCACTGACCTACCGTCAAATGTCCATGCTCTCTTGCTGCCTGGAAACACGTTAGGATTTGGAGAAGCACTGGAACAGGTATTTTCCAACCAAAATAATCAAAATAGACCGTTCATGCCCCGAGGGGGGTTACCCCTCAGAGTGGCTCCGCCCAAAAGGGGGTACCATTTTCAGGCCTTAGGTGTATGAAACGGTAGGAATGTCACGAGTTGAGGTAGGTTAACAGACTGCTTGCAGTCCGCCTTTTCTCTTTAAATCCGTCCAGTTCTTATCCCTTCCAGCGAGGTTGCAGACAACAACGTTACAATAAGGGATTGGGACGAGACGAGAGAAGACATAAAGATACTGCTCGCAGTCTAGTATGAAAGGGTCGGGAAATCTGTTTTTTAATTTTTACTGGTAATGCTACCTGGTGATTTCATTTGCATCAAGTTCGTGACAGATTTTTTTTTAATTCTCCCTTAATAGGCAAAACAAGTGTTTGAAAAAATTTGTCCTGATGAAGAGTTTCTTCAAGCAGTTCCTAACCCTGAAGATATTATACTTGATGACTTCTTACAAGATGGGAATCAAAATGCCGAGGCTGAACCTGAAGGTGAAGCACAGGCTGATGCTGTGGTGCAAGAAAGTACAGAGGAAAAGTCTTCATCAGCAGGGATGGAGGAGAAGGATCGCGTAACCAGCGAAGGTGCTGATGAACGAGCCGAAGAAGATGCAGGTGTTATAGACGAGAGTCCTGCTTCGGGTGCATCTCAGGAACAAAGAGAAGATGATCAGGAAAGCAAACAATCCCCCAGTGAATGAAGCTGTCGATCATTCCATTGAATGACGCTGTCAGTGTCAATCATTAGTGGTGACTGTGCCTCGTGATTTGAAGGTTGATGAAGTGAATTTATAGGCAAATTACTTCAGGTCACCGTTCGTTTCTTCTGTTTGCCAAAAAGTCATTTCTGCATTTGACAGTTTGGTCAATCACTTGATTTTGTAACGAATGTTTGAAATAATATTCAAGCTCTTTTTACGATTCACAGGAAAATCAGGATATTCAGGAGAAACAAAATCATTTTTGAAGGAGAGGATGAAGTTTTTCAGCTGAATTCAATTTCCTTTGTATTTTCTTAATGAATTATCAATGAGTTTGAGAAGTTCATTTTACGATTCACAGGAAAATCAGGATCTGCGGGTGAAACTAGAGGATGATATTTCAGCTGAATTCAATTTTAAAAACAGGAATTATCACACTTTTTATGTTGTCACTGTAGCGAAACAGATGCGCAGCGGAAAGACGTAATAGCGAAATGATTTCATGTTTGCCACTGTACTCGTCCAGTGAGACTGCAATTACGTAACTCTGTTCAATGCCCTGAAAGGCTTAAAACTAATTTACTATGAATGAATTCTTATGGTGTGACTATTCGATTGAAACATTTTTCTGTTTCTATGTTAATACGATAAAACTTGTTGGATAAAAAAAGACATTCCACGGGAAACAAATCCTTGTAATTGCCTTGTAGTAGATAGCTTATAGGCGGACCCATTGGCGAACTTAAAACAGTTAGTTAACTCATTTATCTCGTTACTGGCCAGAATACTGGCAAAGGAAACCGGTCGTTTCGAAACAGGTCGTTTCGATACGAAGTCAAGCAGTGAAATTGCGCAAAAATTGTGATCACTTTAAGTAAAGTTTGTAATTGAACAAGAAAAATATTTTGGGTGAATATTCTTTGTTCTTTAAGCTAACTACGTGAAACTATCTACACCTCAAAGGAATTAGCTTGTATCGAAACGACCGATAACCCAAGCGAAAGTGCAGAAACCTCAGAGCAAAGGCCATGTATAGCTCCATTGAGCACGTACACAGCGTAATTGCATCTCAAATTTTTTGTTTTTCTGATTTCGCGGTTTTTCGCGTCCACAAAAAAGTAATTTTTGACGTCATTTATAAACAGTTTCTGCTTTTTTACCGACGCTTGACCAACTCAAAGTAATCTCGGTCAGTTAAACAAACTGTGAACCAACCCTAGTATATCATAGCACATGGTTGGTGACCAATCAAATCAGCGACGCTAACAAATTAATATAAGTTGAATTAAGATGCTCGGAACGATAACAAGCAAAACGTAGGTACAATTTAGTACAAATAGAACTGAAAATCAATGGTTTAAGGGAAAATATTGTCATTGATAGTGATGAAGCCAGTTTTTTTTTTTTTTTTTTTTTGACTTTTACTAAATGAGATAAACTACATCTCGTAGATATTAGCATCGTTATTAAGAATAATTACATTTTCCACTGCTAACACTGCTGGTAGTCTGGAGGACTGTGGAAGTCACAAATATCCATCTAAATAGTCCCAATGCAAAATTTCAGAAAATTGTGCTGGATTAATATTCTTTTGTTTAAAATAAAATTAGCCTGCGGACTAGCCTCGTTCTTCAATACAAAATTCAAAAGAAAACATTATCTCAAGGGGGGCAAGTCAGGCTAATTTTAATTTTAACAAAAGAATATTAATCCAGCAGCTATTTTTGCATTGGGTCTATTGATAATAGTACGACATTCTCTTCTGCCGCTTTGAGGAACACGGGAAAACCCTCGGGATAAGGCTGCCCTCGGGCGATGTTCAGTCAGTATCGACTCGCGTGCGATCAAGCAAACTTTCGTTCATGTCTTCTATCAGGGGCACCCAACGGCAATTTTCGGGAAAATATCTGTTCGGAAGACGATTTGAGAACTAGAATTTTCGGAACATTTGTTGTAAAATTTCTTGCTTGCCTGCCTCTCCTAGGATTTTCGAACATCTACAAAATGGTATAATTACCCATTTTAAACGGATATTTACCCTAAAAAGGCCCCCTAGAATTTTCGAGCGTTTTCCTGGCTGAAATTTTCGTAAAGGTAAGTTTTGATCCCTATAATTTTCGGATCACTAGACTTTCAGCTAGGAAATCCGAACAGATGAAAAGTTTTTAGGGGATAAAAATATGCCTACATCTACCGTTTAAATGTTAAAATACGTTCAACAATGCTATGTTAAGTGGTTTTGAACTATATCCTCGTTGGGTGCCCCTGTTCTATACTTTAGAAACACCGCCGTTGTACCTGATGGGGAAGCCCTTAGCTTAGCCTTTTATCCCAAGGAGGCCTGAATAGGGCACTACCCTTTTTTAACCCAGAAGGATACAGTTGACTTCCAACTGTGTACAGGCCGTATGGTCCTTAACGGGGAGTACTTTCTTCCTCCCCTCGTAAATGGTTTTCTCTCTATATAAGATTTACCTAAAAACCCTTCCAACGGCCATAAATCGGCCCATGGACTACACAAGAGAGACATAACACACATTTTAAGTTAGATAAGCTGTTTTTTATTGAAATTCTTTCATTTTCGAGGTTACAGAAACGATGGGTTTTTTCCCTTACAAATCATATTTCCGTTGTATTTGGAATGTTACGCAACAATGCCGATGCTCATATTTCGAGCTTGGGATACCTGTGTTAAAACACCTGAACAGTCCCCTTACATTTGTACAGTTCAGTGTCTACAGTCAGTACAGCTAGCAAGCTGACAGAGGAAAAAAGCAAATTGCGCTGGCTGCTGCAACAAACCAGAAACAGACGGCTCACATCCTTTACGTGCTAAACTTCAGATACCCACTTCATCACCATTTGCATCGCGTTGCATAACTAAACGGCCCATTGAGTGTTTTTTTTTTTGTCCTCTAAAGCGTTCCGACACGTAGCGGATTATCCTGGAGTTGCTCCCCTTTCCTGTCATCGTTAGAACCGTTTGATAGGGAAACGCATATGCCGACCGAAAGCTCCTAATTTCACAGTACAAAAAAGAACGCCTATCAATCAGGGGTAGTCACGCGATCGTTACTCCTTTGTGTTAGTCCTATTCGCGGTGTACTTGGGCTTGTAAATTCTGACCATACTTGATGTGCTGTTTTGTGTATAAGTTTCCTTGAAATTTTCACATGATTTCAGCGTGGTGAAGAGTTTTTTTTTCTAGTTCAGGTTACTGCGCGCATGCAACACAAGGCACGTGACTTCGCATAAACTATGAGTTCCAGACAAACAAAATGTCAAGATATTAACAAGATATTAAGAGCGATATTTGGCCAGCAAGAAAACAGGTTTCCCCTGCGGTTTTTGCATCCAAATGGAGGAGGAATAAGACTGAATTGTTTTGAATAAACATGTTGGAATTTTCTTTGTGCGGGTCTGAATGGACCGGTTATGTAATAGGTATTTATATATTTGCATAACAGACTCCATATTTGGTAAAAATGGAGGCGTCGTCCATACGTCATCCGTTCCAATAAAACAACATTTCATCAGCCAATACATTCATTATATAAGGCCTAGAGGATATTTTTTTCCGTTAACAAAAATTACCGGCTTGTAAGCCAGTTTTATTTCAGTACTGTACTTAGGATGAGTCGATCACGGAGGCAACACTCTACTTTGGTTCATTTTGTTGGTGGTGGTTTAGGAGGTTCTTTCGGTGCGTTTGTAACATGTCCACTGGAAGTTATTCAGACCCGACTTCAATCTTCTGCCTTTCACTGTCAAAGAACCGCTGCCAAAATGCGTACAGCCAAGAAATTATCACCAACTGGCCCGTCTGTGAATTTCAGTACAGCCAGTGTCGCCGATACCAAGATAAACATTGCTGCGAATCGCTTCAAAGGAATTATTTCCTATGGAAGATATATGGTCAAACACGAAGGGTTCCTATCGCTGTACAAAGGTCTTGGTCCCACGTTGGTTGGCGTCACTCCATCAAGAGCGATTTACTTTGCTTTCTATTCCAAAACAAAGGACTTTCTGAATAAATCTGGCAGGCTTACCCCCGACTCTTCGCCCGTACACATGATTTCAGCCGCAATTGCGTCCTTTGTAAACCACACTATCACTAACCCCCTATGGTTCGTCAAGACTCGACTCCAGTTGGACCACCGAGAAGCAAGACGGGTCAGCGCTTTCCAAATTGTCCGGGATGCGTATAGGACCGAAGGGATACGAGCTTTTTATCGAGGACTTTCTGCGTCATATGTGGGAATTTCTGAAACAGTCGTTCACTTTACGATCTACGAGAAAGTGAAAGCAAGACTGATTAAACTTCAGCGAAAGACTAAGGAAGATTTCAATGTTTTTGAGTGCATGCTGGCCGCCGGAGTGTCAAAATCTATTGCGGCAAGTCTTTGCTATCCTCATGAAGTCGCACGCACCCGGCTTCGTCAACAAGACAGCGAATTTCTTGGCAAACACAAGTACAGATCGTTTCTTCAAACACTGAAAACTGTTTTGAAAGAGGAGGGATGGAGGGGATTATATGGCGGGTTAGGAACTCACTTACTACGTCAAGTTCCTAACACAGCGATTATGTTTTTCACTTATGAGGGCGTAGTGCATCTCTTGGAATCTGGAAACGCGTAAAAATTTCTTCAACAGTTTCAGCTTTAAGCTTGTTTATAATCAATCACTGCCGATGGTACTAAGACTATTAGAGCGTGGGCCATTTACCGGGGAAATTTATAACACGAATAATTTTCCATATAATTGGCAGAAGAAATCAAACTAGTAATTAGCTCAAAAAAGCGAAGTATGGTTTTTTTGCTGTACATTGGGTTACTCCCAAAAATCTTTCTTGTTGTTTCTTCATTTTTATTTTTGTTTTGATTCTTCTCTTGTTCTATAAGAGTTCTATATGGCACACTTCAGCAAGTTCTTTGTAATGGAAATCTTTTTTGCATGTTTAAAGTATATGAGGTTGTTGCTAGGGTTGAATGGTTGTCACTGGTCCCTGTAGGTGCAGTTACCGTCAACATTGACAAATTTCACTGGGAAGCAAATGTAGCACTCACTTTTGAGGAATGGCAATTGGATTACACTGAGTGACTTATTTTGACGAAGTCCTTTTTGTCTCATTTGGTAACACAAATGTTGCTGGATTATTCTGCATGACAAGAGAAAACATACAAACAAACATCAAACTCATTGAATATGGTAATCAACATCTCTTTGAGCTGTTTTAATTGGAAGGGAAAAAACCCTTTCGGTTATTCAGTGGTTTCAGTGGTCATTTCAACCTAGTTTTTTCCTGCCAGTAGTAATTAAGCACCCTTTATAATACTTGCCAACTTTTTCATTTAAAAATGTTTGGGATTTTTATCCCTAGCCTCTATTGCAAGTGTTCCCATATCCCGGGGGGTACTTCCAGAAAATTGGGTGGGGTGTACGGTACGCTTCCTGAAACCTTACCCTACTTCAGACCAAAATCTGTGATTTTTCCCACCCTATTTCAGACCTGACCCTTAAATCAATACCCTATTTGAGACCTGCCTTGGTCAGACCAATGTTGAAGGCAATGTTTATACGCTTTTATTAAGTAGGATGCAAAACTGTACAAAGGTTTGAGCTTAAAATTCCACACTATAAAGCAGGTTGCATAATGCACCGTCATAAATACAGAATAGAGTACACAAACCATACCATATTTCAGACCATAATGGTCAAAATAATAGTATTAATACCCTATTTCAGACCAAAACGACTTACAAACCATACCCTTTGGCACCGCACATATCTATATAGCCTATACAAGGGAGTAGCCCCCCCCCCCAGGTCCCACACAGGCATAAAAAAGTTCTCTTGCCTGCACAAAACCACTTTCTTCATAAGCTGTAAGATTTTTGCTGTTGTTCTCAATTTTTCTGAACATTGTCAAAGATGTTTAAAGAAATAATGTTCCCTTAACATGTGAAAGCTGTGGAAAATTTTGCATTTGAAAAAAAGCGAGAAAATCTAAAGAGAAAGTTATTTATTAACGGAGTCCAATAGACTGACTTTTGGCACATTAACATTTGGGATTTTGTATTTGAAACATGGGCAAATCAACTGGTACTGTAGTCGGAAATTAAAACACAAGAGTTTTATCTCATCAATAACTTGAGAGATTTACATTATTGTTTCTGAAACTTAAATGTGAGATTTGTACATTGATTGGAGTCAGCAGCTATAGCGTAGTGTTATTAAAGTAATTGTTTTTCTTGAAGATGTCCATAGATGTTGAATATTTATTTACTCATAGTTAATAAGAAAATATAAAAACCACATAATGTGGATAGGTTTTACCACAATTTTTTTTTTATTATTTTCACATTGAAAGTGTTGTTTATATTTTTGTTGTTGTTGAGTTGTCAAAAGACTGTGAACACTTTAATATTTGATTCTGATGGATTTAATAGTGGACTTGCCAGTCACAATAAATGCTGAGCAATTAAAAATTCCAAGCCATTTATCTTGTAGTTTTTTCACACCTTATTGAAATGTGTAAAAAAATATTTGCTTAAAAGCTTGATAAAAGTAATATTTTGTGTACTAAATTAAGCATTTGCAGAGGGAGATTTGAGATGTCCAAGGTGGAGAGTATTTTGAAAGTGGGTTTTGTACTTGTGTCAAACACAGAGGTCATTTTAAGCCTCTTCCAGGTATTCAATAAGTGACAAAAAGTAGGCAATTTTTAAGTAGCTACTGGCTACTATTTCGATATATTTTATGACTCAGAGGCAATGGTTCTTTCTGTAGGTACTGAGGCACAGATTACGTACAACAAAAGAAAGAATATAACCAAGAAATAAAGCCCTCAAGAGAGCTCTATTGTTTGGTTTCTTTGATTCTTTTGTGATGATGGTACCTGCAGAAAGACCTGAGGCTTATATGCAAGTTAGGGGATATTTTGACAAAACTTTTTGTGCCATAAATAATCATGAGTTTTAGCATGAGTCATGCGCTTTAAGGTACCAGGGTCAGGGAGGGGTGGGTGGGTAGCAATGCACAGCAATAGGTTAATATTATTTATACTGCTTCATAATAAACAGACTAAAATTTGTAAATGTGTTGTTTTGTCTTTCTATCATTTTCTTGTGTATCCCAAACTTTGTAACTCTGCAGATACTGATTGCTTGTTGTTAGCCAATCGACAGGATTGAAGATTGCTCTGGAGATGAGAGTGAGGAATCACTTTCTTTCCCTCTAGAGTGAACACCTTTCTGCCTTTACAGGCCCCCCTCCAATTAATCGGGATTAATCACATCCAACTTGATCCTCAAAGATTGCTTTCAGGGCACTTTGATCTGTTTTGTCCTACCCGGTTCATTACTTTCCAAAAACCTTGAACTGTTTTCTTTGTGTACCTGTGTACCTAGCTATTATCCTCACCTCTGGCTAGCTGAGCAGAAGTCTTTGTAGCCGTCCGAAAGCCGCACCCTTCGTCCCAACTAGTCATTTCTTCGTCCTGCACGAGAGAGACTGGAACCGTTCGACATTCCCACAATTCTTCTCGCGTTTCCGCCAACATGGCGGACTCCGAGGACGAAGATAGCTCCCTGAATCTTACAGGGTTTTTATTTGGAAATATCAACGAGAAAGGAGAACTAGAAGACACAGAGATATTAGACGAGGTAATGAATGTGTCACTCCAGACTCCTGAATGGATTATAGCTCAAAAAAGATTTGCAGTAATATCAGTTTTCTCCATTGTAGAGAGAATGCCGAGAAAAACAATCCGTAAACAACAATCTATTCAGTCTTCACAGTACCCTTACTTGCAGATTTCCCTTCGATTTTCCTCTTCTAGGAGAGTTAATAGGAACTCTGTCTGCAGGATAAAAAAAAGTTACCATGTTGATGCTAAAGGCTAGAACTTGCAGTGGATCAACTTCCCTTCCATATTAAATACATTGCAAACAGCCAACAAATTACGTGCATGTGGCCAGTCTCCACGTGAACAGTATTTGAGCAGATTTAGGCCTGTTTCAAACATCGTGCTACTGCTGGTCTATGCTGCCTCAACTTCAGCACGACCCTAGCACTACTGTAAAACGACCTGGTTTCAGACGTGGAATTTAACTCAGTCGAATAAAGTAAAACTATGTTGCCGAAAACAAAACTTAAAAATAAAAAGCAATTTAGTGAACTTTGTAAATTTATTCTAATGTATTTATCATTTATGAATTGAGTTCGGCATGGCAGTTGCATGTGCTTCATAGTGCTGTGCTTAAGTCAAATTGAGTTCACCACGGCAGTAGCACGACGTTTGAAACAGGCCTTAGTGGTCCACTGCTCCATTTGTTGGGACCCCATACAGTGCTGTCAACTCTCCCAGATAATGTGGGAGAACCAGGTTTTGGACCATATCTCCCGGTCTCCAGATTAGAGTATAAAATCTTCTGGGTAATCGAGGAACGTTTGCCATTTCTTGTAAACTCGACTTTCCGACAATGGAATTTCAAATATTTTGCATTGTTTGAACTATTATTTTTAACGTTAACATTGAACGTTTCCTCACAAACTCCGGTATGCTATTTTAATATGACGTTTTTCTCGAGCGTTTTGCGTCACCGCAAATATTCGAGACAATTGGAGTCAAAGAGTGTTTTCGCACAAATGACATCATGTGCCGTGCGTTATCACGTCATCTATCATCCCTTCCATGTCAACTCTCAATATTTGTAAATGTCAGGGATTGACAGCCCTGCCCATAGTTCCACAACTTTCCCCAAAAGTTACATTTCTGATGATTATTGCAGGCTACTGAATCATATTCGTGAACAACACTAAAGGCAACTCAGCTTTAATTAGCACTAGATGTTGCTTTATTTTTAGGAATCTCGGCGTCATCTTGCTCAGTTGAGTTCTCTAAGTGGGCTTGGAAGCCTTGTCCAAGATATTGCAGAAGAAGGAAACTCACAGAGTCAAGACTACACACCCCACAGTGAATCAAATAGCAGTATGTTACAGTTTACTTGCAAAAGATCCTTAGAGTGGTAGAAAAAATCTATAGAGTTGTATTCTAAGTTAAATGATGGTCCTAGAATAAATACCATGATTGAAAGAGGAAATTGTAAATATCCCCCAGAAAAACGGAATAAAAGCCTATTCTAAAAAGTTATGAAGCCAAATAATTTTGAGATTGAAGCAAATTGTGATTTTACCCAGCTTATAAATGCCAGCAGGTCTTACCCTTTCATCCCTAAAATAATGTTTTTTGTCAATTCTCGTTTGTTGCTGCAGCTTTGCATTTGCTACAGAAGTAGTGTGGAGAAATTTTTAAAGTATCAGTTAAATTCATCTTAATTCTCATGACTGCTCTGTTTTATCAAGCACTGATATAAACAAGGGGAAATTCAGTACCGATCACTCTTTGAGAGAAAGCAGTACAGCATTACAGTTTAAGTATATTATAGTCACTGTTGTGTTCTTTGCTACGCAATGAATCCTTTACACTGGTGTTACTCACTTTGTATTTTTTTACCCTACAAAGGTTGGATTCAGAAGGATGCTAGTGCTACTGATTACAGTGATATTAATGAGTTAGCAGAGGAGGATGAGGAGAAGTACTACAAACATGCAGCTGCCACAATATTCTCCCATAAAAAAGTTACCACTTCTGCTGGTGAGAAGTACAGGCTGATTAGTCCTCATTTTCTTTTCTTTTTTTTCTGTTTTAAACATCTAGCTTAAGGTGATAGGGCATAGTTTTTCATTCAGGCTATATTTAATACCATTCTTGCATTAAAAGTATATCTGAATTTAGAGTTATTATTTAATGGAATTGACCATAATATATTTTATTTTTCATTGAACTTAATCTTTCAGATGATGATTATGACTATGACGGTGATGACGCAACTGGCAAAAATGATCAAGGTTTTCCAGTTCTTTCCTTTATACTTGTTTTAGATTAAGCCCCAGTGTTCTGTGTAAACAGTGTTACATACTAATTCAATTAGGCTTCCACACATTCCATTAGTTTCATCCAAAGTTGTAGCTGATCTTATTTTTGCTTTGGAATCTTTCTCTTACATTATCAAAATTTGTTAATGTGAGGGAAAGATTCCAAAGCAAAAACAAGATAGTATTCCAAGACTGAGATTCTTGCATTTTGTTATTAACACAAAACACGGGCTCATAATTTCAAATCGGCCCAGTGTATAAATTACTCGCCCGATTACTCCCTGAATTTGCACTAAACTCAGTCCTATTACCGTTACTAATGCTCTAACTTGGCCCATGCAACCCAAGTATGTGTTGTAACATTGGCTTTTGTTATACCATGTTAGCAAATGGTAGCATACTGTTACCCACTGTGGCTCCTGCAGCATCCACATTGTCCAAAGAAGAACAAGACAGATTGGCAATGCCGCCCCCACCTGCTCCCCAAACATCTGTCTCCTCAGCAGGGGAGGGTGCGGAAGTTACTGCTGATGCGGGTAAACGCCTGGACACCCCTTTGGCCAATACAATTGGTGCTGGTGAGTTCTGTGCTTTGCCATCAGTCATCAGGCAATAATTTTGTTGAAATAGTAGTTGGTGGTCATTTTGATAGTGTATCAGCGTAATGTGATCCCTTATTAAAGTTACTGTAGAATACTCGATCACCAATATCTGCTTTAGGCCCGGTTCAGACGTCGAACTTTTCATGAGCCGAACCTATTACATTGAATTAAGTACATGAAAAGTTTGGCGTCTGAATCAATTAAGAACGCCTGTTTAAATTTGGAACGGTCAGCCATTCTTTTCGCCCAGCCCAGCCCAGCCGGGATTTCACCTTTGGATCAACTTTGGAACGGCTTTGATTCAGACGCAGGCCTTTTCATGTACCGAAACTAATGCATAAGCGATTATAACGTATTTTGAAAGCAGTTTTGCAATTAAGATCGGCGTCTGAATCAATTCAGCCGGTCTAAATAATTTGGGTCGGCCTTAATTTGAATTAGGTTCCGCTCATGAAAAGTTTGGCATCTGAACCAGGTCTTAGTGTTATCAGTGTTCTCACCAGAATTTTGTGATTTGTGGCCCAATGGTTCCAGGCCTTGAAGTTTCTGGGCCATTTAAAACAAATAATAGTTGCTACAGTTCTGCACCCCGGTGGGTCCTTAAGGACTTTTTTAAGTGCACCACTTCTCTAAAAAGTGTTCGAATCCCGCAATGGCTCAGTCTGGTGAGAACACTGTGTTATACACCTAATTCCAAAAAAAAATTGTAAGTATTATAACATATTTATTTATATATTTATTTATATATTCATATATATATATCTGTATTTATTACTATAATTATTATTATTGCTCTTTAAAGCCCCTATTTAAGGTAAAAGTTCATCAGAGTTCCACAAATGCAGTTGACGGAAATAGGGCAAGTAAATTTGCCACCATTTTAGAATATGTGTATGAGGAGGTCAATCAAGTGCTTTTTTTGTCATTACATTGTTTGTAGAGGTCAAATAACAGTAAATCGTATTTCTTGTTGATTGTGTGAAGGTGGTCATTAGTCACGGTTTCATTATTGTAATTATTGTATTTGAACTTGTGTTTTATTGCTTAAACCTAATTTCACAATAACTATTGGTTTTACTTTTTTCTCTTGCTATATTAACAACTTCTTTCTCTCATTGAATTTCAGAGCTGTTAACCAAGGAAGGCAAGCTCACGACTCATGATGGCAAAACAGTTACTGATCTGTTTCCAGAGTTCCGCCCTGGCCAGGTATTGAGGTTTTCACGTCTTTTTGGACCCGCAAAAGCGTCATCTTTGCCACAGCAGTGGCGGAATGCCAAGAAGAGAAAGAAAAAGAAAAAGAAACAGGGGGAAGACGAAAATACTGTGATTGAACCTCCTAAGACGCCACCCAGTCCTCGTCCAGAAGACTGTATGTCGGATGATGAGGTGAATAATATTATTGTTGTTCTCATATCTTTATCTTTAAGGACTTTTATCTTTATGAAAAGCATAATAATTAACAATTATTGGACAAGGTTGAGCAAAATATTGTGATTTGTCTGTGGTGAGCAGATCAATTATTTGCCAAAGCTGAAGGCTGAGGCAAATAATAAATTATTGATCTGCGAGACACTGACAAATCACGATATTAATTTTTGTGATAACTAAGTTCAATAATTGTTTTATCATTCGATCACTGAGTTTGTTTTTTTAAAGAATATCCTTGGGAAGCAAAGCGATCTGCCATTTTCGCGCAAGAGTGATCTCAAGAAGGAGAAAAGCATGGTTTCCTTTACAAATGTGCAGAATATTATTTGCAGCCAAACACAGTTGGATGGCATTGCACATGAGCAGACCATTATTTGTAGGCAGTTATGTGCAGGTCACGTGGTGAGCTCTCGGCCAATGAAAAGAAAGAAAAATTTGCTTCGAATAATAATAACAATTGTTGTTATTTTTATTGTTGTTGTTAGAGGGATTTCCATATGACTGTAACAAGCATAAGATTTCCTGAAAAAAGGAGCCTGAATACTCTGGATTTTTGCCTGTAGATAAGGTCTTCCATTCTCGTGAGAGACTAGCACTTCGGAAGATTCTTTTGTGACTCCATTTGTGTGCCACTCACCTGTAACTTCTTGCAATATGTACCCCATGAATGGAGAACCTGCTAATTGGTTTCTTGTGTAGATCTTGAACCCACAAGCTACAGTCTGGTCTGCTAACAATGGCGCAACCACTACTTGCTAGAATTGCCCCCAATATGTTAGGGGAATTTTCATAGAATTATACAATACAATAACATTCGTGTGCCTTTTCTAGGACAAGCTGATGGCCCCATGGGAGCCAGCAACTGATGAACTAAGGGACATCAATGGTGACTGGAATGCTAGTGGTGTTACAGATACTCTCAGTAAAGAAATCTGTCAGTGGAGGCATGGCCCAGCTGCATTGTGGTATGAAATGCTTGGGGTGAATGAAGATGGAAAAAACTTAGACTATGGATTTAAACTCAAAGAGGTGAGAATGGAGATAATGTTTCTCAAAGGAATTATTATAGATCTTTCCTGCATTCTACACCACTGAGTACACCAGTGTGCGAAGAAAGTTGTGTCCGATAGCCCGGGGCTAGTGGATTTTGCTATTGGGCTAGTGATTTTTGTTCTTAACTTGCCGGACTGGCAAGTACTGTTTTTTGTGAAGGTTCAAATTACAGAAAGGTTGTAATCAATCCTGCTAATCAAAAAGGATTCTGGGGCTAGTTGAAATGACTTGTGGACTAGTACATGCTAGCTACAGCTTGCCCAAATGGTAGGCTGTAAAACTGACTTTCTTTGCACCCTGTACACACAATGATGTAAGTCACAAATCAAGCTACCTGGTATTCTTTTTTGTTACTTCAGCATACTAAAGCATCAAATTGGTGCCTTTGTTCACGATCTATTGCATGAAGAAGTAATTTTCTTTGGTAAAGGTCACCGATACGTGATTTTTAACTTGGAAGCTGGTTCAAAGCAGAGTTTACAGACTTACAGTAGTTGCTTTTTAATTTCATTTGTAGAAGCCAGAAGATGAAGAAGATGGTACACCACGTCCTAAATCCCCTGTCTCGCTGCCTGCTGAAGACTGCTTTGAAATGGTATCACAGGTCAACTGGGAGGATGACATTATTTGGTCGCTTGACGGCGTGAAGCCAAACCTCCAAGCACAAGCAAGGGCTGGATGGATACCTACTTCAACTACACGCACGGCGCATGCTTATGCCCTGCAACAGGAACAGCTTTTGCAACAACTGGGTATGATAAGTTGAATATATTACACCATGGTAGGGTGAACAAAAATTTATTGCTTATATTGCATGGTAAAACTTATCCGGTCCCTTTGAAGGTTCTTTATAGTTTCATTGTTGGATATCCACCCTGATAAAGTACTGAGAGGAAGAATGTCCAAGGTGTATTAAGAATTCGGGCCAAAAATAATGGCAATTAAGGTTGTGGAAATTAATGCTCCAATATTAATCTATGACACGCAAATTAACGTTAACAAAAACTAACAGGACTTAAATTAACGTGAATCTTTGAAATTCACATTAGTAAGTTTCGGGAAGCGTTAATTTCCTGTAATAAGGTGGTTAAGGTCAAGTGCAACGAAGGGTTAAAAACCAGTAAGCTTTCATTTTGAAGTATTGCATAATAATAATTCCAAAAATTATGCAGCTGCAGCTCTAATTGTCCACGTTCAATATATTAAAATTCTAACATAACTCTAAGGCTTTCTGGTCAAGTCTCCTCTGGGAATTGTGAGACAATGGAGTCGTGAAAAATTTGCAATTTTGACCCTAAAGCCTTGGAGTCATCTTAGAATTTTAATATATCAAACGTGGGCTATTAGTTATCTTTTTTTTTGGTTACTTACATACACTGTAGGTGTGCGACATCCAGGGATAGAGACGTTTCTGAAAAACACCACATCTGCAATTAAAGCAAATCTGAATTTTCAGAATCAGACAACAAAAACAGGAATGCCTGGAGAGCAAAAGACAGTGGAGGAATCTGCAACATGGTATTCAATTTTCCCAGTGGAAAATACTGATCTTGTTTATGGTAACTGGGAGGATAAAATCATATGGGACTCAGAGGTATTAAATATTTCAATGATATTATTTTATATATTTGATTCGAAAATGAATCTGACTGATAATAAGGTAATAACAGATAGGCTTGCATTTTAGTTTCTCCCATCAGTGCGATTTTAAGTTCAACAGAAGGGCAAATGACTCTCACCCTCTGGTAGCCTGGTGATGCATATATACATACATAAACCTCAAATTTAAGTGTAGCTAATTAGCTAATATCTTTTAAGAAAAATTCCATAATTTGTTGAAATTCCCCCAAATATACGTATATGTTGTTGATAGGCTTCGTAAATATTGCTTTTCATAAAACTTTTTTTTTCTGAGATTTCCAACAATAAATTATCCCAGGATGTTTTCATTACAGTATTTAATCCAACAACAACTTGACATCTTGAGATGAGTCACAATTTAATTTTTTAGTAGAAATCTTCATTTCAAATTCCATTGTTACTTACAAGAGCTGTATATGTTTTTGTTCCAGAACATGTCATCAATACCATCTCCTACCATCATGCAGCTAGATCCGAATGACGAAAACATAATTCTGAGTATTCCTGAAGACTCTGGACCACTAGCAAAGGACAGTGCTTTAACGCTTACTCCAAAAAAGGTGTTTAGTAAGGAAGACAAAATAGTACTATTGTTGTTGTTGTTTTAATAGTACTTGTAGGAAACATTTTTTCATTTTGTAAACACTGAGAAAGAGTAGTTATAAGAAAAATATGTTAGTAGTAACTTGGCAGCACACAGCTGGATAAAAATACCTCTCAAGTCCGTGGAATGTGACATCAATGAAAAATATTGTTTGACACCTTCTAGGAAACTAAGAAATCTAAACTTTTACTTGGAAAGAACAACTCTAAAGAGGATGGTGATGGGGGAGAAAAGAAGTCCCAAGACCAACAAAAAGACAAGTTTAATCTATCAAATGATGAGTACTACTGTGCTAAGAACTGTAAGTATAATGTTGTGAAGCTGTAGTGTCATATGTAGTGCATTACAAGCAGAGGTTTCTTTCAAGTATGAATTTTAGCTCGTGCAGATTTGTTTATGAGGGGAGAGCGACATGAAAGACTCCGCCAATGCTAAAGGCTGGAAAGAAATCACTGCTTGTAGGGGGTGTAAACAAGCCAACTAGGTAATGACAGTGATGTGAACAACTCTGCAGATGCTAAAAGCCATGCCTGTAAGAAACCTCTGCTTGTAGGTTACATCTGTGCGTGATTTTCTGAAGATTTTCAAAGATGATGGCACTAACAAATTGCGGTAAGGTTTCTGTGACGTTTACTTTCCCAGGTACAAAAACCACTACCAACAGTTCATTAAAAACATATAACAACTGAATTTTGTTCTCTTTGCAGCTTCAGAATCTTCTCTGGATACCAGTGGAGGATCTAACCTCGTACAGGTAAGTTATATGGTTGATTTTTAGATAACAACACCTTTTCAGCTAGACTATTGAATTGCCATTCAAATTCACTAAAAAATGTTTTCCACCCACCATGCATTCATTGGTTTCAGACGTTTGCACAAAGTAATAAATTGACATTTTCTTCCCTGTTTTTTAAATATTTATAATTCACCGTTTTATTATATACTTTTTATTTTTCTCTCTTTTCTTTTTTTTAAATTTATTTTCTTTTTGATTTTTACTTGTCATTCCTATTTTGTTTTTCTTTCCATTGCTCTAGGAAAAATTTTGCGATGACAATATTGAGAATTATAATGCACATTTAAAAGAAGTTGCATTCGGAAGAAAGACAAGTTAAGATTTTTAATCAAATTTGGCAACCAAATTAGTAATATTCGCCAAGTTCAAGGGACTGGCAGCATTACAAGAGGTTTCTAGATAATGGTTTTACAAGGGCAGTTTAGCCCTTTTTTTAACTGCCATTGAGTAAATACTCCATAATTATTGATTTCCAAGTATTTTTCACAATATTTTTTTCCTCCATCAGCATTCTTTACCTGCAATAGAACTTCAACGGCCTTACTTTCCAACCTACATGTCTGTCCTTGACCTGCGCAATTTTCATCGTCCCCTTCTTCAACGTATTAGTCATGGGACATTGTCCAAACCAGGCAGACATGCTGTTCATGGACTACTTAAGCACATAAAAAAGAAAGCAAGGGTAAGATACTCTTTTCACACATAATTTCTAGTTTGACTAATGTTCTCATTGACATTTCTGTTATCTGTTATGCTGCTGATTACAGATCACATGTGCTCAAAAAACTTTCTTATTCAGTTTCCCATTATTCTTGTTGTTTGCGCTCATTACAAATAGTTGTTTTTTCTCTACTTTTGTATGTTTTTGCTTTTTGGTTTACAGTCAAACTAATAAAACCATGAACACTAGAAATTTATTTTGTTGCAAGAAAAGAGCCAATCAGGTGGGAGAAAACTGTACCGCAAGCAACAACATTAATTAAATAATAAGTTTGTGGTTTTGTGGCTAGAGCACTTGTCTTGATCTTTGCTGTGATTGGTCGTAACACAAAAAACATTCCTGGAATGTTTTAATTACTAATGGTTTTGTGTGTTTGACTGTATTAGTGAAAGAGAATATTGGCATTTTCTCTAAATTCAACCCTCCTAATACAGACACTCTGTTGATATGGACAATTTCTATGCCCCAACCACCCCACCACGGCAGTGTCCTTATTAACAGGGTTTTACTATATTATTTTTCTTACATATCAGTCTATATTAATTTGCAGGAGCGTGAGAAAGAACGGTTAGCATCAGGGGGAGGTGAGATGTTTTTTATGCGGACACCTGCTGATGTGACAGGGAGTGATGGCAGCCTTGTGTTATTTGAGTACTGTGAGGAGTATCCACCTGTCATCATGGCAGTGGGAATGAATGCTAAAGTGCGGAACTATTACAAGAGGGTGAGTGACAGCTTGGCTAGCACTTTTTGCCAGATGTGTTGTACAAATATTCTGCAAGTTTAGTTTATTAGCATTTCTGTGTGAGTGTTTGTGTGTCAGTGATAAGACTAAATTCATGAGAATCCCATCTGATTAGAAGTATTATGATGGTTTTAACTCCATTATGACACTTTATAGAAAAAGAATTCATGTAATTGTGATTCGTTAGGGCAAAATTCTGTATTTTTTACTATCCTATGTTGCATATGTTTTCACATTTTAAAATTGGTCAGGCAAAATATTATCGTATCATCCTGCAGTGTTCTAAGAGAGAATCGATGTACTTAAAGGAACTTCAATACCCACAATGACCTCTCCACAAAGTTCAAACCAAGTACTTATCAAACTTTCCAAGTTGGATGATTCCTATGTGACACGTATTTTAGTCAAAAAAATGATTGCAATCACAGACAGACATGCTGAAAAGATTTCTCATAACTGAGACTGACTGACTGACTGACTGACTGACTTTGGGCTGACTGTGCATCTAACAGACTTTGTTATTAACTGTTCCCTTTAGAAACCTGGCAAGGATGAAAGTATGCCAGCACATGAATATGGTGAACCAGTTCCTGTTCATCAGACATCACCATTTCTTGGGCAGCTATCACCAGGAGAAGCGCTACAGGTTGGTCTGCAAACAAATTCTCCTCTGAAGTACATTCAACTCTGTTAATGGTCACCTCGCTGAAAAGGACACCCAGAGTTGGTCCCTGCCTTTTTATACTCTCTTTATTTGACTGTCTATAAGATGGACACCTCTGTAAAATGGACACCTAGAGTTGGTCCCTGCCTTTCTTTACTCCCTTTATTTGACTCTCTATAAGACAGATATCTTTCTAAGTTGGACACTTCAAGCCGGTCCGAAAGGTGTCCATCTTAGAGAAAGTTGGCTTTATAACACTACCTTTTACTCTCAGTTAATCCCTGTTCATGGAAGCAGGCTCTTTCCCTCTAATGGAATTTGCCGAGTTTGTGCAGAAGTGGCAAGCAAGGGTCCCTAACAGCCTGCTACTGATTAATTTCACCTGCTGAAAAAGACCCTCAGTTTGCCTAGGAAAACAAAAAGGAGCAGAAATTTTGAAGGTTCAGTTGAGTAAATGAGACGGCTTCGCTAATAAATACGTTTGCTTAGCTTTTCCTTAGCTACATCCCCAGGGGTGGGGCTGGGGTGAAACCTCTCACGTCCCATCCATGTTCCAGTATTGAGTTTGTGCCCCAAAACAGTGAGTGCCCCCAAGGCCAAAAGCTTACACTTGAAAATGTGTTATCAAAATGAGGAAAACTTGACTCTGGAAAAAAAAGAGAACTAAATTTTGTCTGAAGTGGCAGGCATTAGAAAATGTGCCAAAGGTTTCTGTTTTATTAATCATGATGGGATTTTTATTTCTATTTAAGGCTTTGGAGAGTAACTTGTTCCGAGCTCCAATCTACCAACATGAGTTACCAGAGACCGATTTTCTGATCATTAGAACTTCCTCTGGGTATGTAGACATGCTTCATTTTGTTACTGAATCAATATGAAAGGTTGGTAATTAAATCTTGTCAGGCAATTTTATGCATTAATCACATTACCTTCCTTGAAGTAGTTTTTTAGCGTTAAAAACATGTTAACACTTAGAGGAAGGTAACAAAGTTCAATGTGATTTCGTCAATAATAAAAAGGTATATTTTTATGTCAGTTGATTTACAAATCTGTAGGGCTGATTACATTTTTTTTTTCAATTATTGCCATGTAGGTATTACATCCGTGATGTGAAGACGATATTTACTGTTGGACAGGAATGTCCCAAATTTGAAGTTCCGGGCCCTAACTCTAAAAAAGCCAATATTCATGCCAGGGACTTTCTGCAGGTTCGTGTCTCGAAGTTTAAATCTGAGTTTCCTTTTTTACTTAACGCTTGAATTTAGTCTTTTGACTGGCACTAGATCATCAAGGACCTTACAAAACATTTTGTTTATTAAGCATGTTTAAAATAAATAACACCGAGAGGTCTCATGAAGGAATAAAAGTACGAAGTGGTTTTTTTTTTCCCCTAGATTTTTATTTACCGTCTGTTCTGGAAAAGCCCAGATACACCCAGAAGAATCAAAATGGATGACATTAAGAGAGCCTTCCCTATGCATTCGGAAAGCAGCATCAGAAAACGGCTCAAGCTCTGTGCTGATTTCAAGAGAACAGGTTGGTTAACCCTTTCACTGTAAGAGTGTTTTATGGAGTTTTGTAAGGTGACTCTAACTTTTGAGTCTGTGGACGAAATCCTATGATGTGACCATTCAAATGAAAGCTCTCTGCCTGTACTGTCACATTCTGCCAATTGTTTGTCAAAATTTTAGAAAATGAAATTTGGTCGAAATTTGCCTTTGGCCACTTTGGCAGTGAAAGGGTTAATAGTCTCTATTCTGCCGGTCTTGTGCCTTCCCTCCCCTAGAAGAGACGGATCGTTATACGTTTCTGGGAATTTGCCCACCTACCCCTCCCCTAAGCAAAGATTAACAGTTACTTCTCATTTAGGGCAAAATGTTGGCTTAGGGGAGGGGTGGGAAACGTATTATTTCCGGGGGAGGGGCACGGGCTCATTTCTCGAACGGGGCTGCTAATTGAGCCTGGTCGGTAAAATGCGATTTTCAGAGTGAACGGAACGTATCGAGAGCGTGGTAGAAATATGTTGAGTGGATCAATTATGACCGACCAATCTAAAGTAAAAAGATTTTAAAACTGTATTTACTTTCCTATATTGTTTAGAGTAGTATATGAGTAATAGTATGGTATATGAGCCATTATACCATACTCTCCAAATAAGGTAACTGTACGCGTCTGCTCAAAATTAAAAACAAGCTGAAAATCGGTTGTATTTACAAATAAAGTCGGGAAGAATTCTCGATCTTTTGTGGGCATTTTTAATAAAACAATTATTCCACTCGCGCTTGTTGGATATGAGATGATTAACGCCAAATCGGCGCTGCGCGCCTCATTGGTGCACTACCATCTCCTATCCAACGCGCACTCATGGAATAATTGTTAATTATTATGAAAACCTTGCAATGGCGTATATGTAGTGGGATGACCAAACAGTTAACAAGTGATTAATAATTTCAGATTCAGACTCAGATTCAGACAGTATGGAGTTCAGTGAGTATAGTGTAGTCTGTTATAGTGTAGTATAGAGGACACCAACACCGTGAAACAGCTTAACTTAGTATAATAATGTTGTAGTGTAGAATAGTGAAGCATAGTCTAACACAGCATAGTGCTATCAGGAACAGGTTAGATGCACAGAGTTCGTGCAGGTCATGAAAAACCTAGAAAGTTATGAAATTGAACAGTTTCATTTTCCAGGCCTGGAAAGTCATGGAATTTAATTGTCCGTCCTGGAAAGTCATGGAAAATTAAAGTTATGTTAGTGCACATGTCATAGAAAGGGCAATGTAAGATAGAGACGAGTAACTAAATTGTACGGATTTTAGTGGACTCCAGAGTTTGTGTCTATCGAACCGAATTAGGTTGAAAAATACCCTTGAACAAGGAAAGTGTAAAATATTCGACGACTAACACCACGTTGCAGGTACTGATTGTAACTGGTGGGTACTAAAGAGTGAGTTCCGTTTGCCCACTGAGGAAGAGATGCGAGCGCTGGTGTCTCCGGAGCAGTGCTGTGCTTATTACAGTATGCTGGCTGCAGAACAGAGACTCAAGGTAACGCTGCGCACGCGTTGTCATTCCGGGCGTTGCTAGAGAGCTTAAGGAACGGCGACGGCAACGAGGTTAGCAAAAAAAGCCAAAGGTTAAGATGAGCAAAGAAAACACCTTTGCACTTGCATCACTTCTTTTTTGTACATTTCTTTGTCGTCATTGCACGATTACGACCTGAAACTTCCTAATTTTACGTTTTATTGAGGACATGAATGTACGACAATGACTTTCTTTTCTTTTTCGCAAACTTTGATACAGTCTTTAACAATTCAATTCCAAAAAAAAATTGCCATCATTTGAAAAATTAAAACAGTCGGAGTAAGAGCGATGAAGTTTGGAACAGTTCGCATTCATTTTTTGGTGAAGATTTCGCTGCCGTTGCCGTCGGGGTTGCTTCTTGTTTTTTTTGTTTTGTTGTTGTTGTTGTTTTCTGCTCGTCATTTTTTTGTCAGTTGTTTGTGATTGACATAAATTTTATGCTTATTTTTTTGCTAGTTATCTTCATGGAAAACTTGTTTCTATTCTATGTTAACAGGATGCCGGGTATGGAGAGAAGTCTCTTTTCTCATGTGATGACGACAACGATGATTCAGAAAGCAAAAATATAGATGATGAGGTAATGACAATTCATCTCTTTTGATTTGATTTTAAAACGTCTTTCTTTTTCCTTCGAAAACTGATAGTTATTGTTGTTTCGTCTTCTAGGTTCGCACAGCGCCATGGAACACCACACGAGCATTTATTTCTGCAATGAAAGGAAAATGCCAGCTGGCTGTGACAGGATCTGCGGACCCCACCGGATGTGGGGAGGGTTTTTCGTACGTTCGGGTCCCCAACAAGCCCATGGCAAACAAGGTATCAATTACGCTGCCATTTAAAAAATACACCTCTGAGCTCGCATCTTTTGTTTCCCAATGTTGGTCGTGTAATATTCGCAAGAGAATTCTTCGTGGATTTATATATGGGGAAGCTCGCTTTACGCTTGTTTTATTGGCTTCAATTTTTAAGACTGGCTCAATAAATGTCAAACGGTTAAGACAAAATAACCACTAAAATTCATCTCAGAATGACAAGTTGTGGTTTCTTAACCGTCTGTTGTAAAACTGTAACCTGCTCCGCTGGCCAATCACAACACGCGCAGAAAATAAAATGTGCCAATCAGATCTCAAATACATGTAGCCGGTTTTTTAGGCCGGAAAAGGCTGGCTTTTGTTTGACCACTGATTAATTGAAAAAGTGGCGCGAGTTTTTCTGCCGATCAAAGAGCGTATAAAACTTTCGTCCCTCAATAGGCCTTCCAGAATAACCATGGCCTCTTTTCCAGCCCCAGTGCTGATGCCTATAAATTGCGCACCTGATAAAGAGGTTTAAGGAACTCGTTGATGGGCGTGGATTATTAAAAATTGCTTTATTCTCAAACGACTTGTTTTTTGCTTTCTCATTGTTCAAAAACTCTTGGTCGTTCATGTTTTAGCTGTTGTTATTTTGTTTGTTTAGGATGATTCAGCAACGAACTCGCCGCAAATAAAAAAACAGAAGACAGTTACGGGAACCGACGCTGATCTGAGAAGATTGTCTCTTAAACAAGCCAGACAAGTGCTGCGAAACTTCCGAGTTTCTGACGAAGAGGTAATGGGTTTTCCTGATCTGTAAATCATAATCTGGAGCAAGTGTTGGTTCTAGTTGACGAGCTTGCTTCTCCTTTTCTTTGGAACGATTGAAGCGGCATTGATATCCCTTTAAGCCAAAAATTAAAATACAACTTCTCCTTTCTTGTCCCATGTGTTTCTCATGGAGGTAGTGGGGATAATTTGTTGAAATATCTTAAGAATTAATCCTTGGTGATCATTTCTTTAATTCTCCTAACCTTCCTGATTGAATAAGCAGTGATGTTACCGGGATAACTTTTGTAAAATTCACTATTGGTGCTTAAAGAGTTATCTGTTGTTTCTGTGCAGATCCGCAAGCTGTCCAGATGGGAAGTTATTCACGTCGTGCGTACTATGTCCACGGAAGCGGCCAAGTCTGGAGAAGAAGGTACAGTAATGTTGTTGTTAATGTTTTAACCGAACTTGTACTTGGTCTCGTCTTCTATCCAGCCGTCATTTGAGCCGTAACTTAACGGTCCTCTTAATTTTGGGAGAGAGCATTGCGTGACGACCCAAATGACAACTACATAGTGAACTATACTTACTATGCTTACGTACTTATGCGTTTTGTGTGATTTACAAGAGTTGTTATATGTTTTGATGAACAATTTTAGGTATGAGCAAGTTCGCCCGAGGATCAAGATTCACCATTGCTGAGCACCAAGAACGCTACAAAGAAGAATGCCAGAGGATATTTGACTTACAAAACAAGTAAAAACATTTGACTTTTCCCTTCAATATAAGTTTTACGCGCTAGGGAACTATTCCACTGAAAGCTACTTACTGACCAGTACTTTCCCGTGTTCCACTTAGTTTGTTATGCAGTACAAGGTGGTGTGAGCTTTGGGGTCTTGCGAAATACATCCTTAATTGTAACCTTTAAAATAAGACTCATTTTTCACTATTATTAATCGTCATTAATTATTAATATTCATCAATTATTGATATTTATTATGAACACTAATTGTTATTGATATAATTTCATTAATAGTTTATTTTTTGAAAAGTTAATGTTCTCAATTAATATTGTTTCAATGTAAAGGTGTTCTTTTCCTGTGTGGAATTGTTGTGTGCAAGTAAAACTGTCGCCAACTGCTTTCCTTTCTTCCTGTTCAGAGTTTTGTCATCGACTGAAGTCCTGTCTACAGATGAAGAGAGCAGCAGTGATGAGGGAAGCGATATTGATGAGCTGGGTAAAAACCTGGAGAGTATGTTAGCAAACAAGAAAACAAGTATGCAGGTCAGTTTACAACTTCTCTTAACTATCTACCATTTAATATGTGTGATGCGGCTAAGGAGAATGTGGGCGCTTTCCATTCAACCCAAAATTCCGGTAATTTCGGTTGGTACATCAAATGGAACGGAACATTTCGGTTTGGTCCGACCGGAGTATTCGGGACCAGCTTTGAAGGTGGTCCACTTTGACCGGTCCGGTTATCTCGGTCGGTCGGACCGAAATGTCCCTTTCCATTCGACAAATTTATTGTCCCCAGTACCGCTCTTTCGTATCGTGCTTACAAAAACAATAACCAAACGCGCGGTGGCTTGGATCGGGTCTGTGTAACCGGAATGTACCGTTCCATTGGGCACGTGGAATTTCCAAAATTTCAAACCGGAATGGAAAGTGCCCTTTATTTCCACGTTAGTTGGTCTTGAATAGATGATTATGCCAACTCTTTTTGACGACAAAATCTTCGATCATCTGCTTGCAATTTGTCTGTTTTCGCTGTTTTATTTAATCATAGCCTTCTGTCAAATCATGCATTTTTCCTGAGATCGGTGGTCAGAAGAGTAAATCAATTAACTCATATTCGTAAACATTCTACCACATAAGCAAAATAGACCAGGCCATCTTTATAAGTGAAGTTATGTCTCTTAAACATTTTCATTAAAACATCTGAAATTGTTATTAACTTTTTATGTAATTATTTATTTATTCGCTAATTTTTGTTGGCTTTCAGCTTACTCACGAGGAAGAAGAAGCCGAAAGAAGAGAACTTCAAAAGTTACTTAGTGACGATAAACCAAGCAAAGAATCCGTAAGTTGGTAAATAGTTCAGTGAATAGGATTATACTTTTTTCTATAGCATTATCACGCAAAAGCAAAGCGGGAAGAAATATTATCATTAGAATCTTTTTTGCGAAGTTTTAATTGGCTTCAGTTAGAATCCATTACATCACCTGTCGATAACTTTCTGTTGTCAGTACTCTGCTGGAGGGCAGTTTTGACCCCGTTTTGGCGACAAAACGACAACTGTAAACAACTTTTACAACTGCACTTTTGGTTTCGGTCTTAACAGACGCAAGTGTGAAGTCTTACTGACTGAAGTGCCGAGTTTTGTGTGTTTAGCAGATATTCTGCTTTTGAAACGTTTGATCTGTTTTGCAGATTGATACAGGTTTCAGTTAAGCTTTTTGTCCCTTTTCCGAACATTCACTGGGGTGCAGCTTCTTGTTGTTACTTTATTTTATAGTCGTATTTTTATGCTCTAAATTCCTCACTGTTTTATCTTTGCGGTACTGTGTTTTTATTTATTAATGGTATTTTTTTCTTTCTCTTAACAGAATGGCAAATCGTCAGGTAAGATTTTGTCTTCCGACTTCGCTTGACGTTTGTTAAAACCTAATGCATTAATTATTCCAAGTAACTTGTTGGAGGATTTGGGAAATGTCGAGATTTTCTTACTAAATTTTTAAACTGTAGGCGAAAAAGGTGGAAAAGAAGGGCTTAAAAAAGACAGCAAAGGAGACGAAGACGAAACAGCCTCAGTAACGAGCTATGAGTCATCAATGGTAAGAAAACAGAAGATTTAGCTCTAGAAATGTAAGCATTTGATAACTTAGTTTTTCCCCTCCCCCGTCAGCTTCTTTTATTTAGCACTTGTTTAGTCTGCGGAATTTTTTCCCCAGCAGACCTTGGTCTCATTGGTTACTTCGAGGTCACATGACATCTATTAATAGAACTGTTTCCCGCCAAAAGACTCTTAGCAGGCTCATGACGTCAGAGGGTAACAGTGTGCTTTTACCGGCGTGAGCTGACCGCTGGCTGAGATTTACTTGTATAAGTTTGTACAAATAACAGATCACTTAATAATTCCTCCCTTAGGAAATTAGTTTGCGATTGAATGGAAACATGATTAACTAGTTTCTCTCGGAACCAGTTATAAATTGTTTATTGTCTAATTGGTCGGGATGGTCCTCGTGTCTTGATCGCAAATGGAGGCCAAGTTACGCACTCAAGACGGGAATGAGATTGTAACTTCTGGTTTTATGTTTTTCTTAGGTTGGGCGTCGTCTTCGTATCAGACGAACATTTAAAACAGCCGATGGAAAGGAGTTTGTTCGTATTGAAGTCGTGAAGAACCAAGCTGTTATTGATGCGTACCTCAAGTTGAACAAAGACAAGAGTGTCAAGTACCCTATCGTCTCATTTTTTCAGTGCATTTGTGTACGTTGTGGCAAAATCGTGATGAAATCTTACCTTTATTCGTTCTGTTTCTCTTAGAGCTCAGTTTGCGAGCGTTGATGAAATTCACAAGGAGGAAATCAGAAGAGAAAAGAGGAGGTAAGGCAAATGATTCCGCAAGTTCATGCACGATCACGCTGTCGAGATTATTGTAGTTACGGTAGGTAATTTCCAACACAACATTGCGCGCAAAAAGTATGCAAACCGTGTAACAACACGCGGACGATACATAACGCAACGATCAGTTTACTGTTAATGACATAATACTGTAGCTAGTTACCTTTGTACCAGTGAAGCAGATATTTATAAACTCGCAACATGTTTCGACTCGATAATTCAGGGCCCAATTTTTGCGCGGCAATCAAAAACGTTATATTTGTCAGTATTATAAGGCAAATTGTACAAGGCACTGCTGAAGAGGTTTCATTTGAATAGTCACACCGTAGGATTTCTCCCACAGACTCAAAAGTTAGAACAACAGCCTCGACCCTTTAATAACTGTTTATTCTCGTAATTGTTTTTGTCATAAAACCTATTCAGGATTCAAGAGCAGCTACGACGGATAAAGCGAAATCAGGAAAAAGAAAAATTACAACCGGTAAAGAAGAAGAAAGAAAAACCACCCAACAATGTAAGTTTGCATAAAACATGTAAAAGGTTATGTACCGTTTAAAAAACGAGCAGGATTGTATTATCAGGTTTTAAAACTCAAGGCAAAGCCGAAAGTATTTACACCTGATAATACACGACTGCGAGTTTTTTTGATCGGCTTCAAAATCTCTGATATAGATCAACTCATTCTTGCACTAATATTTAGATTTGGGGTTATTTTTGGTCTAAAAACATTGGACGGAAAGTTTCGCCGTGTCTTTATCAGACAGAAAGACACTCATTAAACAGTAATTTCTTTTGTTTTTCTTTATGAATTATTAGTGATTTTTTGAAGGGTACTTTGTTATGTTTACCTCACTAAGATTGTGATTAAACTTTTGATAATAATGTAATATTTATAAATAGTAATATGTGATAACGATGTGTAATTTAGTTGTTCATTTGGAGGAGACCAAAAGCTGCCATATATTTCTGTTCTGCTCTAAAGAAGGTTCCTCTGTTGCTTTTATCTTCTGATGCATCTTTCTAGAATAATCTATTCTCTTGATCAATCTTACTTTGCACACTTGTACGTCTCCAGTTAAAATGCGGGGCGTGTGGAGCGATCGGTCACATGAGAACGAATAAAAACTGTCCAAACTACCAAGAAGCTAACCCTGGATCTGTAGCAGTCGCCATGACGGACGAACAGGTCGCTGAAGAAGAACTCAACATGCCTCAAGATGATTTAGTGAAAGTTGAAGGAACAAAGATTACTCTCGGAAAGGCATTCTTAGATCAGTAAGTTATACTCGATCACTGTACCATTTCCATTTTTTATAGACAGTAGACCGGTTACATAGTTGGTTTTAATTTATAGGACTTAATCTTCTTTCCGACATTTTATAATGACTGGCCTAACATTTAACAAACATGGTATTTGTAATATTGCCAAGAATTAAATGCCCAAAAAATTCCGAGGATGCCTGTATACCGAGCTAGGACTCGACGCAGGACTCGACAATTTTTCGCTTTCCCGCCATTTTCACCTCCTGCAAGTTACATGACCATTAAGAAGAGGGTTTTCTTGGCAATCATGGAAGGTAAGCTCGCTGTTAGGGTTAGGGTTAGAGGTTAGAGGTTCGGGTTGGGGTTACGGTTAGGGCTAGGGTTAGGAGTCCTGGCTCGAGTCCTGGCTTTTATGTTAGTTTATCTCAAAGTTTCAGAGTAATTAATTAAGGTGGCCCATCCTGTCCCCCGACGTTTACCACGTTACCACCCGTTCTCGGGTCCCACACAAATATGTTGGAGGGTAGAGTTCGGTGGTCGAACTGTAGCGTTTTGTTTTTCCGATGGATAACTTTTTAAGTTGATATAAGCTGATGTCAGAGCTATGTGCCTACGAAGGGTAACAGTCGGAAAATTCACCTTGAATGTGTGACTTTTTTTCAGAACGAACGAGTTAAAACGGAAATCACTTGTGCTGCGCTTTCCAAAGGAATCTGGTGAGAAAGCAATTTAACTGTTTTGTTTTTGGCGGTTGAATGTTACTCATGAAGTAAAAACTGTGGATTTATGAAAACACTTATTCACTTTCTTTTAATTTACGTTCTTAGTTCGAAAAAAGAGGCGCTCGGGAGTAATGCATTGTGATTACTTAAAGGTAATATTCTCGGTATTTTCAGCATATTTATATAAATGTGCTGAACTGTCCTACCAGAGTTTTTCCGTGCGGTCCTTAAAGTTTCTCGTGGCATGTTTTAACAATCTTTTTTTTTTTCTATATGCATAGAAACCTCGCAAATCTATCAACCGTCGCAGAGCCAATCCTGAGGTAAGTTTTTCTCTGACAGCTGTTGGCCGAAAACCACTAACCCTTTTTTAAACGTTCTTCTTCGCCTGAAGCAAATTATAGTTTTTATTGGTCTGTCTGTGGCAAGGCCCAAAATAGTTCTATGCAGCGTGTATGTCGAAAAATCACAAAATGTCGGACGTAACCGAGAAGTCATTGCGTCTCCCTTCCCTCCTGCGATCGGACGACCATTTGACTTTTGAGGGGAGGGGGCTGGTCGTTTATGATTAAAAAAATCTATCAAACAGGAACGGAAACAGAATTCTCACGTGGAGCTGTTAGTTATATATTTACGCCGAATTGTTATGAACATATTCGATCATGTAGTAAGCCAGTAGAAACTTCTTAACCGAAATCAGCCTCCCTGGAAAAGTTTTAACTTGTTTACCATCAATTTTGTTGCGTTTATCTTTCAGGTCGCCTTACAAGCCTTGTTTGAGGGAATTCTTAATAAAATGAAAGAAGTTGACGATGTAAGTCAATTTATGTTTTTGCCTTCCTGGTTTTACACCTTGTCATTAAATTAAGATGTTGGAGATAAACGTAGAGCTCTGATGAAAATATAGATTGTCTAGAAGGATAAAGGACAGCAGTAACACTTCTGTAAGATCTATGTTTGAAAATTTTGGTTTACAGACGTGGCCATTCCACCAGCCTGTTTCAATAAAAACTGTTCCGGATTATCACAAAATTGTTAAAATTCCCATGGATCTACAAACCATGCGAGAGGTGCGTATAAAAGCATATTGTTTTTTATTAATTTATAACTGTTTACAATTTGCAAAAAGGTTTCTGGAAAATCCGATAAATAGAACACGACTTTTCGGATCGTTACATTTCCACTGAAATTTCCAAAACTTTTTGGTAACAGGACAACGCCCCTGGTTTCTCCGTCGGAATATTCCAAGCGCAAAATCTTATTTTATTTCTTCACAAGACATCGTTGACACCAGTTTTGGGCTTTCTCGGGAAAATCTGTGACCAGTGCCAAAGAGAACACAAGGGACGAAATTATCAGTAACTGTCGCCAACGCGGAAAGAAATGGGAAGAAAAATGAGCTATGCTCAGAGCAGGAAAAAATTGATACCACTGATAACAGTGCTCGTCGCGTGAAGTTTAGCATGATCGCCGGAGTAAAGTTACAATATTTCCATTGATTTGTCAAACCACTTAGCGTTACGTTTTGGGGAAATAAAATCAACACGACATACCTCTCTTAAGTTTGCTCTAATTTTCTATTTACTTTTTCCAGAACCTTCGGAAATGTAAGTACCTGTCAAGGGAAGAGTTTTTTGAACACGCAACCTTGATAGTCTCAAACAGCGTTTTGTACAACGGTGAGTTAAGTATTGTAGAGCTTTTAGTGTAAGTTTTAAACACTGGAGTGGATCCAAAAATTCCGAAAGGGGAGGGGGGCGGGCCGCTTGCCACCTATCCTCGGTCCCCCCGGCCCACCCCCTAAATCCAATGTGTGATACTTGATGAGATTCAACCAGTCATGTAAGGCCTGGGTTGTTTTATTTTCAGGACCTAACCATGCATACACTGCAACAGCGCAGAAAATGTTGGATGTCTGTAACAAGGCTTTGATTGAGGTCAGTCACTGTGCATTGGGATGCTGCGATAGTATTATTATTGTTCAGTTATTATGACGGTAAAAGAAGGAATTTGGTCTGACCGTCGCTCATTTTTTACCTTAAAAGTCCCCACACCGTCAAATTTTATGACGTTATGTTGTCTCTGTTCTTGAAACACAACATTGTCTTGAATAACACTATTTAGTCCCTCATTGAAACTGAAAATGGCTGCGTGTTTCCCTGTATCGAAACACGACTATTTGCAACAGATAATTATATATTTATATATTTTTTTATTTACGTTAACTTTCTACTGTTGTAATTCTCTTTTGTGCATCTTTACAGAAAGAAGAAGAGATAATTCAGGTGGAAAAAGAGATCAATCCATTACTGAGTGACGATCCACAGGTAACTACAAATATAAGTGACATTCACCCACCTAAACAGAGAGAGGTTGTCCAACAGAACCTTCTGTCGAGGCGGCAAAGGAATCATATTTTAGTCTTGGGTACAGTTATGATTCATAAACTACGACCTTATAGGTCTGAAAGCTTCAAAACTACGGTAGTCTTTGTTGTAGCTGATGGTTTCATTGTCTTGACTTTATTAATTAATTAATTAATTAATGTATTTATTTATTTATTTACTTATTCATCATTAAACTTGCCAGATTGCGTTCTCTTTCATCCTGGAAAATCTTGTCGCGCAGGTGAAGGCTTTGCCAGAGGTAAGCAGTCTTGAAATAAGAAATAACATTCCGTTAGATGAGGCATATCAAACACGAAAAAGAGTGTTTCAGCAGGATCAAAACACCAAGAAGTAGGATAAGAGAACAAGGCCAGGCTGATCTTTATTTTGATCCAATTAACTTGGAATTCCAGGATACTCTATGGACGGATTTAAGTGATTGAGATTGCTTTTTAAAACCCTCGTCGTACCCAGACTTCAGAGATGAGAAATCAAATGAGAGTGAGGTCTGAGTACTAGATTGTCTCAAATTTTAGTGTCAATAATTTCCCTTCTTCTTTCTATGAGTTCTCTCCAGTTGAAGATGTTGTGATATTTTATCTCCGACATCGAACAAGAGAGAACTTGAAGAAACCGGGGACAAAACTGAGAGAAAAAACAATTTGTCTCCTGGTTAAAGCCATGAATCCAATTTCAAATTAATTGCTTTATGTTTATTTATGTTGTAACCTGTCGTTGTAACTTCGCAGAGTTGGCCTTTCCAGAAGGCAGTTTCGTCCAAGCAAGTTCCTGACTATTATGATGTAGTTAAGACACCAATCGACCTTTCTACCATAAGACAGGTAATCACCGACAAGAGTGCTAGCTTCTTTACAATGCAACTCTTTGTTCCTTATTGTTCGGCCGGCCGTCGTATGTCGGTTTGTTGTCGGTTCTCGTCTCTGCCCCGAGGGTTTTTCTTCGGTAGTTGGGGCTTTCCTCCTTCCTAAAAAACTCTAACATTTCTGAATTTCCATTTGATCTGGAATCCTGAACCGAGCGCATGGTCAGTGTCATTTTTTGTTTCAAGTGTGGAACAACCTTTAACCACAGTCACCAGCTGAAGATGCAGATGTCCGTCACAGCAGAAGTAGTCAACTTGAGGAACACCTTAGCCATTTATGGAAACATGAATTGTGTTCTAACTTCGGAGTCTGTAGACTTTGAGCAATTTATGCAACCTGTTAGGTCTTCCCTTCCCGCAGCAGTTATTGCTTTGCAACATTTTACAGAATCACTAACCTGCAGAACAGACCTTTTTTTGCGTTAATCAGGCGAGAAAAGGCCAGCGCGAAATTGTCTCTCACTCCACGCCTGCTTCGTGCCTCGCTCGCTGGAAGAACGAGAAAAAATAGCGCTTGTTCTGTAGGCTACAGAATCATAGAATGAGATTCTTTCTTCTTTCTTTTTCTTTTAACTTGTACACTTACAATCTTCGCTCTTCTTGCTTTAATTGATTGTTGTTTTGCGTCTTAACCCAGCAAGTGCAAGGCCACGCCTACCAAAACAGAGACGAATTTATGGAACACGTACGAATGATGCATCGGAACAGTGTCCTCTATAACGGTATGTTAAAGTCCCGGAGGATTTTTTTCGTAGATTTACTATAGGGGTGTTCCACTGAGTCCTTTAGACTCTGAGATTATTCCAGACAAAATTAGATGAATCTGGGATCCTTTTCTCGACAATACTTGTAAAACAGGAATGCTTTGAAGGCGGAGTTTTTAACTTTTGGGACGTTTGGGAGAAAAAGAAAATTAGCCTATCAATGTGACTCGAGATTTTGCGCGTCGAAGTTTCTTTGCTCTAGTTTGTGGGGAAAACCAGTTTGTATAGGCTTATTTTTATTGCATTTCACCCTGTTGACCCTTGGTTTACTATTTTACAGGTGAAACTCATGACTTTTCCAAGATGGCCGAAAAACTGGTCCAATTTTGTGAGGATGTCCTTAAGGAGGTAAACATTAGACACCGAATAAAAAATAATTAAATGTGCTCTTGTGCGTCAGTGAAAATATGAATGCATCTCATTCTGGCAATTTCCGTATTTTTTAATCTTTGTTTTGGTTTTACAACTTTTCTGCTTGTCATATCCGTCAGATAGCCTTCTAGTTTTAAGAAACACCAAAATAGGCGACTAAATTGGCGATAAAAAGGAGAAAAGGAATGTTCCTTAAAACGGTGTATACAAGGCGTGGATGCCCCCTGGGTCGGATTGTTTAGGTGGTCGATTGGCTTATGGTTTCCCTGGATACAATCAACAAATCATACCTAACGCTTGTCTACCCGAATGATTGCAGAAATCTTTGTACGAAAGCTTTTGCCCAATTTGCGTATAGTCTATGGAGTGGCGAATACTATCTATCCGATTTGTTCACAAACTCCTTGACCCGCCAAAATGCAGATTTGTGGTATGCGCATGATACTGGAACTCGGTAATTGCTAAAACTCAATACGCTTTCTCTATCCTTAACAGAATGACGAACAGTTAAGCAAGTGGGAAAATGAAATTCTGCTAACTCCAGGAGATGACACGTCATCGTATGCTGCCAGTCAGCCGCCGTCGGTCGCCGGCCCAGAGTGGTCACAGGAAAACAGT